ACCTAGACCCTCAACCGGCAGCGATCTCGCGACCGCATTTTTATTCAGGGGCCTTAATAATTAGAGTAGGGCTTTGGGCCCCATTCTACTCTAGTTATCATAAGGAACCCCAAAATAGCATAGGTAACTATTTAGGCCCCTTTATTAACAGCTTGGGTTCAGGGTTTAGGGTTTCGGCCGAAACCGAGCCCGCAGCTTGGCCCTTGACCTAAACCCGAAACTACAACCACAGCCCCAAAGCGCCTCAGGCGCTGCACCCTGAGGCGCATGCCACGACAGCTCCAAAAAAACCTTCATCCTTTTAGGCTGCCATTGGAGGTTCATGACTATAGCTACAACCCATATTGGGGGCTATATAACCCTATACCCATGAACCTCCAAGTGGGTATTGGGACTGCAGGCGGATGGAGATCTACACCTAGAGAACGATGGTTTGGGGTTTCCTATAGATCCAAAACCGGCCCTTGAAGCCGCGGTCCTTGCTCCCCTTCGGCAGCTGCGCACCTCCTGGCTCATAGATGCTGTTGGTCCACCCGGGGTTGTGGCTCCTCGGATTTCGAAGCTGCAGGCTTCGGTTCTAAGAGTTACTACGGTTGATGATATGAATCCTGCATTACCTTAGGGACCCTAAACTATGGGAATTATGGTATATTCCTTATTATGGTAAATGCAGGATTTATATCATCAACCGTAGGGTTGGAGGTCTCAAGGGAGTCTAGAATGCAGGGCCATGGGGTCATTCAGTCAGTAGAGGTTCAGAGCTCTGGTTTCTTACCTGTAGTCTCCATTGTAGTTCTTTTTTTGGTTTAACCAGTTATATAGTAAGGATCCTATAAGGTACCCCCAAAAAGGAGCTACAATGGAGACTACACGTAAAATCATAGGATTGCTGGATTCAGTTTGGATAAGCCTCAAGGGTTCAGTTGTGGTTTAGCCTGGACCCTAAACTCCAACCAGGGGTTAGGCCCCAAAATCTCGGGTCTTAGGGTTTAGGTAGGGTAAGGTTCATTGTCAGGGGCTGTTTAGGGCTTTAGCCCAGACCAAGACGCCCGCATCCCAAACCCAACTGCCCAAACAACCCCGAGGACGAAGCTAGTGAACTCGGGACCTGATTACCGTCAAAGGGGAAAAAGGAGGGATCCTTAAAGGGGACCCCTATAATGGGCTATATAATGCGTATATAATAGCCATACTAAGGGTGTATTCCTAGGGGTCCTTGTTAAGGGTCCCTCCGTTCACCCTTGGAGACAAACCACTCTAAGCTAACAGTCATAAATCCTCCTGCTCCAACGAGGATTGTTGTTGCGATCCGAGAACTCAAGCCCTTGACAAAAAGGGTTTGCTTGTTGAGCAGACGTCTACATAACACCCTGAAGCCGAAACCTCGATCATATAGACATATAAAGGTGCGAACGCATAGTAATACCATCCCCTCAAAACATTCTGTAATCTGCCGCATGGCCCTATCCTCATTGCCCAGGCCCCTACCGTAACCACCTTATCTGCCCAGGCTCCCAACGCCCCAGGTGCTGGTGGTGCCCGCTTGCGGCTGCTCCATGTAGTGAGCGTTGTGGCTAGGAAACATGTTCCTCGAGCTTCAAAGGGTTTAGGGAACGCTGACCCCTTGACCCTAATCCCTAAACTCTAAATCCTAAACCCTAGTGACCCCTTGACCGTTTAGCTTGGGGTTGGGGCCTTGGGTTTGGAGCTTACGGGGTGCTATCAGCTATAGCAGCTATGATGTGTGACTAGGACCCAACTCCTCGTGGGCTGAGAATCTAGGAGCCCCAAGCAACACTAAAGAGACCAAAAGAGTTGGGCCCCAGCCTCTGCAGTTTTGGCTTCGGGCATTTTGGAACGTTTAATGTAGGAAGCTGATTAAGAAACCTTGGGGCTTTGTCAGGGTTTCTTTTATGAGCCCTACTATTTTGGGGTTATAGGCCCAGGGTTTCTTAATCAGGCTCCTACATTAGTGTGGTTTAGGGCTTCGGGCATTTTGGACCGTTTAGTGTGCTCTAATCAGGCATAAAGCGCGAGACTCCGGGCATCGTGTGTAGACGCAGCCCTGCCGTTTGCGTAGCCTACGGACCTACCCAAATAAGCCCAAGCCCGAAACCCTAAAACCCAAAACCCTAATCCCTGAAATCAGCCCTGCCCCTAGACCTTGAAGGCGTCCTTAAATTTATTTCTTTAAAGACCCAAGATCCCAAAGCAACCCGTAATTTGCTAGATCTCAGCTTGGCGAAGACGCAACAGAGGGGCTTTCATAATTCGAACAAGGTTTTGGGGTATACTATATAGTACTATAGTATGATTACAATAAGGAACGCCAGGGATAATACAGGTGATTATTCGGATTATTAGGCTCGTTTGGCATGGCCGGGTAAACTCACCAAGGTTCCCCAAGGCCACGTCACAGAGCAGCATGTACGCAGCCTCGCCGGATCCTGCAGCCGTGTAGCCACGGGACTTGGCGAACATGTCCGCGAAGTAGATGCCTTTTCCTGGGTGATGTCGGGGCATGCACCCTAAACTCCTAAAACCCTAAATTTTAAACCCTAAACCGCTAAAGCCCTAAACCCTAAACCCCTAAAACCCTAAAGCCCTAAACCCTAAACCCCTAAAACCCCAAACCCTAAACCCCTAAACCCTAAACCCCAAAAGCCCTAAACCCATACATGGTCACGCGCTCCGCAGCCCCCCCCCCCTCTCCCCCCCAAAGGTCAATGGTCCGGATATAGGGTGGGGCCCCCCCTCCCCTGTGGTGTGGGGTGTGGGGTTCCTCTTCCCCCTGTGGGTGGTTGTGGGGTTTTGGGGTTTCGGGTTTAGCTTAAGCTTTTGAGTTTTGGGTTTACGGCTACAAGGTATAAGGCTTCGAGTCGACAAGGGCTTAGGGAGGATTTGCGGTGTATGCTCTGCTTTAGGCTTAGAGCCTGCGGTTAGGTGGGGTTTAGGGTTGGGTGTAGCGTTTTAAGTACAAGTTAAGGTTGCTCAAAACCGGGGCACGCGCTGCGTCATAGGGTTTACGGCTTGCTTGCGAAGGGCTTGCACGTGAGCCCTGGCCGCCAGCACCGCCCCACCATCCAGTAGCAGCTCCAACGGCCCCAACCTCTTTGCGCACACAGGCCCCCCCCCCCCCACCCCTGTCAGACCATGACCATACCATTGGGGGGGGGGGGGCTGGGAACGCCAGACGCCTGACCATACATGGCCCTTTCGTCTCTTTCTTGGTTTGGGATGCCTTTTCCTGCGTCACTTGGAGGTTAATGGCTCGTGCGTATTTACTGCCGTTCTAGTCACGCCCAGACAAGGGTCAACCCCCGTGTTTTGTTCAAGCTTGGTCGCACACCAAAGTCCAAGAAAACCAATGTGCTAGGTAAGTGGTGTTCTAACTCTCCAAATACAGGTGAGTATAGCCCCTTAATAATGAGGGTACCCCTTCTTCCTACAATTCTGCTTTCAACAAGTGGGCCTGTCCGAATAGGGGGCGCCCTACCAGGAGTGTTGGGATCGGGGTATGTTTCGCGGGTATGTTTCAGGTTATGTTTCGGGGTGTGTTTCGGGGTATGTTTGGGGGTGTGTTTCGCGCAGACTATTAGTAGTAGCAATAGAAGTAGTAGCAGCAGCAGTAGTAGTAGTAGTAGCAGAAGCAGTAGCAGTAGTAGTTGTCGTCGTAGTAGTAGAAGTTGGTAGTAGTGATAGCAGCAGTAGTAGTAGTAGTAGTAGTAGTAGTAGTAGTAGTAGTAGTAGTAGTAGTAGTAGTAGTAGTAGTAGTAGTAGTAGTAGTAGTGGTAGTGGTAGTGGTAGTGGTAGTGGTAGTGGCAGGAGTAGTGGCAGTAGCAGTAGCAGTAGCAGTAGCAGCAGTAGCAGTAGCAGTAGCAGTAGCAGTAGCAGTAGCAGTAGGAGGAGGAGGAGTAGTAGTAGTAGTAGAAGAAGAAGTAGTAGTGACAATAGCTGCAGTAGTGGTACAGGCATCGTTGTGGGCTGCAGGTCTGGAAGGTCCCGACTTGTCAGGCGGTTAGTATCGCTTCGAAGCGGAAAAGGCCAACGGGCCACTTGGAGCAAATCCAAGTATGTTTCGGGTATGTTTCAGGTATGTTACGGGTATGTTACGGGAAACCTTTCCTGACCTGGGTTGAGCTACTCTAGACCTTCGCCCGCTGCTAACTTCATCCAAACGATTTGAATAACGCGGGGGTATGTTTCAGGGGTATGTTTCGGGGTATGTTTCAGGGTATGTTTCGGGGTATGTTTCGGGGTGTGTTTCGCGCAAGGACAACACTCCTCCAAGACTACAAATTCAACCCCCCAAAAAAAGACAGACCCAAGTGGCAAAAGGGAGACCATTCAGGCACCTGGATAGTTATCCGACTTAGAACCGCCACTTAGAACTACCCCTGAGCCTCCACCTACAGTAGAAGCCAGAAAGATGGAACATGATTACCCTCATGCCTTTAAGGTAAAGGAAAAGGGATCCTAGCACTAATCCTCCTAAAGTCATGTTCCAACTTTCTGGCTTCTACTTTATGTCGGGGTAGCTGCTAGACGGTTTAGGGTTTGGGGTGTAGGGGGCCTGACGGCTCTGGGTTTGGGTATGCCGTGGCACCCCAAAGCTCATGCAGGCGCTGACTTGAAGAAACCCCGACAACCCCAAAGACGACAACCTGTGCAAGCACAGCGTTGCAGCCCAACTCCTAGAATACGAACCAACAGCACTAAACCTACATTCCGTAATGACCCATAAGTAGACCTCAAGCTTTAAACCAAACATCCCAAAGTCTGAACCTTTCAACCCTAACCCATGAAGCCTGAACATCTACCAGAACCCCCTCCCCAGAGCCTCCAAAACCCCTTAATTAAGGAATATACCGTTTAACTTTTAAACCTTAAAGTCATATTAGGGATCCTCTTATAATTTCAGGAATATTCCTTACTTGAGGGGTTTTGGAGGCTCTGGGCCCCTCCCCCCCAAGCCCGAGGCACTTGGTCTGCCAAGTTGCCGAACATGTAACCTCGGGGGCTTTGTAGGGATCAAAACTGTTGATGGACAAAACCCTGCATTACCCATTATAAGGAATATACCATAGCTCCCATAGTTTAGAGTCCTTAGGGTCATGCAGGATTTTGTCCATCAACAGAATGAAGCTTACAGAGGTAGTTTGTTGACTGCAGCTGTAGTTTCAAGTTCTTTCGGGCTCACAGTTGCAAGTTTTCGGATGTGAGGCCTTGAGACAGAAACCCCGAACCAGGGGCCAGTTCCGGGAGGGCTTAGGACGCAGCATGGTATGGTGGTGCGATTTGCAGGATTTTGGTTCCAGAGCTTGCGTTGCTGTTGCTGCCTGCCACCACTACCAGAAAAGCCCATACTCTGAACTTTAGACCCTGAAGCCCGAAAAGGGCCTGAACTCAGCATCCTCGCCCCAAACTTTTGTGAACCCCTCCCCACCCCCTACGACATCAAAACCCAAAACCTGAGCCCCAAAGTCCCTCAACCCGTAAACCCTAAACCCGTAATGTTTATAGACCTGCCCACACAGCGTAGCCCGGCGCAGCTCCGAGCCCCAGCTCCGCAGCTGCCCCCCCCCGGCCAGCCCCTTGCTGCCCAACTTTCCCTCGTTTCGCGCAAACCCTATCGGCACCCAAACCCTCAACCATTTCTGTGAACCCTAAACCCCTGCATGCCTCAACCCTAAACCCTCAGCCTTAGAACCCACACTTTCACCTCCTGAAACCCTCTAAAGTCCCATAGTACCCTTGTATGACCCTTCCGCAACCCTTCAACAACCCTACATAAACCTTGAAATTGCCTTTCAAACGATTCAAAAACTCCCCCCAAATAAACTCTACACCCTAAACCCTAAACCACTGAACCCTTAACACTTCCTAAAGGATCGTGGGACTTAGACCTTACAACCCCAACCACTGTACTTATAAGCCTACTTTCTAAGTCCTACGATCCTCCTTATCGAACTCTTATGGAAATCCCTTATAGATCCCGTTAAGGCGCCCTTTAAGGAACCTTACCTTACATAGTGAACGGGGCGACTTTAAAGCCTTATATATATATATATATGCTCTATCTTAGAAAGTTTGAACTTTTTGGGGCCCGGTTGTTGAAGAAGAGACATAAACCCTAAACCCCTAAATCCCTGAATCCCCTAAATCCCTAAACAGTAAACCTTTTTCACCCCTAAACCCTAAATCCCTAAACCCGAATCAGGGTACTTATAACCCTTCGAACTCTTATAGAAAATCCTTTATCGATCCCTTTAAGGCACCCTTTAAGGAACCTTACTTGGACCCCTTATAGACCCCTTTTAGGAAACTGATAGAAATCCCTTATAGATCCCTTGAAGGAACCTTACTTATCCCAAAACCCTAAACCCTGTTCCCTAAACCCTGTCTACCCTAAACCCTAAACCCTAAAACCCTAAGGCCCTAAGTTATAGAAGCCCTAAAACCCCAAAGCCCAAAACCCCTAAACCCTAAACCCGAAACCCGTGCATCGGGGCGGCCACAGGCTGGAGCTTCCGGAGGCGCCACGCGGAGCCCCTGCGTCAAAATGCCGACGAAGTTGGATCTGCGGGATCCTGGGTTTAGGGTTTTGGGCAGACAGGGTTTAGGGTTTAGGGCTTTAGGGTTTAGGGTTTTGGGCTTTGGGGTTTTTAGGGCTTCTATAACTTAGGGCCTTAGGGTTTTAGGGTTTAGGGTAGACAGGGTTTAGGGGTAGACAGGGTTTAGGGAACATTGTTTAGGGTTTGAGCCTGAACCAACAGGGTTCAAAATCCTGAGGCGAGGGTTTTGGGCTTCGGGGGTTTAGGGTTTCTGAAACTTAAGGTCTTAGGGTTTTAGGGTTTAAGGTTTGCGGTTTCAGGGTTTAGGGTTCAGGATCTTCGGATTTTTGGGCGTTCTTGGGGTTTGGGGCTTGCGGGTTTTTGTGGGTTATGGGGCGTTTAGGGTTATCGGGCGGGGTTTAGGGCTTCTTAGGGGGTTTAGGGCCTTGGGGTTTGGAGTTTTAGAGGTGTTAGGGTTGGGGGGGGGCGGTATGGGTTTCCTTGACGGGTTTCGGGCTTTGGGCTTCGAACCCCAAATCCGGATCGTCAAACTCCAAAGCAGGTGAACATCCTACAGACACGAAGAGAATATTATACTGAACTTAGAACCCTAGCAAAAAGTGTAATTTTAGCTGTTTCTTAGGGATTATAATACCCAAAAACTAAAAGTATCTAATTACCCCTTATAAGGATAAGCAAATCTCCTCCATATTTGTGCAGAAGCGCACAAAGCCCATCAAAAACAAACCTGAAAGCCCGAAACGCCCGAAGCGGGTTACCCTAAGAGTCCATGCGCCCATGTGGTATAGACTTCGGCCTCCAAGGGTACAACAGAGGAACAGCTTTAACTGCCTGGGCCTAAGTATATACTTCTTTGAACATAGACAAACTAAACCCTGTACTGCACCCATGTACGCCCTGTGTTAGAACCTCATAAAACCCACAAAATTGAATAGGACACTGTAAAAACCCTCCTAAGAACCCTAAACCTTAAACTCTCACTAGAACCCTAAACCCTAACTGTAAAAACCCTCCTAAGAACCCTAAACCTTAAACTCTCACTAGAACCCTAAACCCTAAACCCTAAACCTTAAACCCTAAACCCTAAACCTTACACCCTAAACCCGAAGGTTTTAGACCTCGAAGAGGCGCCATGCCACATCAGCCGGCGATTTCCCAAGTCTTTGAATCGCTCCTGGCTGTCTCTTAGTCTATTTCCCTGCGTGCTCTCGCTCATGGGCTTGGGATTTGAGGTTTTCAAGTTTAGGGTTTAGGGGTTTAGGGGTTAGGGGTTTAGGGGTTTAGGGTTTAGGGGTTTAGGGTGCAGGTTTCTCTATGGGGTGGGTAGAAGGCTTTTGATGTGTTTGCGCCTGGTCGTTTTTTTAGGAGGGTCTTTGCGTGGAACTTTCTTTTGTAGATCGGGGCGAGGAGAGTTTAGCTTGTTTTGGAGGTAGTGGGTGCGAAGTTATCGTGTTCGTGGGTTGGGCCCAGAGATATATGTTTGAGGCGTGGAATCAGCTAGGTTCCTGCGTCAGTAGCCAGCCCCTGAACAATACGGGTACTTTTTTTCTCCTATAAGGGAGCCTTTGAAACATGAAAAAGGGTACTACCCAGGCGGCTAGTCAGCGTTTAGAGGCTTGCAGGCCCGCTAGTATCCAAGGCGGAGGTTCTCCACGAGTAAAAGCAACTACCTATAGTCTCCATTGTAGTTCCTTTTCTTGGTTTAACCAAATATATAATTAGGTAAGAGCGCCTGGTACGTGACCGGCGTTTTGTGGCGTAGCTGAAACAGGCAATGTGCTAAAAACCTAGGGACCTGGGGAAAACGCGTATTATGACTAAAAGGTTGTGCTAGGAGAGGCGGAGAATCCCTGTGACAAGGTCGATCGTTTTAGCGAAAAAGGTGTTTCCGCTGCAGTAAAACCATTTTTGCGAGCACGGCGCTGTGCAAACTTGGTCTGAGTGGACGTTAGTATGGTTGACCCATGGATGCTCTGCGTCAATGAGATCTGGTCTGAGTGGACGTTAACATGGTTGACCCATGGATGCTCTGCGTCAATAACATGGACCACCCATGGATGGTTTGGGCGACGTCGGTTGTAGCAAGTGCCGAACACACAGTAATTACCGGTGTGTTCGGCATGTGACCCTAAGGAAACATGGCTTCGATCAGAACTAGAGCTTGGGCCTGCCTGCGACAGAAGTCCGCAGTTCTGGGAATTAAGGGTCGGGACTGGCCGGAATTAGCCCCACTCCCCACCCCACCCCCACCCCCTTCCCCCCCCCCCCCACCCAAGAAAAGTGAGAGGACGTACAGGACGCACGCCAGGCACTCTCACCTATATTTAGGATCCTATAATGTAACCCCAAAAAGGAACTACAATGCAGACTATAGGTACTGGCCTCATATCGAGAGCGCGCTAAACCCTGAAGCCTAAACCCTGAAGAACCCCTAAACCCTTTAACTGGACTTGGAAAGTAACCAGGGAGAAAAAAAGTTGAGATTTTGTATTTCATAATGGGTTCTTAAAGGAACAGGTGCCAAAAAAAATGTTCAAGTATGGTACTCCAGAACCCAGTTGACTCCCTAAACCCCAAACCCTAGACTCTAAAACCCTAAATCCCTACACCCTAAACCCTAAACTCTCAAGAAAGTGATAAATAGAAACTGCTTGTCCTTGTTTGTAATCCCCGCTACAGCCCAACATACCGGTTAAACACTGAACAAACTTCTTGATAAACCAATTTCCCTACAAACTTGTAACCGCCGCTACAGCCCGAGCTGGAGCTCAAGCAAGGAACGAGCTTCTTGATAAACCAATTTCTCTACAACCTTCAACCCAGCCAACTCACGCCACCTCCCAGCCCCGGCCCCAGCCTCGGCCGCAGCCTCGGGCCCCCCGGCGCAGCCCCAGCCCCAGCCAGGCGCAAGCCCAGGCCCAACCCCAGGCCCAGCCCCAGAGCCCCAGCCCCCCAGCAAAAACACGGTTCGCAAACAAAACCTTTCGGTCAAAACTTTCGGTTAAAACGTTTCGTTCAAAACGTTTTTGGGACCCAAACCCTTAACAATTTCTGTAAACCCTAAACCCTAAACCCAAGTTTTACAAAACCTTGATCCCAGCCATTTCAACCCAACTTGCCTCGGCAAAAGGAAACCAGCGTGTGCAACTAGCATCCTTGTTTTTGCCTCAGCAGGGGGAAACCAGCGTGTTCAACTAGCATCCTTGTTTTTGCCTCAGCAGCGGGGAAACCAGCGTGTGCAACTAGCCTCCTTGTTTTTGCCTTGGCAAAAGCAAACCAGCGTGTGCAACTAGCATCCTTGTTTTTGCCTTGGCAAAGGAGGTCTTGAAGTCTGCCAACATTGGCCGAGACAAGATCGCCCCGATCGAGCCCCATGCCTACCCACGTCACGAACCGGTTTAACAACTCAGGATGCTACCAAGAATGCCGCAAAGAACGGCCCTGATGAAAGTACCTGATCGAAACTCCACGCGGTCCTGAGGCTCCCTCTCCCTCTTTCTTTCCTGCGCTCTCTCTCTCTCTCTCTCTCTCTCTCTCTCTTTCCTTTCCCTCTCTCTCTTCCTCCCTATCTTAACTTGGGAGCTCGCCCCAGCAAGTTTGAAACACGGTTCGCAAACAACAACTTTCGGTCAAAACTTTCAGTCAAAACGTTTCGTTCCAAACGTTTCGTTCAGAACGTTTCGTTAAAAACGTTTCGTTAACACAAACCCTTAACAATTTCTATACACCCTACATGTCGACTTCGACGACATGATCCGACAGCGGCGAGAGGAAGAGAAGTTCATCGATGGAAGGCCGTAAATACCTTAGGGTTTAGGGTTTAGGGTTATCAACAAGGACTGAACAGAAAGCAACACAGTAGCAGAAGTAAGAGCATCCACCACTACAACACCAGCAGTGATAGCAGATCGAACTTGTTCGTCTTAAAGGGTCGCTCTCTAAGTTAGGGTAGATTTTGGGCTTGTTTTTTTTTACGGGTGCTGTACTACTTTGGGGGCCTCAAAAGGGACCCTAGCATAGAGAGAATCTACCCATAAGCCAATCGGATCTAGGCGGGGGCTGGTGAGCTCCCCTACAGAAACCGCACTTCATATACAGTAGCAGCAGCAGCACCCGGAAAAAAAAGGACAACAATCAGCCTTCCAGTGATGCTGAGCCACAACTCCTTAACCCTAAACTATACGAAGCCGTAAACACCAAGACCTGGGTAAATCTAAGACCCAGACATTACTGAACCCTAAACCCCAAACCTAAACCCCTAAACCTCAGGCCATACTAAACCCTAAGCCCCAGACATTACTAACCCCAAATCCCCAACCTAAAACCCTAAACCTCAGGCCAGACTAAACCCTAAACCCTAAACCCCAGACATTACTAACCCTAAAACCCCAACCTAAAACCCTAAACTTACCAAGGCCCAAAGCCCAAACCCAATGCCGCAACCCCAAACCCTAAACCCTACATCCCAAACCTAAAATCCTAAACCCCCACAAGAGCCGACGCAAGAACTCGGAAAGCCCCTCCGCCGCGACCTCCTCGCCTTGGCGCGAAATCCGGTAGATGGCCGTGACCTGGGTCAGGACCCTAAAAGTTCAGGGTAGATGGCCGTGACCTTTGTCAGGACCCTAAAAGTTCCTTCAAAGGGTCCTATAAGGGATCCTCTAAAGGGATTTACAACGGGTCCTTTAAAGGGATCTTTAGGGTTAAGGGGTTTAGGGGTCTAGGGTTTTAGGGTTTAAGGGGTTTGGGGGCGCTTCAGTGGTTCGGGGTCTTGGTTTAGGGTTTTACTGGTTAAGAGGTTTAGGGAAGAACCCGGAGACTCCTATATCCCTTAATTAGGGAAGATACCTTGGATGCTATAAAGGATCAGGGTTTCACTGTTAAGCCTCTCGATGTAAGAACCCAGCCCTGTCTGGGTTTCCGGTTTCGTTTTTTTTTTTTTTTTTTTTTTTTTGGGGGGGGGGGGTTCGGCGTTCTGAGTTTCTGGGTTCAGGTTTGGTTTAGGGCTTAGGGTTTCTGGGCTTAGGGCTTCGGTTTAAATCAATGTGCACCTCCGCCTGGAACTCAAAGCGCACACCTTAAAACTACATACCTTAAAGCCCCATGGTATACGAACATAATCATAAACTTCCAACGTCCGAACCTCTAAGCATCTTTAAACAAAAAGTAAAACTCTCCTGGCAGCCCAAATCCCAGTCCCTTCAAGTAAACCCCTTGAGCCCTAAACCCTAAACCAACTAAACCCCCTGAGCCTTGAGACCCTTGATGAAAACGCGCGGTAACGAATGCCGGGTACTTGAACCCCCAACAACACATCCTAAAATCCCCGAACCTTGTACTTATACCCAGAAACCCTAAACCCAATCACATGCCTAAGACATCTAGATTGCCGTCCAGGTCACGACATCGCCATGGCGGTGGCCTTTGTAGCCTTCGGTGAGGGTATGCTACAGGCTTAGTTGGTTTGCTTGCAAGTTGGTTTAAAGTTTGTGTCGGGGTTTGTTTGGAGGCTTAGTTTGGGGTACAAGTAGGTGTCTGTTTAGGGTTCCGGAGCTCAGTTGAGATAGGTGCAAGATTACGGGTGTAGTAAGATGGTTATCAGAGTGCTGAGGTATCCAAACTGTACTCGTGTGTCAGGTACGGCCCGTTACTCAAATGCTATTTAGGCCCCAGGAACGCCTGGCTTCGTTCTAAAAGCACATGTCGAGGTTCCTTTTTGGATCCTGATCCTAAGGAGATCGCCTTCTCAGCAACCGGGTGCAACAGAATGCTCGTGCAATTTCGTCCGTCACCTACACCAAGGGTGTAATAATGCGGAGCCCGGAAGGGTTTGTCTAGGGAGTATTGCATCCTGCTATAAAGACCCAAGACATGTCGTTAGGGTGCAGGGGCAATGGGGAAGGATATCAAAATAAAATCCAGACAGCATAAACTTGTGCCATCAAGAAACACTAAAGACCCCTAAACCCCTATTCAGATTTCTTGCCGCCCCTACTTTCGGCAACCCGTCTCTGGGTATCCGGTAGCTCTGGGGCTGCAGGTAATGGATGTCTGCGCAGTGAAGAGCTTGAACACTAAACCCCCAAACCCAAACACCCTAAACACCCTCAACCCTAAAACTGCTTTTGGGTCTGTGCTGCGAACTCCTAGAAAGTTCAGGCTCGAAAGCCCTTTAACCCTGTTTAGGGTTTAGGGATAGAAACCTCAGAAACCCCTGCCCCCGGTAGAGCAACTCCAGAACCTCGATGGCGCATCCTACCAGCATCCCTGCCATAACCTACCATGACAGGCTGCAAGACACCGGTTTCATACACCATACTATACCATAACATACTAGGACATATCATACCATAGCACACCATACGATATGCAGTTTTATTGGTAAGCCCTAAACCCCCCACCCTGTAACAGTAACTATAAGGATTATATTAGGGCCCTATTATATGCCTACTATACCACTATTACAGGGTGGGGGCCCCTTCTAACCTAAACCCCTATTAAGGCCCCAGACCCTTCCCTCATGTTTCTACGAGCAGCTGTTGGGCCGCTTCTTTCCGAACTCCTCGACGATGTCCTGGCTGCAAAGGTTTAGGGGCTTGGGGTTTAAGGGTTTAGGGTTTAGAAGTCGGCTGCTGGACAAGCTAGGCCCAAATTCAAGTCGTCGTGCGAAAGGGGCCTTGCTATGGTCTGGAATTTGCTGTTCTGCTTTGCTTTCCCTAACCCCAAGGGTCCAAGTACCTAATTATCATATACTCTCCAAACTAGTAACCTACATAACTACTATCCTAAAACCGAGTACCTAATTATTGGGTCCTTTGGACCCTTGGGGTAAGCCCTGGCCTCTGCATTAACAGGAGCAGGGGCCGGCCCTGCAGCTTAACCCCAAACCCTACTTGAAGGGTCTTATAACTTATAACCCCAATTAGGCTACTTAAAGGGTCATCTGACTTAGTAACTGGGGTGATTATTAGGGTAACTATACTTATAACCCCAAAAGAGAAACCCTACTTAAAGGGTCATGGGACTTAGTAATTCGAACTACTAGGATACCCAGTAACCTGAGAGTAAAAAGGCCTCTCTTTTTGGTATTGGGTAACTTTATAAAGAACCTAGGACTACAAAAAGGGAATAAGGGTACTACTGGGCATCCTAGACGATTATTGGGGTAACTATACTTGTAACCCCAATTAGGGTACTTATAACCTTACTTACTAAGTCCCATGATCCTCCAAGTACTCCCTTCCCATTCAGCTGCATCCCGATTGTACTTGCAAGCAAACCCCTAGAAGAAGCGATGCTGTGGCTTTGAGGTTGCCAGGTTGCCTTTTCCTAATGTAGGAACTTGATAAGAAACCCTGGCCATATAACCCCGTAATATTAGGATTCATATAAAAAGCCCGAATAAGGACCCCAGGTTTCTTAAGCAGGCTCGTAGATTAGGGTTTATAGGGTTTAGGCGGTAAGCTGCCATCAACGCCGAGACTGTACCCAAGTAACTCCCAGAACCCGCCCCCAGCGCTACCCCAACACCTGAAGCTCACAAGCCCTGCCACTCGAAGCTCCACAGCTCCTGACCCCCAGAATTACAAACCAGACACCGAAGCCCTGATCCCTAAGCAGTTTAGGGTTTAGGGTTTAAAATGGTCGAGCTTCCCCTGGCTTGGCGACGGTCGGTGGCGAGCCAGCACTTGTGCTGCACATGTAGTCCTTGCATCTTGAATTGATTGAGGTTCTTGCTACCCTCAGGCAGTAAAATGTTTGAGAAAACAGCAATATCGGAAACCTTACACCCCTAAACCGTAAACCCCTAAACCCTAAACCGGAACCGGCCAGCTTAAAGAGAGTGGTCTTAGTGCTCAGGGAAATGAAGCTGATTTGCTTACCGTGGAGTTTGCTGTAGGTTTTCGGGCCTAGGTGTTGTGGCTATCGACAGGTACAGAAATCACCAGTAAATGCTGATATCACGCGCTGTGAAGATACGGTCAGCAGGATCGCAAGTCCCAACAAGCATCCTGAAACCCTAAACCCTACACCCCTAAACCTTAAACCCCTAAACCCTAAATGCATCCTCAACTGTACCCCAAGAGACTAAATGGGTGTTTGTCCATATTAGTGTCCGTTTTGGGGTCCTTATTAAAATACGTCACCTAATATGTAGGGTACCCCAAAAGGGATCATAAGTTTGAGAACCACCCAAGCAAACAAGAACAGTAAGTATCCACGGTTCTTGAAGTACTTCGTCGGAGTGTTTTACAGTATTGTCGGATCTGGTGATGCGTGCAAAGTGACTCTAGGGCTTGTGGGCAGGTCGTGCTGAACAGTTCACCAGGAGCTCCTGTATAGTTATATAACCGTAAACCTGAAATCTTAGAAACGCTGAGCCCTTTGACATACCGCATAGAAGTTATAATACACCAAAGACGGTTGAAGGTTATCTTTTATATACGGACCCGACTCATTTGTGGATTTGGATTTAGAATTCGGGATTTAGGCTCTAGACATTGCGGGTTCATGGCTGAACGCCATGAAGCACCGGAAGCCTTCAAGCCCGAAGAAACATCAAGAAAGCTAACCTACCTTAACCTACCAAAACCTACTTTTTGTAGGGTCCCGAAAAATCCCATATTAGGTTATAATAAGAACCTACAAAAAAGTAGGGTTTCGTGGGTTAAGGTAGGGGCCTGCATAGGGCTTCGATTGAGGAATTATCTTGTCCGACCGCTATATTCTTTGAACGCCGAAGCTGTCCCTGAACCCTAGGCCCCAAACCCTAAATCTACACACCGTAAACCATCACAAAGGTGCCATCAGCAGCTTGAACTCATCAGTGTCCGTCTTCACCTGGCGTGTGCTGGAGCGCGGGCTCGGTCATCGGTGTGCAACTGGGGGTTTTGGGTCAGGGCTTTGGGGTTCTAGGGCTTGAGGTTCGGAGATTGGAGTTTAAGGTTTGGGGGGTAATTATAATATGAGACTCTTGGACTCTTGGGTTAAGGGTTTGTGGCATATGGTCTGCGACATAGGGTCTAGCCATTGAGTATGGCTTCGGGTTTGTGTTTGAGGGCTTCGGGCCTGGGGTAACGTCGCGGGATGCTGTCGTAAACCCTCAGCCCCAAAACAGCTCGACCCGGACGAACCTCGGACCCCAAGACCCTGGACTTCATGACAGACTCTTAGAAGACCCTTACTTAGTTGCTGAGTTCATAAGCCCCAAAGAGTGTACACTTTCAGTTTTATAGTGGGTAATACTGTTGATGGACAAAGTCCGGCATTACCCCTTATAAGGAATATACCATAGTTCCCATAGTTTAGAGTCCTTAGGGTTATGCAGGATTTTGTCCATCAATAGTACCCCAGAGGGTCGAAGTACCCGAATAGTAGGGTTTTAGATCCCAAAATCCATACCCTGAATGGTTTTTGGACTTTGAAACCCTACTATTTGGGTACTTGGACCCTTAGGGTACTATCCCAAAAAAAGTGCAAGGTGTATCCACTCAGCGACTAAGCTGAAAGCACCCCGAAACGCGGGATGCCTAGGGTTTAGGGTTTCGGGTTTAGGGTTTAGGGGGATAGAGACCTCAAGGCACATTACTTGGAGGATCATGGGACTTAGTTAGTAAGGTAAAAAGTACCCTAATTTGGGGTTATAAGTATAGTTACCCCAATAATAATCTCGAATTACTAAGTCCCATGACCCTTTAAGTAGGGTTTCTATTTTGGGGTTATAAATATAGTTACCCTAATAATCACCCCAGTTACTAAGTCCCATGACCCTTTAAGTAGCCTAATTGGGGTTATAAGTATAGTCACCCCAATGATAACTCGAATTACTAAGTCCCATGACCCCCTAAGTACACCCAAAACCCTTCTGGCCTGCTCGAAAGCCACCCCGATCGCACGCTGGCAGTAGTCCATGGGGTTCATCTCCTGGAAAAACTGATACTGATGATGATATAAGCCCTGCATTGCCTTAAGGACCCTAAACTATGGGAATTCTGGAATATCCCTTATTATGGGTCATGCAGGATTTATATCATCAACCGTACTGCATGCGCCGCTTAACCAAACCTCGAGCCGAATGGAATCAACGTCAAGCGCAACGGTACTACAGCATCCCCAAAGGCTCCATGTACCGTTATAGTAGATACTTAAGCCCCAAAGTAGTCCCTATATAGGTACTTTCAGGCCTATGTATATACCATATGGGTACATGGAGCCTTAGGGGTACCAGCCTGCGTAAGTTGGGAGTTTCTGAAAATTCGGGGTACTTTACTTGGGTGTCCTTCTAATAAGGATCCTACTGTTTAGGGCAGTATATTAGGGTCCCCTATTTTCGGAAACTCCCACATCAATCACTCATAAACCTCACCTAAAAGCCGAAGTACCTTTGCATGGTGCTGCGCCGCAAGGAGCGTCTGAATGCCGACCTTGGCACAAGTCGCAAGCACTCTCCGTTTTAGCGAAGAAGCCTAGTTGGAGGTTAATGGGTCATAAAGGAGCGTTAATAGATCGATTAATTAGGGTTTCGGTGCCCATTATACAAAAATCATAGCAAGGAAATCCAAGAATAGTATGAGTAATTATTTAGGCCCCTGTGTTACTTGGAGGTTACTGATGATGGGTAGGTACGGCCTCCCGCCATCTCACGAGGAATGGCTCGTGGCCGTTCCTCGTGACCTGATCTTCCCAGCGACGGAATTATTCGGGAACCTTCGGACGGAGAGTCGGACTCCCACCGCGTCGTTGGAGATTCATTCATGCTGAATGGAGGTGTGATTCTACCAGTGCTGTCAGACGTGTGATCTCCGCCTGTCCGCCTTGCGCCTTCTTTGTGCAAGGGGATGGAGCTGTCCATAACCTGCGAACTGCCCTGGGCGCCGACCTGGCGTTTTCCTAAGCCCTAAGCTTTGAGGTAGCAGCGGAGCGTCCAGCGAGACCGTCGTGAGTGTGACGACGAGGTCCCGGACGCGGGCGGCGGCCATTTCCACTTCTCTGTGGCGGTTCCGGATGATGTTATGCTTAGAAGATCTTGAAGTGCTAATATAGGGACTGTGAGGGAATAGTATCAGGAATTCTTCCGACCGACCTCTTTAGTGTGGGTTGTCGAAATTCTGTCCATCAGCCCGACATCGTGATCCCTCCTAGAAAACAGGGCCCCTTATTGTACACCATCGACCCCATTATCAGAACCGCCACGAGCTCTAAGAAGCCCCAGTGTTAAACCCAAGACCCTGCCTTAATAGGAGGGACCTTATCGTCAGAACAGGGTCATTTTAGTATTTTTTGGCGCGGGGGGCGCGGGCGCTGTAGTATACTAAAAAGTTTAGATCCACGGGGAGCAGCTATCGCCCTGCACCCTAAACCCCAAACCCTAAGCCCCTAAACGCTAAACCCTAAACCCCTAAACCCCAAACCCTTAAACCCCTCAACCCTAAACCCCTAAACCCCAAACCCTAAAGCCTCAACCTCGACCTCCTAACTTCTTAAAACCCTCAGCGCCATTACATTACGCCTTGTGTCGCAGCAGCCAAGGCGCGCTGGCTTCCGTGAGGTTCCTTAGCTTGAAGTCGTGCTTAGGATTGTTTGGGGGTTCGGGTTCCGGGTTTAGGGGTTTAAGGGGTTTATGGTTTATAGGGTTTGGGGTTCAGGGTTTAGGGTTTAGGTTGGTTGGTTGGTTTAGACACAGGTGTGACATCTCTGGGCAAAGAGATGAGGGGGAAGGCGGGGGGGAGGAGCCTTGGCTGCTTGCACCGACAGGTGCCCCGACCCCCAGAACGCCGAAGCAACTGGGGTTTAGGTCTATAGGGCTTACCCAAGGGCCCCAAAGTAGTTCCTTTTTGGGGCTCATATATAGAATCCTATAGGGTGACTCCAAAAAGGAACTACTTTGGGGCCTCTGGGTAGGTTGCAGGGCTTAGGTTCGTGCTTGGAATATCGCAGCGGAAGAGCTGCGATCTAGCGACCCATGGGTTGTGCATGTTGGCATTGTGACTTGTGCTGTGCGAGCTGTCTGAAGCTTGTAAAGACGGGGGCTTCGGCATCCGGGTTTCCGCATTGAATATTCCAGGTTTAGGGTCCTGGGGTATAGCGGGTTGAGCTTTGGTGTTTACAGTCTGCCAGGACCGGACAATAGGAACCTAAACCCTAAACCCTAAACCCCCAAACCCTAGGAAAGGTTTACGGTTGAGGGAAAGAGGGATGGGGGTTGAGATTCCTGGGGCTCGGATCCGTGCAGCGTGTAAGTGCTTGCGGTGGAGTCTGTGGAACCTTGCCAGTGTGTGAAATAAATCTAGCTTTTCAAGGCCGGTTTCTGGACCTCAACAGGGGCCTTAATGATTAGAATGGGGTTTTCGGTAAATTTTAGTGCAGTTGTAACCTCATTAAACCCTAAACTAAGGAATGCTACTGGTCATTATTCAGTTCTATGTTATGGATAGGCTTTCGGACACTATGTTTCGCAGGTGTTGCTCTGGTGCCTCGAATGATTCAATCGGTGTCTAGGGTCCTTTTCAACCACATCCAGCGTTCAGGGTTAGGGGTTCAGGGTTTATGGGTTTATGTAGGGTTAAGGTTTAGGGCTTTAGGGTTTCTGGGTTTATGTAGGGTTAAGGTTTAGGTGTTTAGGGTTTATGGGTTTATATAAAGATTAAAGTCTAAAGTTTCTCAAACCACAACCCGAATCCATGTCATGGCCCGGAAGGAACCCTGAAACCTGAACTCGAAAAATGCCACTCGACCCTACACCGACACCCAGGAGGTCTAAAATTTTAGAAAGCAGTAATGCAGGGTCGTCGTAATGGGAATAGGGTTTCGGCGTATGGGAATGATGTTGGTAATTGCGAAGGCCCTTATACTAGAAACTCAGGAATTTACCAGTATAGAACCGAGCTCGTCTTAGCGGAACCCTGTTTCAGGAACCCCTTTTACTGCTTTGGCAGCGGGTCAAGAGCTGCTCAAACTCCTTGGACAAGGCATCGTCACTCTCAATGGGGCGCGCCACCTGCCCACGACAGCTCACTGCATCTTGAAACCTGAACCCGGAATACCAAATCTTGAACCCTAAACCCCAAACACTCAAACCTTGAACCCTGAGCGCTAAACTTGGAACTTACGACCAATTTCGTTACGGTTCGAAGCAGGGAAACGCCCTGAACTCTTAAACCTCAGTATTTAATCTCTGATGCAGGGAGGAGGAGCGCTTGCCAGGGAAGGGATTTCTGCGGCCCACCAGCCCCGACGCCTCCAAGTCTTCCCCGAAACTACCATGGCCTCTTACAATGTAGTCAGGTTGTGGCAGGTCGTTCAACGCGAGTTTGGAATTTATGTTACTTCCTCGATAGGCCACAGCAATCGAAGGATACAAGCCCGAACAAATAACTAAGCTCCATCCAACGGAGTGGGAGAAGTTCGATATTCCAATGGCTAGCATAGCAAAGGAGGACGCACGGAAATCACTCGCATTATTTTCAGCAACATGTGTACTATAGTTTTAGGGCCCTGCTTATTCCACATACTACGATATTTTACACCCCCCCCAAAACCCTGTTCGAGTCATTAAGGCCCCTACAATTACCTGGATAATGTGCATCAAGCAGCAACATGCCAATGACAGCACTACGCCTGAGCCCCGGACTTGACCAGCGGACCAAACTTTTTCACCCTGACATTGTCAGGAGGCCTGGCTGTGACACAACGCCGCAAGCACTTAGACCCAATCGCTAGCAAGTCAGAAGCTGATCCTGCACAGCACTGCTGTCACCACCAGAGCCAGCATCGCCCCAGGTGACGATAGAACCATCACCAAGAATCGCAGCAAAAGCACGCCTGGATGCTTGGATCGCCTGCACCGTTCTCAGCTGATCCCGAACAGAGCTGCTGTTGCCACCGGAGCGGGCATCGCCCCAAGTCACAACCGTTCCATCGTTAAGGATGGCAGCAAAAGCGGCGGAGGAGGCCTGGATCTGCTGTACATTCTTCAGCTGATCTTGCGCAGCAGTGCTGTCACCGCCATAGTCACCATCGCCCCATGTCACGACAGATCCGTTCTCAAGAATGGCCGCAAAAGCTCTCATAGAGGCTTGGATCTGCTGCACAGTCTTCAGCTGATCCCGCACAGCGTTACCAGCCTGAACATCACCCCAGGTCACAACAGATCCATCCCCAAGAATAGCAGCGAAAGCACCTTCGGAGTGCTGGATGCGCTGCACAGCCTTCAGCTGTTCCTGCACGACACTGCAGTCGCCGCCATGGCGAACATCACCCCAGGTCACGACGGATCCATCCTGAAGAATGGCAGCGAAAGCGTAGTCTGTAGCCTGGATCTGCTGCACAGTCTTCAGCCGATCCTGCACCGAACTGCTGTCACCACCGTGTCTCCGAAATCCCCAGGCCACAACGGATCCATCACCGAGAATGGCGGCGAACGCACGCGCTGAGGACTGGATCTCCCTGACATTCTTCAGCTGCTCCTGCACATAGCTACTGTCCCCACCAGATTCAGCACCCCCCAAGTCACAACAGATCCATCACCAAGAACCGCAGCAAAGGCCTGTGGAGAGGCTTGGATTGTCCGCACATCCTTCAGCTGGTCTCGGATGGTCCTGCTGTCGCCGCCGGACCAAGCATGTCCCCAGGTCACAACCGCTCCATCGTCCAGAATGGCAGCAAAAGCAGCGGAGGAGGCTTGGATCTGTCGCACATTCTTCAGCTGATCCCGCACAGCAGTGCAGTCACCACCGTGGGCAGCACTGCCCCAAGCCACGACAGAGCCATCCCCAAGAATCGCAGCGAAACTAGAACCAGAGACCCGGATATGCTGGACATTCTTCAGCTGATCCTTCACAGCTTCGCTGTCCCCACCATAGACAGTATTGCCCCAAGTCAGAGACCGAGCATCGCCCAGGATGGCAGCGAAAAAATGCCTGCTGCCACATACCTGAACTCGGCCTACATGGAATACCAGCGAGTCACCATTCTGCAGGCTAGCATTCTTGATCGAAACACATCCATGCAGAACGTTTCCACGTCCGTCCAGGAGTCTCCCCTTGCCAACTCCTAGCACAGACTGTGCACGGCGTGTCAGCGCTGCCACGTCTTCTTCCAGCCCCGCTTCCACTGTAACCGCTTTGCCGCTCAGCAATCGGACTTCCACAGAAATAGACATGCTGAACACAGCAAGAAGACAGGTGCCCAAAAAGCAGATCCCCTGCACAGATGTCCGACGTGGATGGGTACTATCTTGATGTGCAGGCCTAAAGCAAAACAACCCTCCTAAACCCTAAACCCTACTTATTGTCTGCATAGTAGTTCCTTTTTGGGTTGCCGAATAAAACCCCAAAACCTACCAAACAGCAAACCCTAAACCCCTGAACCCTAAACTTCAAAATGAACCCTCGCCCTCAACCCTAAACCGCCAAACCCTAAGCCCTAAACCCCCAAACCCTAAGCCCTAAGCCCCCAAACCCTAAGCCCTAAGCCCTATCAAAGCACCGAAGTGACCCGAAATCCTACGGTAAACCCGATAAAGTTGGAAACCGAATTAAGGCCAAATAGTGCTGGGATTCCCTTTATATGACTCTTAAGCATTGAGGCTACTGGATTTCCAACTTTTCGGCTTCTACCATAGAGCCCCGGAGCTCCAATCCCCGGAGCCCCTCGTCCTCTGCAGCTTACTACAAGGGTCTTTAACAAGGTCTCCTTTAAAGGGGCCTATAAATTATGAGGTTTCCTTTAAAAGGGGTCTATAAATTAAGAGGTTTCCTTTACAGGGGCCTATAAATTATGAAGTTTCCTTGTAAAAGGGTCTATAAAGTTTCCTTTAAAGGGGGTTTACAAGGGTTACTGCAAGGGATGTAAAATAGGGTTCTATAGGATAGGGGTCTTAATTACCAGAACAGGGTCCTGGGGTACGTGATGGTATGATTATATCGGGACTAACGATACGGGGATATTACTAGGGCATATTCTTGGGTGGCTGTCAAAATTACTCCTGTTTGGGTACCCTAAATATTAGTAGGTGCCATCTTATACTGACAACCACCCTATTATCAGTCATAGAGTGAGAAGCCTTCGGATAGTTTGACTGCAAGCTGCAGGTGCCATGGACACTGCAGTCCGATCTGCAGCTTGGAACCGAAGCTTTTGACACAACAAGCCTACACGTGCTTCAGCACTGAACCTCACATGGAACCTGAACGACTGCTCTGTACCGAGAACTCACCAACTAACCACCCTCACATGCAGCCAACAAAAAACAACCACTTGACCTAAGCCATGACTACAACAAAGCCTTTGGTGATGCTTGTTACCGTTACGTACCTTGCACATCCTGGCTGGGGGACACGAGATTCTGCGTCCGGCCGCTCAACCACAAATCTCATAAAGCCAGTAAAACCCCGTAGAGCCCTTGCAACACTTTCAAGCCCCAATCCCCCCCACCCCCTCCCCTATCACAGCACCGAAAAGCACCCACCAAGACCTCCCAAACCCTGAAACCCTACAGCCTAAGCCCTAAACCCTAAACCCTAAAACCCTAAAACCAGAAAGCCCTAAAACCCTAAAATCCTAAACCCTAAAACGCTACTCACGCCCTCAGGAACGGCCTCAACTGTGCCTGCCCCCCGCGGGATGAGCTCGTAGTAGCCTCAGTGGTATGGGACGCTTTGCCAAGCCGGCGCAGAGAAGTTCATGTATGTAGGGTTCAGGGTTTAGGGTTTAGGATTCAAGGTTTAGGGTATGAGGTTTAGGCTTTGAGGTGCAATCGCACAAATGCATAGAATCAAAACGGATGCGGCTCAGGGTTCGGGGTAAGGTCTGTGACTATTTGCTTAAGAACCCCCCCAAAAAAAAATATATATATATTCCTTATGGGGTAATATAGGGATTATTTTTTTTTATTTTTTGGGTGGTTTCTTAAGCAAATAGTAGTCTGTGACTGGGCATCTGCTCTGAGTCTCAGGGCCGAACTGAGGTGACATGCTCTCTTGTAAACAATACGTCATAGGGATCCTTAGGGGTGTAGGGGGGAGGGGTGTAGGGGACTATATTTCCTTAAATAGGCCTTATTAGTCCTCATTATGGGTCTTAAGGCCCCCTACCCCCCCTCCCCCTACACCCCTAAGGATCCCTATGAATACGGGAAGTTAAAGAACATCCCCAATCGATACATAGTACAAGCCCGAAAGTTGGAACATGACTCTCCTTGTGACCTTAGACTAAAGTGTGAGGATTTTCCGCCCAGCACTAATCACCTGTAGGCCAGTCAAAACAACATAATATTAAACTCATCGATATCATACAGCATTGTATTTTAGTACTACTGCTAGTATTGTTAGTATTATCATTACTGTCATTATTTGTATGTTTATTCAAGATGTGGATTTTATTCGTATCACTACTCTCATTATTGCTGTTGCTGATCCAACTAGTACTACTTTCAGACACTAAAGGCTGCGGCTCTGGCGAGCTGAGGCTTCATCGATTGCAGCTACAGGGAAGCAACACATCTTCCAAATGCTGCGCACCCAAAAGCCGAAACCGAAAGGCAGGGGCCAATAATTCGAACAGGGTCTCGGGGGCAGAGTATGATAGAGTGCTATGGAAGGTTTAATGTAGACGCCGGGGTAACTAGATTAGGGTTAGTGAAGGTTTCTATCTCTTCAGTCGAGTTGTCTAACATGGTATAAGTAGTTCTCAGGGGTTCCTCTACCATTCAGAATATACTACAGATATTACAGACGCCTTCGGTGATATACTGCCCTTATGGTCCATGGTAAAATGGGTCAAAGTATACACTCTTTGGCGACATGGGCCCTTATACCCTAAACCACTTATAGCAGTACCCTTATAGAACCCATGGGCCCATATCGAGGGCTCCTTTTCTTAGACGCTTAGGGTTCTTTTCTTAGACCCCAAACCCGAGACCCCCAAACAATAGACCTAGACCCCGCTTCGGACAGGCCAAGCCAGAGGGCGCGAGGAAAGCTCGAGGATTCGCTCGCGCACCTGGCATTGGAGTGGAATCAACGAACCCCCAAGACACTTAAAGCAGAAGCCAGAAAGTTGGAACCTTAGTATCCTCATGCCCTTAAAGGTAAGGTATAGGGGATCCTAGCACTCATCATCCTAAATCGATGTTCCAACTTTCTGGGGTTGACTATAGGGGTTAGGGCTTATGGCATGGGGCTTTACAAGAATCCCGAAACGAAACCCCAAGAGGTTTAGGATGGTTTAAGGCTGGCATTCTGGTTCAAGTTCAGCTTTAGAGTTAGACCCTAAACCCTAAACCCTAAATCCTAAACCCTAAACCCTAAACCCTAAACCCTAAACCCTAAATCCTAAACCCTAAACCCTAAACCCTAAACCCTAAACCCTAAACCCTAAACCCTAAACCTCTCTATCATATATAGATTTAAACCCTAATGCCTTCGTCGTTTAAGGCCGTCCCTTCGTCGTTTAAGGCCGAACCTTCGTCGTTTAAGGCCGAACCTTCGTCGTTTAAGGCCGAACCTTCGTCGTTTAAGGCCGAATCTCGTTTTTTAAGGTCACCTCCGGGTTTTTGACCTTAACCGACGAAAGTTCGGCCTTAAACGACGAAGGTTCGGCCTTAAACGACGAAGGTCTGAGCCCCCAGCTTCGTCGTTTAAGGCCGAACCTTCGTCGTTTAAGGCCGAACCTTCGTCGTTTAAGGCCGAAACTTCGTCGTTTAAGGCCGAACCTTCGTCGTTTAAGGCCGAACCTTCGTCGTTTAAGGCCGAACCTTCGTCGTTTAAGGCCGAACCTTCGTCGTTTAAGGCCGAACCTTCGTCGTTTAAGGCCGTCCCTTCGTCGTTTAAGGCCGAACCTTCGTCGTTTAAGGCCGAACCTTCGTCGTTTAAGGCCGAACTTTCGTCGTTTAAGGTCAAACCTTCGTCGTTTAAGGCCGAACCTTCGTCGTTTAAGGTCACCCTTGCCTTTAGGGTTTAGGGCCTAGGGTTTGGGCTTTAAGGTTTAGGGCCTAGGGTTTGGGCTTTAAGGTTTAGGGCCTAGGGTTTGGGATCTAGGGTTTGGGCTTTAAGGTTTAGGGCCTAGGGTTTGGGCTTTAGGGTTTAGGGCCTAGGGTTTGGGCTTTAGGGTTTAGGGCCTAGGGCTTTAGGGTTTAGGGCCTAGGGCTTGGGCTTTAAGGTTTAGGGCCTAGGGTTTGGGCTTTAAGGTTTAGGGCCTAGGGTTGCAATATGAACTGTTGTATTTTCCTAGTGGTGTGGGAAGGCGACATTAAAGTGTGACAAGCTAGGTTGTAGGTACAACTCTCTGAATGATGATGAAGGACTTTATATGGCTTATGTTATGGGATTCTAAGGGTGGGTGGGTGTTACTTCTAAACCGTAAATACAACTCTACTTTAAAACTGCTCGATCCGGAGCAGCTGAACCCTAAACCCTAAACCCTAAACCCTAAACTCTAAACCCCTAAACCCTAAACCCTAAACCCTAAACCCCTAAACCCTAAACCCTAAACCCTGAACCCTAAAGTTGCTCGGCCCCCTTGGCCTTAAGTCGATGAACCCTAAACCCCAACCCCTAACCCTACCGTTTTAGGGTTTAGGGTTTAGGGTTTAGGGTTTAGGGTTTAAGGTTTAGGGTTTAGGGTTTAAGGTTTAGGGTTTAGGGTTTAAGGTTTAGGGTTTAGGGTTCTACCCTCTAATTAAGGGGTCATAACCTACTATTCTGTAGGGTTTGGGGTCACAGGTAACCCCTGAACCCTAGACCGCGCCGCTGTAGCAGTGCGTCTACTTGGAGGATCATGGGACTTAGTAAGTCAGGTTATAAGTAGTTATAGGCAAAGTAGCTAAGTCCCATGATCCCGTAAGTAGGAATTTTACAGCTCAACCTCCAGTCAGTTCAGTCCTATGTCCCTCCGCCACCTGCACCAACAACTGTGTACATGGTGAAGAAGCATGTACTGTAGGGGCCTTATATCTATATTATATATATATATGATAACTAGAATAGGGCTATGGGGGTTCCCTTAAAGGGATCCATATGGGCTACTACGAGAATTTAGTCTAGTGGCATAGGGGGCCTAATAATTGGAATAAGGTTTTGGGGCCCGTTGTACTATGAGTATAATAAGGAACCCCTCACACAGTACAGGTGAATCTAGGGGCCGAGATTTAAGGCCCAGCCCTAAACCCTCAAGCCCCGACCTACAGGATCTCCAAACCTCCCTCTCAGCTCCGACTATATGTGCCGAAATGAGTCGAATAGTTTTCTTTGGAGGAAGTCATCGTGACACAGGCATAATAAGGACCATAGCAGATACTGTTTCTATCCATTCCAGTCCGTGCTTCAGCGCGGACCCATCATCGCTAGAGTCGGGATCGGCGAGTTACCGGAATCATCCTGAACCCCTATGCCGAAGTCCGAAACTTCCTCGAGCCCTCAATCCAAACCCTAAACCTAACCTAAGTTTACCCAAACGGTTCAAGTAATGGAATAGTATACACTTTCGGGGGCCAAATACCTATATTATAATGGTACTTGAACCCTTTGGGCTACTATATTATTATGGCGTACTAGATACTTTCGGGGCCCAAATACCTACTATGATGGTACTTGATGACCCCTATAGACCCTAAACAACAAAAAAATCCCTCATAAACCACATGACGACCCTGAGCCTCGTTGCGCTTCTTCGAAGCTTCGAGCACTTCCTCGGCTTTGGCGAAGCCGAAGCCCTTTGGCTTCCAGTGTCCGCCTGGCTGTAGGTGTGCACGCTTTTGGGTTTAGGGTTCGGGGTTTGGGGCTTAGGGTTTGCGGTTTAGGGTTTGGGTTTAGGGGTTTAGGGTTTAGGGGTTTGGGGTTTTGGACTTAGGATTTAGGGGCTCGGGGTGTCCGCAAAGTGAAACAAGGGGTTTAAGGTTCAAGGTTTAGTGCTCACCGGCAGAATATTGGCGTATATATATATATATATATATATGTCGGTTTCCAACAACATAGCTATACATACGTTGTGCATCTGCACATGCACGCACTTGTGCATTATTTGCGCGCGTGTGTGTTCATAAAACCGTGCATGCATGCATATATCCAGCCTTATTTGTGGATGCACATAACTTTCACATTTATGTCTTGTCGTTACTTTACTTGTTCAGCTGTATACATACATACATACATACATACATACATACATACATACACACATATATACAGATGAATACATCGGTTAGACAGTCATGAACATGTCACGTCGAGCTGCTTGCAGGTAATCATCCATGCATGTGGTATTCACGTACTTGCCTTGGTGATTCCTCGCTGATACTTTCTCCTAGCTATGGTTTTGCTGGCACACTGACAGACCCAGGCTTTGCAAGGTTTTTATCTCCTGATATGCTTTCTGGTGGGTATGTGCACGTAGGCATACACTTACATTCACAAACACGCATTCATACACACACACACACACACATACAAGAAAGCAAACGAGCAAACAGACAAATGGACAAACAACCCAATGCACAACAAACTCAAACACAATTCGCACACACGCACACACACACACACATGCCTGCAGACACGCATTGGCATGCACACATATTTACATATCCTGTACATACCTACAGACCGACGGACCTACCTACCTACATACGTGCATACATGGAACACATAATACATAATTACGTACATAGATACATACATTACATTACAATAGTACATACATACATACATTACATTACAATAGTACATGCATACATACATACATACATATCTACATACACACCATACATACATATGGACAGGCAGACAAACAAACAGACATACAGACAATACACATATACCGACATACCATACCAGCAGCCTTTCACATACATGTGTATACCGTGAGTAAAATACATCCGTATACACACGTGTAAAGTCTATCTTACTGATGATGTACTTGTTTTGTATACTTGGAGAAGCAACCAAAGCGGCTCATATCTCGTGGGAGTTGTCTTTGCGATTTGTCGCGCATAGTCGCGAATGGCAGAATCATCAGCCAGTCCTCTTCTTTCTCCGGATGCTTGTCCGTCACCACGGAAAGGGTGAAGGCCAACACCGAGGCCCTCGTCCACCCCTTGAACAAGTCTGTGTGGTTCTTAGTACGGAGTGGGGGAATGGATCATGACTACTTTTGTGGATTATATAGGGACTACTCTAGGAATCCATTCCCCCATTCCCTACTAAGCACCAGACAGTCGATCGCTCCCAGCTTCAGCTTCGTGGCGCTGCCATCCATGCTCACAGACACGGCCAACGGCTCGCGACCCAGGTCGGCCCTTGTCATGATCATGGACTCCCACGCCGTGATCCGATCACAAACAAGCGGAAGCCGATTGTTATGTTATGCAGGGGTTTGGGGGTTTAAAGTTTAGGGGTTTCGGGGGCTTGGGTATCCATAACCTCAAACAGCAATATATCCTAAACCCTGCACCCTAAACCCTACATCCGACACCTTAAAACCTGAACCCGACAGGTACTTGCACAACACAGCACAACCATGAGCCTGACACCCTACATCACCAAAACAGTACCAATCCCATGAACACCGACTGGATTAGGAACCTCAGCTGTGCAACTCCATCGAAGCCCTACAAAGCCCAGCGTTCTTGAGCTCAGGTTGTGTGGGCTTTTGGGGTTTGGGTTGTAATGTGGAGATTTAAGGATGCCAAGCTGTGAATTCTGCTGTTCCAGGGTTTAAGTTTAGGATTGAAAGTTTACGTCGACACTGAAACCCGCTACCTAGGATACCCGGTAACCTAAGAACAAAAAGGCCTCTCTTTTTGGTATTGGGTAACTTTATAAGGAACCTAGGACTACAAAAAGGGAATAAGGGTACTACTGGGCATCCTAGCCCCTAATTTTCGGAAACCCTAAACCCTTTATAGAACCCTTATAGATCCCTTTAAGGAACCCTTATAGATCCCTAAGTGTACTACTGGGCATCCTAGAATGGCTCCTGGATGTTGGCTGCTACTGTATCCGCAGGGAGGCCTGTTTCCATCCTAGCTACAGAGAAGCAAGAAGGCCCTTACCTGCACAAAACCTTACGGTAACCTCAGCCCCAATGCCCCCGAGCACAAACCCAAACCCTAGAACCTAAATCCTAAAACCAAAGCCCTCTAACCCTAAACCCTAAACCCTAAACCCTAAACCCTGAAGCCAATGAATGACCCAAAAAATTCTGAACCCCTAAATCCGAAATCTCTAAGCCCCAGACTCCGAAGCCCAAAATTCCTAAAATCCCTGCGCAAACCAAACCCTAAATGCCTAAACCCTAAAAGCCTAAGCCTGAATCCTGAAGTCATAAAACCTTAATCTGGGTTCTTGTTAAGGGACCTTAATTTAAGTTACCATAATAGGGATCTATCGTAAATAATAGGGTTTCCTTATTATGGTAACTTAAATTAAGTTCCTTAACAAGAACCCAGTAATACAAACCCTAAACCCAGATTGCCTAAAGCCTAAATCCTGAATTCAGTTAGAACTCTAAACAGACCCAAACCCCCTGAACCGTAAATCCCTAAACCGAAAACTAAGCAGACCCGAAATCCCAAACCCTAGATGCCTGAATCCTAAATTCATAGCACTCAGAACATACCCTAAACCCCTAAAGCCTGAATGCCCAACTCCATTCTTGAAGAACTCTAAGCAAATCCTAAATTCGTAAACCCTCGCCCCTAAACCCACAATGCTCTACAATTTCAAGAAGACCCCCAACCCTAAACCCTAAACCCTAAACCCTAAAACCTAAACCCTAAACCCTAAACCCCTTTAAAACACAAAGCCCCCGCAACTGCGTGAAGCCCTGAGCTCTGAACCCTGAACCCTAATTCCTGAGCCCTAAATCCTAAAATCCTAAGCCCTAAACCCTAAAATCCTACACCCTAACGGTTTAGGGTTTAGGGTTTAGGGTTTAGGGTTTACCCTAAACCCTAAAAACCCTAAACCCTACACCCTACACCCTAAACCCTAAACCCTCAAACCCTAAAACCCTACAGCCCTGAACCCGAAAGCTCTTCGACTCTACGGACTTCCGAGAACTTCAGCAGTCGCCGCCTGCGCGGCCCGTGGCTTTCAACTCCGCGATCGCTTCGCGGATCTCACCTTGGCTTCGGGTTTAGGGTCTAGGCGTGCAGGGCCTCAATAAAGGGTTCCTTTAAAGGGTCCTAGAAGGGATCCTACTACAAGCGATCTAGAAGGGATCCTTTAAAGGGATCTATAGGGTTTATGGGCTTAGGGTTTAGGGTTCAGGGCTTAAGGCTTTTTTGTAAGGTGCAATGACTCTTTCACAACTCCGCACGCAGAGCAGGTCGGGCTTCGGGTTAGGGCTTAGGGCTTAGGGTTTAGGGTTTAGGGTTTAGGGTTTTAGGGTTTAGGGTTTAGGGTTTAGGGTTCAAGGTTTAGGGTTTAGGGTTATATAGGGTTTAGGGTCTAGGTTTTAAGGTTTAGGCTCTACATGACAAGTTGGGATTTAATCATCGCTTGAAGGGTTTAGGATTCAAGTTGGGGGCTAGGGCTTCCCGGGTTCAGGGGGGATTTGGTGTTTTTGAGCCCGATTCTATGGGGGCTATGAGCTTATACACGAAGAACTGTTGCGGGTTTACAGTCAGGGCTTGCGGATTAATCGTAAACCCTAAACTCTAAAACCCTAACTTGATGAGGCTTGGAATGACAAGATATAGACTTTAGACCCTCAGCCCTAAACCCTCCTCCACATTGAGGCTCCCCAGCCTAAACCCTAAACCCTAAACCGTATCCTACACCACTCTTCACCCTGACACTTTTGGTTATTTAGGGTAGGGTTTAAGTAGGGTTCCAGGTTTAGGGGCCGTGATACGTGCAGCGCGACAGCTCCCAGAAGCCTGAAAGGGAACCGCCAAAGCCCCAAAAATCTGCAAGGGTGAGGCACCAAGCAGAGACCGCGCTTGGTCCAAAGTTGCGCGCGAAAGGCTGCCGAAGGGCATTGACCTGAGTTTAAGGCTCCTCGGTTTAGGGTATAGGGTTTGGGATCTAGGGTTTGGGGTTTAGGGTCCTGTATGGGCTGCTTTACCGGCGTCTGAAGAGCTCTACATAGGTTGTCGGGTTTAGGAGAGGTTGCCAAACGGCAGTGACCCGGGCTACTGGAAAGTGTATTGACCAACAAACAAGTAAAACCGAAACTTATCAGCATGTACTCATCAGCATGTAATATGTCAGTATGCATGTACGCATACAGCGCGCACACACACATACATATACATAGCTGAACAGAATAAGGAAGCAAATACATAACAAGCATCGATTACGTAAACTTTGGGCCTTGGATACTAGAAGCGATGTTACGAACTGCTTGTAGGAGCCAGTGAAGTCTCAAAGTCTAAAGGTATTAAACGGTTTTAGGGTTTAGTACAGGCTTGGTGTCTTAGGCCTCTTGGTTCAGGGTTTTAGGATTTTGGGGTTTTGGGGTTGAGGATTTTAGAGTTTGGGGTTTTCTTTGCCAAGCCGCTGCGTCTTGATTCCCATGGACCGGACGGCCTCGACAGTGCTTATGGCCGTGGGGTGACTTTTTCTCCCTGTCGCGATCGGATCGTGAGATCCCACCCTGACTGCTGAACCACCGCCCCAGCCCTCAAACGAGCTCCTCATGGCCCCAGTCACCGGGCGACTTCTGAAAACCAGGCCTTCTGCAAAATGAAAAAGGGGGTGAGCCAAAAGCACATCCACGTAACAACTACACCCAAAAAGACACCTAACCCGAAACCCCAAGACCCTAAACTCCAAACCTAAACACTTCATTCGACCTCCCGGTTCCGCACCTGCATGATGTGCTGCGGATCGCAGATGGCATCCAGGGTGCGCCAGACCATGCGCGGAAGCTGGCTCCTCACCGGCTGAAGGTGTGACTTTAGGGCTTGGGGTCCGGGTTGTTAAAGTTCAATAAACCCTAAACCCCAAACCCTAAACCTTAAAGTTCAGGGTTTGGGTTTAGGGGCTGACGGTGTGACGAAGATAGTTGACACCGTCCTCTGCTGGCCGGCTGTGCAGAATCCCGATTGAAGCACCACCTACTTGTCGGGTATCATGGGGAACTCAAGATTAACCTTTTTGCTTATACAGGGAAAATATAGGGACAAAAATACCCCAAAAAGGTTAAAGGTTGCCTACTCTACTACTAGGACAGAGGCCCCCAAACCCTGAACTCGCTTCAGTGTGTGCGAGGTAGGATTGGCAGGGGTAGCGCTGTCTATGAGTCAATGACGGTTTAGGGTCTAGGGTTTGGGTTGTAAACAACTCAGATTTTAGGGTTTGGGGTTTAAGGGGTTACAGGGTTAAGAGTTTAGCGTGGACTCTGCAGTACGATGTCTGTTGCACAGCCGCATTTGGGGCCACGCGCCCCTGGGCGCAGTATTTCCTAAACCCAAACCCCTTAAACCCTAAACCCTAAACCCTAAGCCCTTAAACCCTAAACCCTGGCTCTGCGCACAGCCACAACCATCCTCCAAGTTTCACCGCTTCAGGCACAAAACCCCAAGCCTCAAGCACTGAAGCACAAAAACCAGCACTGAAGCAAAGCTTCCGGAACCCCAGGGCCCTACACCCTTAACCCTAAATCCTGTTCCCTTAGACACTTTAAGTATGTAGAATATCAGTCCTTTATAGGTATTGGGCCATTAGTTTACCTTGTTTTGGGGGTCTAGATAAGCCCCCGATGGCATGCTTCAGTGATCCTGGCGCTCTTCTCGAAGTCGAAAGGCTGGACAATCTCCTTCGGGTTGGTTTAGGGTTTAGGGGGCGCAGCGGTTTGTGGTAAAAGCTCCGGGGATTGAAAGCTCAGTGGTCCGGCAAGAGAGGTCATAGAAACCCAATGGAACCCTATTCTGCCTACTTACTACCAGGGCGCCTATACTATCGGGCCATTCTGTTCTTGTCATGATCGGGCTTGATTCTTCAAAACCATCCGCAATGGCTATAGAAGGGATCCTTGATCCTACCTACCTTACCCTAAACCCTAAACCCTAAACCCTAAACCCTAAACCTAAACCGTCCTTCATCGCACCGTTCGAGGCCCCTGAGTTACAAAGTTCCATTCGACTTCAAACGGCGTACCACTGCTCCACGACCGTCCCTAAGTCCTGGAGCCCTCCACTCCGCTGAGTGCTTCGAGGCGCCGCGGAGCCGGAATAGCTTTGGACGACTATGAATGTGCACATATTATAATTATTAGAACTATTATTATTATTATTATTATTATTATTATTATTATTATTATTATTATTATTATTATTATTATTATTATATATATATATATATATATATGAAAACAGGAATAAGAACACGTACCAGTCTAGGTAAAAGCATAAAGAAACAAATAAATTTACACGCATACATACATACATACATACATACATACTTACTTACTTACTTACTTACTTACTTACACACATACATACATACATACATACACACATACATACATACATACATACTTACATACACACATACATACATACATATACACATACATACATACATACATACATACATACATACATGCATACATACATGCATATAAACTAACATACGTACTAGCATCACAAAACAAAACATAACATAACATCAAGTGAAAGCCGGCCGGATGTAGTGTTAGTTGAGGCCCCCCCAGGCCCCTAAAACCCGCAAGCAAAAATCTACCAGCAAAATCTTCAAAGTGAGCTTTGCCAGTGGAGAGATGGTGCACTCTCTGCGATGCGAAACCCTCAACCCTGCCAACCCCGGAACATGGGTAAAGAGCAAGGCAGTTGCTTGGGGTTTCGCCATCAGGGTTTTGTTGGGCTCAATTCTAAGGGCTTTAGGGGTTTTGATGCTTAAGGGTTGTAGGGTTCAGGGAATGGAAACGGCTTTAGGGTTCAGGGTTTCTTTGGTTCCGGAACTCGAACCCTACACTGCCTGTGCACCATCAAGTGACCTCTACATCCAAAGCCTAAGGCTAAACCCTTGTGTATACCCCCCTTGCAACCATAATAAGTAAGACGAATATGCTCAATATTCTCTTCGGTTTTATATGAACAAAAACTTAAAAGGATTCCTAAGGAGACAATAGTCTCGCAGGAAGCCCCGAACCCTTAATGGGTCCCTTTAAAGGGATGAATAGGGATTCTATAAGGGTATAGGGTTTAGGGTTTAGGGGGTTTAGGGGAAAAGGAGGGACTCTTAATGGGGACCCCTAACCCGGGACTCAAAAAGTCCCTCTCCCCACGGCTCCTCGGAGCGAGCCGTTGCTCGGCGACGGCGCAGGAGCTGATACTTGCCGGGCTTCCTTGGATGCCCGAAACCCTACCTCAACCCTGAATAACCTACATTTTAAGGACTTATATAAGGAAATCATAATAAGGAGCCCGAAAAAGGTAGGTTCTTCAGGGTTAAGGTAAACCCTGAACCCTAAGGATGCTTCTATTTGAGAGGTTGTGGTATGTAGGTTTTAGGTTGTCAGGTGTGTGGTTTGGGGGGTTAAGGTTGTAGGGTTTAGGATTTAGAGGTTGTGACATTTAACGCTTTGGGGCTCTAGAGATTTAGGGCTTCAGGTCGTAGAACTGTCCGGCTTCATTCGCTAAGGCTTTCCCTGTATGCAAAGCCTGGTATGCTTACGGATCGGCGAGGGAGCCCAAAGCGTCGCATCTGCGGGTTTAGGAGCTGGGGTTTAGGGTTTCAGAAGTTTACGTTGTTGGACGATGGGCTGAAGGTCTAACTATGTAGTTTAGGGGTGGATTAAGGCAGGCTTTGTATCTTCCTGGACTCCGATGCTTCTGCAGAAGGAGCTCAGGGTCCGGAGAGCTTTGCATAATGCCCCAAAACCAACAACAATCAAACTCCGAAGGCCAAAACCCTAACTCCTAAACCTAACACCTACGTTGTCTTGAAAACTTGAGGAAACCATGGTATGGAACCCTAAAGCAACTTAGAGGGCTTAGGGTTTCGGGCTCATCTTCACCAGCGGCTTCTCGAAGGACTCGCCCGTGGGGTCCCAAACGTTGCCAGTCTTCTCCTTGAAGACCTGCAGGGTTTATAGGGTTTAGGGTTTATAGGGTTTAGGGCTTAGAGGTTTAGGGCTTCGGTTTAGGGGTTTAGGGTTTAGGGTTCAGGGTTTAGACCCACGGTACCCTTAGCGGGAGCCCGATGAAACAAACCCCATGGTACCTTATAGCGGGAGCCCTCTACAGAACCCCATGGTGCCCTTCAACGGAGGCCTGTTATAGAACCCCATAATACGCGTAAAGGGAGCCAGTGGAGTCACCGCAACACAAGGAAATGATCAGACCAGTCTTGCGTCGAGGCTTCAACCCCACAAAATCGTCAGCATGTGGCCCTGAGCCTGAAGTGCCACTCCTATAACCCCTAAATCCCAATCCTATAACCCCTAAACCCTAAACCCTGTAGACTCTGTAGACCCTTAACACCCTTAAAACTTAGATGTGGTCAGGGAACAGCCTCGTGCGAACAGTCTGGAACCCTGCTCTCCAGCAGGGTTTTGTTGTCTAGTGCTTTGAACCCTAAACCCTACACCTTCTAAACCAAAATAGGGTTTCGTTGGCGCTTTCTACCGTAGGGCTTTGGGCTTCCAGCATACGGTTCAGGTCAATGACAGGGTACATTTGGGGTCCTTATTAATTAGAATAGGGTTTTGGGGGCCATTATACTATAATCATAATAAGGCACCCCCAAAATAGTATAGATACTTATTAAGGCCCCTATAGTAAACACTCTGCGTCGACTCTACATGAATAGGAAGCAAATGGCCCCAAGTAAACGAGATTGCCTTGAAATTTCTGTCTTCGGATAAGCGCGTGCAAAAAAAGGAGCTGTGACACCGGCGCCTAGGTTTAGGAATTTATGGGGTTAAAGGTTTAAACGTTTAGGGGTTTAGGGTTTAGGGTCCCCAAATCCTCAACAGAAATGCTCTGTGACAGTGCCCTAGCTGAGTCTAGGCCTTAGGCTCAGACTTTGTAGAGTTTAGGATTCAGGCCCTTTTCTGTGACACCATTGTACCATTGAGTACCTCACACTTCCAAACCGTAAACTCCCGTCTGCCCAAACTTCAAGCCCTACCCTGAAACCGATATCAGCCTAAACCTCATATACCCCGACCAGGCCTTCCTTCTAATTGTAATGACCATACAACCCGAACTCTGAAAAACAAACCCAACATACTCTAAACCTCTACTCTAAACCCTAATCCCGCAACTTGTGTGCCTTGCCAAAATCCTTGAGTCCCTCCTCCTTGTTCGCGGCCGGTGTTCTCTGGAATGCACCTGTCTCCTTGGCTTGGACTTTTCGGTTTAGGGTTCCGTGAAGGGTTTTTCGAAGGGTTTCTCTGAGGTTCTATGATAAGGGGAACTTAGAGCTTGCATGTTCTGTGGTTTGCAGGACTTGGGTGGGCTCTTCCCCGGCGCCTCAATAAACATGCTGCCACACAACGCCATGTCAGGCGTGCCAAGATTGTTGAGAAGTGGTGAACCACTCCTGATATTGTAGGAACCTGATTGAGAAACCCTGGCCCTATAACCCCCAATTTATTAGGATCCTTATTAAGCACCCTGATGAAGGCCCAAGGTTTCTTAATCAGGTTCCTACATTGCCCAAAACTGATTCATCCAAATGCCCTTCACTTCACCTCCGAAACTCCGAAGCCCAAAAGCCTAAGCCCTTGAATAGCTCGCTGACATTCTCATATAGCATCAGAAGTAAACTAATACATGCAGCAGATCAAATGCATAAACCCTGAACACTACCGTTGGAGTCCCACATATTCTTAGGGCGCTTCCTCCGATTCCGACATCTTACAACACCCTCCACCAATCCTTTACGAGCCCTTTCTAGAATCTACAAAACCGAGCCCCTATAACCCGCTTTAGTTCCAGGCACGCCAATCTCACCCCAGCGCGTAAAGAGGACGAAGAGGTCTTTGTTCGTCTCGTGGATCAACCTCACCAGTTTAGGGCCTAGTTTAGGGGCCTTAATAACTGCCTATACTATTTTGGGGTTCCTTATTATAAGTATAGTATCATGGGCCCCAAAACCCTATTCTAATTACTAAGGCCCCTGTATTAGTTTCGGCATTAGGGGCTCAGCCTCACCTGTTCAGGGATAACGGGATCAAGGGGCTTGGCTTAGGGGGCTGAGTACCCTAGCCCAAAGAAGGTTCACCTTTTCCAGTTGTGGGTAGGAGGTTTAGGGAATAGGGCTTCGGGTTTTGGGTTTCGGATTTAGGGTTTAGGGTTTCGTGTTTAGGGCTTGGAGTATGTCAACCGCAAAAACTAAACGCTTTCTACTCAGCCACTAGATTTGCAATCTAGGGACTTTGGCTGTGGGAATTTGGGGTTAACTGGCACCTTAGGGGCCTTTCCTCTCTTCTTCAACAACATTCAAGGGAACTCCAGAAAGTTGGAATATGGTTTCAGGGTAGGATACCCTATAATTTACCATAAAGGGTTTAGGATAATCATATTCCAACTTTCTGGCCTTTACTGTAGCCGGGCACAAAACAGTTGAAACTTTCCAAGAAGATAGACGAAGTTTCGAAGCCCAAGTAACTATAAAGTTCTCCTATCGGGCAAGAAAGTGTAGGGCCAGAAATGAGTTCCTCTTTGCCATACACAGGTTTCGGCAATGCCTCTCAGACTCCCGCGCATCCCACCCAGACCTCGGGTCCTAACGAAGGGCCACACATTACTAGAGGTACAGCATGGTCCAGCTAGCCGTGTGTTGCACATAAATGTCTAGACTATGAACATGAACCGGGGAACCTGAACTTGATGAATGCACACACAACTAAAGTCTCTAGATTACAAATGCTGCACATGCAGGGCATGTTGCTGCAGGTGGTAGAAGCGCATCTCATCTCGCTTCAAATCCACCTGCAGAGGAGCAGGACAGAATTAGGGTGGAAGGGCCCTAAACCCTAAACCATAAACACCGAAACCCTAAACCCTAAAACCTTAAACCCTAAACCATAAAACCCTAAAACCCTATAACCTAAACAGAGGGCTTTCTTTTGGGATGTATGCACTTGATGGGATTCGGGCTCGAGCTTCATTAGACAGAAATTGTAAAACAGGGGGCCGTAATAACTTGAACAGTGGGGACCCTAAGTGGGATCTAAAGTAGGGTTACAGGGGCCTTAAGAATTAGAATAGGCTTTGGGGGATATCCCAAATCGACACCCTGGACGCTCAACCTTGTAGCGAGCACAAACCTTAAGATGCTAGGCTCCAACATGTCGCAGATCTGGGTTGGTACGTACAACTGTCGTTGCATCTCACCACCCTGAATACTTGGAGGATCATGGGACTTAGTAAGTAGGGTTATAAGTACCCTAATTGGGGTTATAAGTCCTTATAGGTATAACTACCCTATTAATGACCCTAGCTGCTAATTCCCATGATCCTTAAACCCTGAACTCCCCATAGATCCCTTATTGACCCCTTTAACGAGCCCTTTAGGGAACCCTTAAAAGCTGCTAAGTCCCATGATCCTTTAAGTACCACACGGCAAAGGGCAACCGGAACCCGGCTCTGAAGACTCTTGGGGGGCGGGGGCTGCATTTCCCCTAAGGCTCCATGCATACAGTAGATACTTAGGCCTTTATGTGCCTATATAGGGACCCCTTCAAGGCCTAAGTACCTACTATATGGGTACATGGAGCCTTTAGGTTCGGGGTGCTACAGTGCTGCGTTTTTCTATCGATTGAGCCCCACAACGCCAAACCCGAACCCTGCAATGAAGTTGAGGACTAAGTCCGGTAACTTGGCTACGGCGGCTAAGCTCTGTATACTTCAGGCCGGTCGGGGATCGTCGGCGTCTATCACCACAACTGAGCACGACCCTGAAACCCTAAGCCCTCTTTCGGCTGTCACCCCTGGATTGAACCCCTGGGCCCTATGCCATGATCCCGAAACAGGTTAAAATAAGGGTCATAGGGATTTAGGATATAGGGTCAAAGCACTGATTTGTTAATCTAGGGTTTAGGGCACCAGGGTTGATTCGGGTGCTTTTGTTCTTCTTTCTGGGCTCATAGAACCTAAACCCTGCACCCTAAAGCCTACTTGGAGGATCATGGGACTTAGTAAGTAAGGTTATAGTTGGGGTTATAAGATTAGTTACCCTACGGTTAACTCTAGTTACTACGTCCCATGATCCTTTAAATACCCTAAATTCCCCGTAGATCCCTTAAAGATCCCTTTTGAGGAGCCCTTTAAGGAACCCGTAAAAGTTACTAAGTCCCATGATCCTTAAACCCTAAACCCCACATAGATCCCTTATAGACCCCTTTAAAGAGCCCCTTAAGGAACCCGAACCCTTAAAAGTTACTATGTTCCATAATCCTTTATGTAGACCCTAAGCGCATCGCCTTGAATAGCAGTGCGTCGCACTCCAGCCCTTGCCTGAGGTGCGAACCCTAAACCCTAAACCCTAAACCGGCTTTAGGGTTCCTTTAAAGGGGTGTATAGGGGTTCCTGTTAAAGCGGTCGATAAGGATTACTACAAGGGGCATTATGGGGGTTAAGTATAGAGGCCTCAATAATTACCTTATTATGATTATAGTATAATGTGCCCCCCAAGCCCTATCTAATTATTAAGGCCCCTATATTTTGGACTCACAGCTTCGAGCTCCGATTTCAATAGGGTTTAGGGCTTAAGGGTTGGAGGGTTTTGGGGATGTATTTACGGTTTAACGTGAGGGTCGTAGGATTTACGGCTTTAGGATTCTGAGGTTTAGGGTTTTAAGGTTTAGGGCTACTTTAGGGTTTAGGACTTTTGGGTTTAGGGCTTTGGGGTTTAGGGCTTAGGGCTTTAAGGTTTAGGGTTTTAGGGTTTCGAGTTTTGGGTTTTAGGGATTCGAAGGGTTTAGGAGTCTTGGTTACGAAGGGTTGAATCAAGACCTGGCCGGACTCTTGATATCAAATCCGAGCTCTGAAACACTAAAGAATTCGCAGGTTTTAGGTAGAGACTTGCATGTCGCGGTGCCAAGAGATGTCTGCTCACAGTCTAGCACCATACTTCGCAGAAGCTTACGTCGTGAATGCACCCAACCGAGGCCTTCAGTGAACAAACCCTACTTAAGGGCTCACAGGACTCAGTTAGCAGGGTCATAATTGGGACATAAGTGCTCGATATAGGGTTTTCATATACCCTTTACATATCACCTTGCCTACTAAGTCCCATGAGCCTGTACTGTAAGTACTCGACAACACGATCATTCCACCATCGAGGCCCCTTTTCTGGCGACCTTCCGGGTGATAGGCTGACGTCATGGCCACCAGACCATGGATGTATCGTAGAATGTTCATGGTTTAGGGTTTAGGGGCTTAAGGCTTAGGGTTTAAGGTTTAGTAATTTAGGGTCAGCATCCAAAGCAAGTGCTTGTTGATAGCTTGTCCAACATTTGCAAGCTCCCAGCTGGCAATTCAAGAAACCCGTGAAAACCCTAGGCATGCGCAGTCAAGCCAAGCATCTTCTCTGCAAAGACCTGCCAGCAACACCGGGCTAGCCCTACTTGTCGGGTATCATGGGAACTAAAGGTTAACCTGTTGGGTTCTATAGGGAATATATAGGGAGTATACTACGCAAGAAAGGTTGAAGCTTCCCTAATCTACTACTACGGTTGATGATACAAATCCTGCATTACCCATAATAAGGAATATACCAAAATTCCCATAGTGTAGGGTCCTTAAGGTAATGCAGGATTTATATCATCAACCGTAGGTGACTTGGGTTAGGGGAAATCCGGAGTCGAGGGTGTAGAGTCAGGGCTGGGGGCAACCAACCAACCATGCCTCAGGCTTCAAGCTTGCACTATGATTAAACTAACCCGCAAGTCGTGGGTTCACGGTTTAGAGAAAAAGAATAAACCCTAAACCCCTAAACCCTAAACCCTAAACCGTGGCTTTGGGCTGGCTTTGTATGGGAAGGTTGGGCTTAGTTTTCGGGTGCAGGAGTTTTGAGGGCTTTGGGCATGGGCTCGCGCTATCCCCAGAGAGCCCAATACCCCTTACTAAAGGAATATACCTTAAATCATAACATTATGGCCCCTATAATTTAAGCAATATTATTCCTGAAATAGGGGGGTATTGGGCTCTCTGGGTCCTTCTACCCCATCGCCCCTGGCTCGGCGGCCTTCCCTAGTCAGCCAAGAATCCTCATGCAGCCCAGGTCTCGGTTCGGCCCTTGACACAGTTCCAGGTGCTCTCTGGCACCAAGCAACTAGACCCAGGAGTAACCTGGTAATAAAAAGGGTGCCCTTTTTGGTTCAAAGGGGGTTTATAAGGGAACCTGAACCCCAAAAAAGGGAATAAGGGCTTACTCTGGGTCCTAAGCAAAGTCACAGGATGAGAATGACCCGAAGCGGGTTTGGGTAATGCAGCCCACATAACAGCCTCCGTGGCATTTTGAGCTCCCACATTGGAGTTCAGGTGGTGGTGGTGGCGGCTGAAAGCTCCGGTATCAGACTTTCAAGCAAAGAATGCATGCCTTTATTGAGCTCGCTGTGCGCCTATGTGTGCCCTTCCTTCTATAGCATCGAGCCCGATGATCAGATTTTGGGGCTCAGTGTCCTAAACCCTAAACACTACACCCTAAACCCCTAAACACTACACCCTAAACCCCTAAACCCTGAACCCCTAAACACTACACCCTAAACGGGAGTGCAGAGGTTAGGAAGCAGGGCGTGCGGGTTGCGAGTAGAGGTCCAGCTCAGGGCTCAGGCAAAGGAAGTGGTTTTAGGGAGCGGGTGTAGGGTTTTAGGGTCCAGGTTTAGGGCGTAGGGTTTAGGGTTTTAGGGTCTAGGATTTAGGGTTTTCGGGTTTAGGGCTTTAGTGTTTAGGATTTTACTATGGGGGAGTGTAAGTAATAATTATTAAGGCCCCTATAGTGAGCTTTCTCCGGGGTTTGGATGTGAGCTTCAGGCTTGAAGAACTGGAATGGAGGGCCTGGGGATTAGGACCTGATGTTTTTGAGATGTTGCATTCAGGGATGAGGGCGCAAGGTTAGGAGAGCTCCACCGAAGGTCGGGATTCAGAGTAATTGGTGTCAACCTTAATGCTCTCAGACAATCAACCCAAGACCTTTTGTTATGAATCCCTGTGCAGATCGTAACAAGACAGAGATCCACAGCGAGTGAGGCTTCTTGTTCAGAGACCGTGCTGCATCACTAACGGAGATCGCACCTTGTTCTCGCCACTCATGGAATAGGCTTTGTGCACCTTGTCTGGGTGATTGGAAGCAGGGACAAGGGTTTGGGAACCGATGTCTTCTAAAAGCCGGAAGGTGTGAGAAAGGGTTGATGATATAAATCCTGCATGACCCATAGTAAGGAATATACCATAATTCTCATAGTTTAGTGACCTTAAGGTAATGCAGGATTATACCATCAGCCGAAGGTCTGGGGTCTGCGGCTGAAAAGGGCTGCAGGAGGATCAGGGCTGTGGCAGCCGAGTTTAGCACCAAAACCTACTTTTTTGTAGGGTCCCTGTTTTAACCCCTGTAAAATCTATATTAGGGTATATAGTAAGAACCTACAAACAAGTAGGGTTTGGTAGGTCAAGGTAGGGTTTTTCGGTTCAGGGCTAACCCTGGGTAAAACAAATCGCAGAACATGACTGAGGCTGAAGCCCCTCTTCCCTCAGCTCACAAAATACTGGGTTCTTGTTAAGGAACTTAATTTAAGTTACCATAATAAGGAAGCCCTATTATTTACGGTAGATCCCTATTATGGTAACTTAAATTAAGTTCCTTAACAAGAACCCAGAATAGGTGCCCAAACCTTTGGTTCAAAAACCCCACAGCCCTATGTAAAACCCTAAACCCCATGCTTAACAAATGACAGCCCTATGTACCCCATGCAAGAAATGGATGCCCAAAGCCTTGCAACTTAGGACTTCGGGTTTCACGGCTGCTGGGATGACATCCGATCCAGATGTTCAAATTTTCGGGTTTTCGGGTTTCGGGCTTAGGGTTTTAGGAATTCGGTTTAAGGGCCACGCGTTAGGGTTTCACCGCGGGTTTCGGGTTTAAGGGTCTAGGGCTCGAACCTTCAAAAGCGGTAGAAATGAAATCGACAGCCTGTGGGGAATGCTTCCATCGAGTGCTGCGCATTCCCTTGTCATAAGGACCCTTAGGGGGGGGGGTAAGGAGGAGGGGAGTAGGGTGCTAAACTTCCTTAAATATGACCTTATTATCCCCAAAATTGAAAACATGAACCTTGCTGAAGCTCAAACCCTTACCCCGCAAACTGCAAATGTTAACAAATTGAAGCCCCACAACCTAAACCCTGTAGCCGAACTGACCTACCTTCTTAAGGAACTACATATAGAAATTATGGTAAGGAATCCTAAACGGGTAGGTCTCTTCGGCTCAACCTCGAAATCTCGAACAATTCCTGAACAGTAGACCCTACATCCTTTCCTTCTAAATCTCGAAGCTACCACTATAATTAATATAAGGAACCCCCACGAAATAGTCCAGGTACTTATTAATACTCAGGCCCCTATACTAAATCTCGAAGCTATTTGGGACCTTCCGAAAAGTAGCGGTACCTTATTCGGGGTCCTTGTTTTAAGGATCCTACTATTTACGGTACTATGCTAGGCTCCCCAATTTTCGGAAACCCCTATCTCTGTCAGGTGGCAGGAATGGGAGTTGGCTTCGCATGGGCCTCCACCTTCTCCAACTCCCTCCTGCTTAGTTTTTTGTGAACCCCAGAAAGTTGGAACATGAATTTAGGATGATTCATGCTGGGATTCCCTATTTGCTTTAAGGGCATGAGGCTACTGATGTTCCAACTTTTTGGCTTCTACTGTAGGCGTGGATATTTCAGAATGCAGGGAAGGGTTTAGGGTCTAGGGGTTTAGGGTTTTGGGGTTTAAGGTTTAGGGTTTAGAGTTTAAGGGTAGATATTTCAGAATGGCTCTTGTTAAGGGATGAAGTTTAAGTTAGCATAATGAGGATCTGTAAAGGGTTCGGGATAAGGTAGAAACCATAACAAGGAACGCTAGAAAGGTAGGCCTTTTCGGCTGCAGGTAAACCCTGAGGAAACTTACGGTTTACTCAAGGCTCAAGGTTGCCTAATTTGGACTCAATCCGAAATCGTCCCAATCCCGAAGCGTGCCGGGCAGGATCGGGGCTCAGTAGGGTTTAGGGCGGAGGTTCTGGGGTCAGGTCTTCAAAGACTAGATGAATCCTCATGTAGTAGGAGCCATCGGCCCCAGACTAGAGATAAAAGCTGCAGGATGCTCATTTTGCATTCTCCTCGACGGATTAAGCCAACTAAGCGACTTCGCTCGGAAATCTAAATTAGATCTTCCTTGTGCCGGAAAGTCAAACGCGAAAGTGCTGTTCGCCTGGAGCCAAGTGAGTCAAAAGGCGAGCTGTTGCTGTGGTTTGTGTCGCACCAAGGCTATACGTCAAGATTTGCGGGGGTTCTACGCTACGCCTTGTTTGGCTTGCCGATAACTGCTAAGTGCGCCGAACCATAAACCCCCTTGTCTTAAGCCCGATGCTATCGCCTTGGTGCCGTAGAGCGCTTTGTTTGCACGATGTACGAATACCAACCCCAGACATCCTGACCGTTAACCCCTACACCCCGAGACCGACATCCCGAAGTTGCCCTCGACGACTCCCGCTCTCTGACTCTCTGACTCTCAAACCACCTCAGAATCGTATTTCATGGCCTGTCATGGACGTGTCATAAACCTCAAACTTGTAAGAGCTACCCGGAACCCACACCTCAAACCTAAACCCCAAACCCTGAAAACCCTAAAGCCCCCCAGATCCTGTAACAGGACCCGAGGCTGCCATGACATCGGTCCTGGCGTCCGCATCGACGTCCGGCATCGCCGTGGTGGGTGCTGCCAACTTCGGCGCAGACACGGTCACCTGCCAGTTTGTGTGATTCTGTGCTTTATCCAAAGAGTCCAAGTACCATTATAGTAGGTACTTAGTAGGTGTTTGGGCCCCAAAAGTATATACTATACTATTACTTGAACCATTTGGGTTACATAGCCTACTGGGGAATTGGGATTCAGTGCTTGGGCACGGTGTTTCATCCATGGTAAAAGGCAAAGGTTGTCAAGTTTGGGGTCTACAGTATAGGCTTACCCGGCTTACCCTGTGGTTCCCAGTGATGTGCACAACAGACTCATTGCTTGACAAAACTATGGAGCTTCCGAAAATGGGGGACCCTAACATAGTTACCTAAATAGTAGGATCCTTGGTACAAGGACCCCATGTTCAGCATGACCTTGATAACCCCTCGCCATCACCTAGACCTCAAACCACACGTCCAAACAAACATCCTTTGTTTCTTAAGTTCTACCAGGTTTGGCTATAAGGATCAGACTAGGGCGCTGCGGGGTATATTGGAAAATTCGTACATAAGGATCCGGCCTCCATAGCATCTACGACCTGATCAACTTAGCCTTCAAAGCATGCATAGACCAAGATAGCTCTTCCGTCTGGAGGGTTCGGAGGTTAAGGAATCCGAATCCTTGCCTAAACTCCAAAGCACATCACTTCCAAACCCCAAAACCACCAAAACCGCTATCCTAAACCCTGAGGTCTACAGCCTTGATGGTGGGCCCACATCCACAATCTGAATACACTGCCACTCGGAGCCTAGAATCCTTCAGCCCTCCACCCTACGAGCCCTAGTTGGAGGTTCATGGCAGTAGTTAAACGTGGGGTTATAAGTAAGGTAACTATAGCTATCAAGGGGACTTCTAGCCCTACTTAGACCTACCCATCATGAATCTCCAAGTACACTAAACCCCTGACCCCTATATCCCTAAACCGTATTAAACCCTAAACCCTCCTAAACCCTCCTAAACCCTAAACCCCTGAACCCTAGTAAACCCTAAACCCTCGTAAACCCAAAACCCCTGAACCCTACTGTTGACGGACAAAATCCTGCAATACCCATTATAAGAAATATGCCATAGTTCTCATCGTTTAGAGTCCTTAGGGTCATGCAGGATTTTGTCCATCAGCCCTAAACCCTAAACCCTAAAAAGGCAGCCCCAAGTCTGGATAGGCCTGCAAGCCGGCGGCAGACAAGACCTGCGAATAGAGTTTAGGGTATAGGGTTTAGGGTTTAAGGGCTTAGGGTTTAGGGGTTTATGTCTTAAGGGTTTAGGGTTTAGGGGTTTATGCCTTAAGGGTTTAGGGTTTAGGGGTTTATGCTTGAAGGGTTTAGGGTTTAGGGGTTTATGTCTAAGGGTTTAACGGTTTAAGGGTTTAGGCGTTAGGGTTTAGGGACCCCAAAGAAACCCTTATTTAGAGAACCTGCGAAAAGATTGCAAAAAGAAGGTCGAGATGGAGAGTTGCAGGTTCTGCGGTTTGGGATGTTACCGGATCTTTCACGATATTTGGAATGACCCTCAACCCTAAACTCCAAACCCTAAAACCTGAACCCTAAACCCTAAACCCTAAACCCTCAACCCTAAACCCTCAACCCTAAACTCCAAACCCTAAAACCTGAAAGGTTTTGGTGCCAGAGTTGAGCTCTCTCCGATGGTTCGGAGCCGGAGTTCGGAGATGGGGGTAGGTTAGGGCTTGGGGTATTTTTTAGGGATTGGGGTTTATAGGGATTAGGGGGTTTAGGGTTTAGGGCTTATAGGGCTTAGGGATTAGATTAGGCTGGCAGTCTGGGGGCTACACCCCAGCTCCTACTTGTGAACTATGCCATTATTCTCTACACTAAGCCCTACATAACAACTACACGAGATTCAATTCGGCAATTCTCTAAATTAGGTTCCCTTTTCGGGTACCCAGAAATTTTACAGCACCCTCATAAAAGGACCCTGAAAGCTAGGCAGTGGGATGCTGACTGAATAGACTGAGTAGACATGGACCCTCAACAAAAGATCTCGGCTTCAGCAACGCCCCCTGTGCGGTTGTGCAAGGGGCAAGGTGCTTTTATATCCCTGAACCGAAAACCCTGGGATTAAGGGAACAAATGCTGTAAGGTCCCTAAGCCCTGTATATAGTTATAACCAACGGTTGATGATATAAATCCTGCATTACCTTTAAGGACCCTGAACTATGGGAATGATGGTATATTCCTTATTATGGGTCATGCAGGATTTATATCCCAAAACCCAAAACCCCAAAACCCTATAGATCCCTTAAAAGGGCCCTTAAAGGTACCCTTATAGATCCCTTTAAAGGACATACAGGATTTATATCATCAGCCGTATCCAAGCCCCCTGAAACTCAGGCTCGGGGCCGAGCACCCTGGCCCAAAAGCCGTTAACTCATGGTAGGGTCATACGGTTGATGATATAAATCCTGCATGACCCATAATAAGGAATATACAATAATTCCCATAGTTTAGGGTCCTTAAGGTAATGCAGGATTTATATCATCAACCGTAGCAAACCCAGAAAGTTGAAGGAAACCTGCCCACCCCGTTAGGATGCTTCTTAGCCTCAGAGAAACCCCTATAAGAGCTCTTGAGGAACCCTGTCAACCTACAAGGACACCTAAACCCTAAACCTTCACCGAAGTCGCCCTAAACCCTGAGCCCTGAAGCCCTAATCTTACCTTTGGTTAGCAGGGAATGGAGGACTGGTAGGAATAGTAGTTATAACCCTACCCCATTCCTCCATTCCCTACTCAAAAAAAGGTGAGTAATAACCCTGAAACCCGAAACCCTCCGCCCTGAGGGCCAACCTGGGCCATGCGACCAGATCCCTGGCGTGAAGCCAGGGCCATTGGCGTCAAGCCTTTCTTGTCCTCAGTATTTATCGTTTAGGGTTTGGGTTTAGGGTGGGTGATTTAGGGTCAGCATTTTAGGATATAAGGTTCTTGGCTCAGGACTTAGTGCGCTTGGTGTTCAAGGTACAAAAGCGTTGAATGTCCACGTTCTGGACGCTATCTCCCGAGAAGTCTATCACAATCCTACCATATTGCATCTCGAGGTTCTGATATCACTACGTATCCCTAAGGCTCCAAGGATGTCGTGGTCAGGACCTAGTACTGGTGCTAGGAGGAGGTTCGTAGTTTGGGTCGTTTGTGAGTTTTGTCCGGTGTGGTTCGGACTTGGGGTTGGCTAATAATGCCAGAGGGTCCATATACACTACTATTCTGAAAGACCATCCCCATTATGGTTTTTGGGACCTAATTCCATACTGGTAGTGTTTGGATGGACTTTCTGAGATAATGTAACACCATCTTGCGAAAGTAGCCGATCTGATAGGAATGCCGTACATTACACCGAATCGCCTTACATACTTAATCGGGACCTGCGGCCGAAATGTCTCAAAAACCTGCATCTTTGTCAAACCTGCATCTTTGCAGCCCTGGGGTAAACAAAAACTTACACGCCCAGGGGCTTTGGCCTGGGCTGCCTGCATGCCACCCGGCGCGCGAAGCATCGCGGCGAGCAGGCGCGTGCATCTGGGATTTTCGTTGGAGTTTGGGGCTCGGGCTCGAGGATCTTGTACTCGGAGGATCATGGGACTTAGTAAGGTTATAAGTACCCTAATTGGGGTTATAAGTATAGTTACCGTAATAATAACCCCAGTTACTAAGTACCATGACCCTTTAAGTAGGGAAGGGCAAGGTCTTGTCTAGGGTTAGCATCATTCCAAGAGGCCAGAGGCCCTGTGGCTTCAGCACGATAGGGGTAGTGCCAGTGGTAGTGGAGGTGGCAGTTGATCGTGTAGTGGTAGTGGTATGGTCGTGGAAGCAGCACCAGCAGTCGTCGTCGTTGTCGCAATCGTAGTCGCAGTCGCAATCGTAGTCGTCGTCGTTGTCGTCGGTCGTAGTCGTAGTCGTAGTAGTAATAATAAGAATAATAGTAGGAGTAGGAGTAATGTAGCGGCGGTATCTTGACCTGAAACCTACAGACAGGCAAGGAACAAAAACAAACGTAGCAGCAGTCGTGGTCGCGGTCGTGGTCGTTCGTGGTCATTGATATAGTCATGGTGGCTGCAGCAGCAGTGGCAGCAGTAGCGGTAATGGTAGTTGTGGTAATGGTGAGAGCGGTCGTGGTGGCAGTAGTGGCAAGGGTTGTCGCATTGTAGGTTGGCGCCCAGGCTTTCCACATGAGTCACCAAGGGCAGTTCAACGTGCGAATACAAGCAGCTTAGTTGGGGTTGTAAGTTATTGAAAACACAGTTGCTCTGCTTCCAACCCTGCGTAAAAAGCCACATGAGCCCCAAACCGCACATCGGAAAACAACACGTAGAGCCTCAATCCAAAAACACAAAGCCTGCCGAATCGATCTATTCTAATCACAGAGCCCCATTCTTCGGCCGAAGCGGCTCATAGGAGGCATAAGGGAAAGGTTGAATGCAGTGATGCAGAGCGTTTCGGCCATCCTTGTCCTGCTTTACAAAATGCTGAGTCGGAAACTTCAAGGATGCATGAGCTTTGGGGCTTTTAAAGCCTGTGAAAAATTTGGTAAATAAGATCCTCTTAAGCGCAATAAGGGCAAATCTAAAATGTCTCAAAGCCCTACCTACATAAGCTTTGGAGCAGGATGCTTGAGCTTGCGGGATTTTCTGGGGTTTGGGAGCATTGCTTGGGTTCGGGGTTGGATTCAACGACTCGGGTATAGAGTATAGAGGATTAAAGTGTAGATTGGGGCTGAGGAGTTCTGAGTTGGGAGTTCAAGGGTTTAAGGCATTGAGGCCTGCGAGCATATCGTACCCTGGACAACAGGAAGCTTAATATAGAAGCCTTAATGATTAGAATAGGGCTTTGGGGCCCAGTATACAAACATTGTAACAAGGAACCCCCACAATAATGTAGGTAATTCTTTCGGCCCCGATATCAGAGTTTCTGTGCCCAGCTTCGAGGTTGCCGTTGATGACTTTTGGAGTGCCTACTGAAGTCCAGAACTTGCTGCTTCTTCTGGCATTCAGGCTCCTCTAGACAGCCCAACCCGTCAGTCAAAGACTTTCCTTCACATCATGGGTTTAGGGTTTAGACCCGATGTCTATCTCTTAGCTAGACGATGTTGTGCTCTCTGCATACTTGCAAATGACTTCAACATGCTTATGGCTCGGGGTCTGGGTGCTAAACTACTATTTGCTTAGGAACCCCCAAAAAATAAAAAATATATTCCTTATGGGGGTAATATAGGGATTATTATTATTATTTGTTGGGGTTTCTTAAGCAAATAGTAGTAAAGCTTTCGACATTTCGAACTTGGCAGTTTGGGAGTGTCGCCTGTGAGCTCAACACATGCTAAGCCGTAAACCCCAAATGGGGTTTAGGGTTCAGGGTTTAGGGTACACACCCGAAGCCCTAAACTCAGAACTGTCTCAGGCTCTAGGGATTGGAAACCGGAGTAACCGAACCAGGAACCCCAGCAAACAAACATTCGCTAGGAAACGATTCGAGCCCCCACGGCATTCTACAATCAACCGGCACCTCATGTTGATGCGGATTTCTGCCGATGCTCCGGAATATGGCATGCCACATGACTGGTATGTTCCGTGGCGGTCTCCTTCAGACACCTGATATAGATAGACCACTGTCGAAAGATTCTCCCCTTGACCTGAAACCCGAATCCTGCACTCTCAGAACCACCAAAGCACAGCAATCCTAAAATCCGAAGCACTGGATGAAAGACTGAATGTGCCCCCAATGCCAAAAACGCTATACCTATGTCCTGGTGGCTGGGATCAGCCTTAGCAGTGAGCAGCTCATCGACGACCTGCATCTTCATGTGGGGAGTGGCAACCAGACCAAACCCCAAACCCAGCCCTGTAAAACCTGCAAGCCCTATTAGGCCTAAGCCCTGCAAAATGGCCCCATGTGTCGAATAGCCCATAAACCCTGGCCCTTATAAACCCAAAACCCCCGTAGGATGACCATACCCAGAGACTCCAAGATCCCTTAATTAAGGCATATACCTATCATATTAGGGATCCTACGATAATTTAAGGTTTCCTCAATCAAGGGATATTGAAATCCCCTAAACCCTGAACCCTAAAGATCCCTCTTAGGCACCCTTAAAGGAACTCCGAAAGATCCCTTTAAAGGAACCCTTATAAATCCCTTTATATATGTTGAAGAGTATGTGGGCTCCTCCAGGCTCAGGGACGGGGGCTTGGTGTCGGGTTTCGCATAAAGTCGGGGCATACCTGGGGATCCAAAAACCTACTGTTTAAGGGTTCTACCCTCTAACTAAGGGGTCATAGCCTACTATTTTGTAGGGTTTGGGGTCACAGGTATGCTTTCTTTCCACATGCACGGTTTAGGGTTTAGGGCTTTGAGGGGAATATTTTTACGGTTTAGGGTTTAGGGGTTCAAAGAAATATTACCACGGTTTAGGGTTTAGGGGTTCAAGGGAAATATTACTAGGGTTTAGGGTTTAGGGGTTTAGGGAAAAGTTACTTCCCGCCGAGACCTCGGTCTTCGAAGCGCGGTTCTTAGGCTGCCAGGTGCAGCCCCTTAGGCTTCTGCAGCCGAGGCAAAAGGCCTAAACATGTGAAACACGTAAGGTACTGCCTCCCTTACAGCAAGAATCCAGAATAGGGCTACTATTAAGGTCCTAACATATCTGTATTATGAATATTATTCAACTATTTCTGAGTGGGGGCCGTACCTTTGAACCACGTACGAAACATGCAAAACAGCTGTGAGAAGTCGATGATGTTAGACTCGCAGTGAACAGACCCTACAGAGGACCTTTACATAAAGATGCAAAGAAGACAACAAGAGCCGCAGCACACGCAAAAAACAACAGCAACAACTTCAGCGTCTTGGGACTTAGGTTTCATGTTTAACTCGGGATATCAGGGTCCGAACCCAAGGGCTTAAGCACATGCCAAACCAATGCGAAGCCTCCTTGTTGTTGTCCAGAACGGCGATGCTTAGCACCTCAGTTAGCATCACCATCGACGCCCACATCGGAAACATAAAGATCACAAATCATATGGCCTCAACCCTAAACAAGAATCTACGAACAACACTAATGATGACAATTATGACACTGACAATGATCATGATAACAACCACGACGATAATGATGACAATGAACAAGATATTTAAAACTATTGCAACACACAATACTGGTAGTAATCATAAGACGAAGGTTCAGGGGTTAGGGCTTAGGGTTTCGGGAGGGTTTATGGTTTCGGGCTTCATGCCAGCAATGATGTGGATCGAAAAATAATCGTCCATCCACCATCTCACTGCTGAACCCTAAACCCCAAACCCAGAGACTCCAACACCCCTTAATTAAGGAATATTCCTTAAATCATATTAGGGATCCTACTACAATGTAAGGAATATTCCTTAATTAAGGGATATTGGAGTCTCTGGGAACCCTCATTAAACCTCAGACTCTGAAGCCCCAACAAACCCGGAATAGTATTGACAAGTATTTAGGCCCCTATATTAGCAGAAGTCTTCGTCGTGGCACGATACCCTAAACCCTAAACCCTACTGCTGCCCACCTAAACCCTAAACCCCAAATTTTGAACACTAAACCCTAAAATTCTGAGCCCAGCAGCATTGCGACCCTTGTCATCCTGGCCTGCAGAGGCCGTGCTGGCCTTAGCCTGACAAAAGGGGCCATGCAATGTAGGGGCCATAGTCATTAGACTAGGGTTCCTCAAAGGGATCTATGTAAGGTTCTGGAATATAGGGGCCTGAATAATTAGAATAAGGCTTCCTTTAAAGGGTTCCTTGTAAAGGGGTCGATAAGGATTACTACAAGGGGTACTATGGGGATCTAATATAGGGCCTGAATAAATAGGATAGGGTTTTGGGGCCCGTCATACTATAAATATAATAAAGAACCTTCAGAATAATGCGGGCAATTATGTAGGCCCCTATAGCAAGCTTTCGAGGCCTCCATCTTGAGGGTTTGGGTTTAGGGTTCAGGGTTTAGGGTTTAGGGCTTGGGTCGGGTTGTGGGGGTTTGATTTTCAGGCGGCTTTGGGCTTGGCGGGGGTTTCTGCATTGTTTTTTTTCCAGTCTCTGGAGTCTAGGGTTAGGGCTTAATTTGCGTGGAAAGGTTTTCGGGCTGTGGATTTAGGCTTTAAAAGCGCTTTTGTGGTTGGGCTCTGTGTATGCGAAATCTACCGAACGTTCAGCCGCGCGCATGTTGCAGGGTGGTGTTGCAATCTGTCCCCCTACATCATGTCGACCCCAGGATCTCTGGCTGAGGGGCTTTTCATGTGGGTAGTTGTCAACATTATGGCCGTTTTTTGGGGGTGCCGTAGTATAAGGAGGACCCAAAAAGGGACCATAATTTTGACAACCACCCATGTGTGCAAGCTAGGCATATTCTGTGATGCAAGAATTTTATGAATTTGGGGCTCTAGGATTTCAAGCAGAACTGGAAGAGTTTGGCCAAACAAGTCTGGCGAACAGGCTCACACCAAACGCAACCTACGGCACTCAGATGATAGCCGGCCTACCTAGACCCTCAAAAGTAGGGTAAATAATGGCCCAAAACCTATAAAAAACCATTATTCTACATACTTTTGGGGTCCAGGTAGACTCTCATACACTCCTTGCAGAGATCGTGAATTGTGAGACACAGGTTCCACGTCGAGGCCTCAGGATTGGGCTTGACAGACTCCACCCTACGGCTCCATAGTAGTTCCTTTTTGGGGTTCATATATAGAATCCTATGAGGTAATCCCACAAAGGAACTACTATGGAGCCTCTACGTACTCTATGTATACATTCCCAAGCAATCCCAAGAATGCAAAGCCTCTTTTGGGTTTGGTAGGTTCAGGGTTTAACAGGGTTTCGGCTAAGAGGGTTTCGGCTAAGGGTTTAGGGGTTGGGGCTTGACTGCAGCCACAAGAAATACATAAAGCCCCGAGTTATAGTCGTACCGCAAAGCGTGCTTCTGCCATCAAGTTTAATTTCCCCCAAACCAGGAAAGTATTATACTTTGGCCTTCAGTAGTCCCTTTTTACGTGCTTTGCATGCAAAAGTACTAACCAGCCGACCCCCGCATGCCTGGAGCAGGTGGCGCACGAGTGCAGGTACTCCGGCCAAGGTGGCTGCCAACAGAGGCCCATGACCCTTCTTGTCCAGACCTTCGGAGGAGTAGGGCCGGCATCGGTTTAGGGCTATAGGGTTTAGTGGCCATGACCCTTCTTGTCCAGACCTGCGGATGGATTGCGGAAGGCGTGTTTAGGAAATGTCCCAAGACCCAAACCACCCTAAACACTAAATCGTGTAAATTTGGATAACATGACATGAACATCTGCGTTGCTTCAGGGTATTAGGTTCTGTCTGTTCGGCCCTTTCGGAGATTTTCGGGGCTTCTGGGGTCAAGGCTTCGAGGTTGGGACTAAGGGTTCGGGATTAAGGCTCGGGTTTAGGGCTCAGCCAGGGCCCTCTAAGGCTTAATGGGTTTAAGGTTGAGGGTTGAGGGTTTATGGCTGTTTGCATTCACAGCTCATATAGGTGCAGCACTTAGGGTCTTGTCTGTAGCAGCTGAGCTTGCCTAGCAACGGCATAAGTAGGGTTAAAAAGCGTCTGAACACCACGGGCCCTGAGGAACCCGAAGAAGCTTTCTGAATCCAACTATAACCTGGGCCGAATGAACAAGCAAGTCAGCTGCCCAGAATCAGAATATCATCCTGAGCAGAAAAAACCCAAGCCCAAAGCCCCATACTCTAGCCCTAAGCCAAATCACTCTCAACCCAACCCCGAACCCTTTCAAACTAAACTCCGAAATTCGCTGCCTTTGTGGGGATTGGCGCCGGCTCGCAGCAGCTGATCTGCGACCTGCAGGGGTATGGAAGTTACGGTATAAGTTAGGTACGGCCCCCATACAGTAAGAGTCTACAATAGGGCTACTATTAAGGTCCTACTATATCTATATTATGAATATTATTCAACATTATTCAACTATTTCTGAGTGGGGGCCGTACCTAAGGCATAAGGTTTGAGGTGTTGGACATGGCTTGCGGTTGTGCCCGTGGGTTCAAAGGGCTGACGGCTCGTTATGGTGTTTAGGGGTTAGGGTTTAGGGTTTAGGGGTTTCGGGGTTAGGGTTTAGGGGTAAGCCTATAATAAGAATCAACCGATGCAAACAATGCACAAAACCATATAATCGATAGAAAACCCTCTAAACCCCGAACACCTCACAAAGCCAAATGAAAACCTTCCAAAACAACCCTTCAAAAAGCCAGCAGATGAGCCCAACAAAAATCCGGTGCCTTCCATTCTAAACCCTAATCCTAAACCCTCAAACCCTAAACCCTAAGTCCTAACCCACAACCCTATAAACCCTAAGCCCTAACCCTAAACCGTAAACCCTAAGCCCTAAACCCTAAGCAACAAAACCCCGGCGGTGCCTTCCATGCGGACATCTCGATGGCTGAGCTTAGGGCGGAACGGCCCTTGCCTTGCTTTTTCTCCGAATTTTGACCAAGGGTTTTGGACGGGTTTGTGGATCCTTTTAAGGTTCTTGTAGGGGTTCCTTAAAAGGATCTATAAGGGTTTCGGCGCTTAGGGTGGTTTTGACCTAGGGTATGAAGGGGTTTAGGGATCCTTGTAATGTTCTTTTAGGGTTCCTTTCTGGGGTTCCTTTGGAGGTTCCTTCGTGTCCAGGATTCTTAATAAGGGGTTAAGGTTCAGGGGCTTGGCGTTCAGAATGGTGCCGTAAGGATTCTACAAGTAGGTACCATTAAGGCTTTCCTTGCAGCTGTTGATGTGCTTTATGGTTTTGGGAGTTTGGTGTTCCTTGCATTTGTTATACATTATACTGTACTAAACTAAACTATACCATACTATATACGCCCAAACCCAAACTTTATTTCCGGCCCAGCTTCGGTCCACGGCCGTCGCCGAGGCCTTCGCCGAAAGCAGGGCGTTCGTGGCAAAGGTCATCCGCCCGTCCACAGCCACCAACCTGGGTGGTAGGGTTCAGGGGCTTAGTTTAGGGCTGTCGGATAGAGTTTGTGCTAAAATTTGTGCTACGGTCATGGAATCAGGTACCCAAAACCATGATAAGAACAGTCTCTTGTTACAATACAACTGCGAAGCAATGTCTAAGAGCACGAAAGAACAGGCTCTATCAGGATTTCATAGGGCCTGGAAATGCCCGACTCAAAAATCAATACCTTTAAGTTCAGGCATGTACGCTGCAGTATAGCTATAGGGCCTTAGCCTTATGAGTCGAGGGACATTTCTGAACATAAGGTTTTCAGTGGGTTGTTTTGCTTAAGATTTAGAAGGTTGCCATAAGAATTTTAAGGTTTTTATGGTGGTGTAGGTTGGCAATGCGGGTTTAGGAGTTCAACTTTTCGGGTTACAAGAATTGCCGGTTAAATACGAGCCTCATGAAGCCAACCAGACCAAACATAAGCCCCCCCACCGCAAACCCTGTAGCAAGCCCGTCATATACCCTTAAAGTTCCCTTGATAGGACCCTAGGATACCCAGTAATCTAAGAAGAAAAAGGCCTCTCTTTTTGGTATTGGGTAACTTTATAAGGAACCTAGGACTACAAAAAGGGAATAAGGGTACTACTGGAGATCCTGGGACCATGAGAAGGAGCCCTAAGGTCCTCGATCAAATCGTCTTCAACCCTACAAGCCACCATGGAGCCCTAAACTCTAAGGCCCTAGACCCTAAACCCTAAACCAAGCCCTAAACCAAGAACCCTAAACCCCAAACCCTATAGACCCTAACCCCTAGACCCTCTCTTCTTCAACCCTATAACCCACGATTAAGGCCCTAGACCCTAAACCCTCTCCCTAAACCCTAAACCCTAGACCCTAACCTCTACACCCTCTCTTCTGAGTCTTCAAGAAGCAAGGCCGGCCGCCCTTTGCCATCGGTGCCCTGGTCCGGCAGGGCGCGGAGATCAAGAAGCCTCGGCACTTCGCTTCAAGCTTGTTTAGGGCTTAGGGGTTTAGGGCTTCGGGCTTAGGGTTTAGGGTTCCGGGTTTAGGGGTTTGGTTTAGGGCTTAGGGCTTAGGGTTTAGGGTTTAGGGTTAAGGGTTAGGGTTTAGGGTCTACGGTTCCGGGTTTAGGGGTCCAGGGTTCCGGGTTTAGGGGTCTAGGGTTCAGCGTTTAGGGTTTAGGGTTCCGGGTTTAGGGGTCTAGGGTTCAGGGTTTAGGGATTTAGGGTTTAGAGTTTAGGGCTTGCTTTGTTTTTTTTAAAGGCCACCCCTTGTCTCGCTGGTTTAAAGTTTAGGGTTTGTTAAGGGTTTTGGATGGAATTTGGGTCTTTGGGTTTAGAGTTGCGAGGGCGGGAGTCAAGCAAGAGTTTGGAGTCTAGCGTGGTCTTGCTGGACGTGCCCGTTGAGCGCAAAAAACCCGCCTCAACGCCCCGGGGTGCCTGAGCCGACCGGGACCTCTCTTCCCGGCGGCCTTGTTGCGGTGTATCGGCGCGTTCGGAGCTCTGGGCATGCATGGCAAGCAGAAGATGCCCTAAACCCTAAACCCTTAGACCCTAAACCGATCCCGCAATATAGACCCCACCTAGTCCCAAATTAGCAGGTTGAGGGTCTTAGGGTCAAGGGTTGAGAGTTCTAGGGGGTTGCGGTGTAGTATTTAGGGCTTCAGGGACCTTCATGCCTGGGAACTTTATATGAAACCTGTCTATGGGTACCCGAAGTACCAAACTTGGCTTGGATTCAGAGGTAAGCCTTCTTGCTTTGCCGGACCTGCCGCCATCACTTCCTACACGCCATACTATAGGGACATTGATACTTAGAATAGGGTGCTAACGCGATATGCCACTTTCTCAAAGCTACTACTACTACTGCTGCTGCTGCTACTACTACTACTACCACTACTGCTGCTGCTGCTACTACTACTACTACTACTACTACTACTACTGCTACTGCTACTGCTACTGCTACTACTACTACTACTACTACTACTACTACTACTACTACGACTACTACTATACTACTATAACTAGTATATGTATTGTTTTTTGACTAAAGGTTAACCTTTTCTGTGCGGCTCGTGGAGCAGAATGAACCTCGCTAGATCGAGGACCGCGCGTCGTGGCCACATCATTTGCCAGTAGAGCTCTTCTGGAGTGTTCCGCTTCTTAAGCCGGTGCCTGAGCGACGAGGGGTGAAGAGGGTGCTAACGGCGAGTCCAAGGCCCCGGCGGATCCAGCTCCATCAGCCGACAGTGGTGTTCGAGTGTCCTGTCAGGTGCACTTGCGAAGGCAACGAAGCGAAGCTAAGAAACCGAAGTGGGCCTTAGACGAAACTCGATCACCACCACCATCGGCAAGATGAAGTGGTCCGCGCTGGTGGTCGGCCAGTCCCGCACCTGAATCAACCAGATATGTGCTCACTCGATGCCGGCGGAATCCTGCCTTCTCGTATTCGGTGTAAATGTAGTCGTCTGGCAATAAAACACAGGAAAAGAAATTAGGTGACATCGATCGCTAAAACCGAGCCTTCGCCGAGGCTGCTGTGGAACTTTCTTTCGCGATCATACACCTGCCGACGGAGTCTTTCGACAATTATCCTCTAACTTGCTGTGCTCCGGCCTCGTTGGCGATCCGGCGGGTCCACCAGCGCGGTTGCCTGAGTTCAGACTAACACAAGATTGAACGTTAACGGTGTTTTTTTGTTTGAGGCGGCGGCTCAAACTTAGGCCCATCTTCGGCCGCAACGTGCGGCGGGAAAGCAAAAATAGGACCTGGTCAAGGAAAGGGTTGGCATCAAAAGCTTCGGAGGTACCTGAGTTCGTGGCCAGGGTAAGCTGCCATGATCGACGGACCTGAAAGGATGCAAGCAAGCTGAATTTTTAGAAGCTGTTTTCCAAGGCTGCCACTTGACGAAGAGGAGAGAACTACTCGAAAAGCTCGAAAAGTTTGCTTGATATTCACGGCTGCCGAATAGAAGTGCAGGCTACTTCAAGAACTTACAACAAATATTCCGTCAATTGTTCAGGTTAGACCCCTGAGATGCAGTTGCTGCAGGCTACTTGAGGAACTCAAAACAAAAAATCCGTCAACTTTTCAAGCTAGACCCCTGAGTGTGCAGTTGCTGCAGGCTATTTCCAGGACTCAAAACACAAAAATCCGTCCACTTTCCAGCTTAGACCCCTGAGTGTGTAGTTGCTGCAGGCTACTTCAAGGACTCAAAACAAAAAATGGTCAACTTATCAGGCTAGACGCCTTAGTGTGCAGTTGCTGCACGCTACTTCGGGACTCAAAACTGCAGGCTGCTTGACGAACTCTAAAGAAAAAATCCGTCAACTTTTCAAGCTAGACCCCTGAGTGTGCAGTTGCTGCAGGCTACTTCCAGGACTCAAAACAAAAAAATCCGTCCACTTTCCAGCTTAGACCCCTGAATGTGTAGTTGCTGCAGGCTACTTCAAGGACTCAAAACAAAAAATCCGTCAGCTTGTCAGGTTAGACGCCTTACTGTGCAGTTGCTGCGGGCTACTTCGGGACTCAAAACAAAAGTCCGTCAACTTTTCAAGGTAGACCCCTGAGTGCGCAGGTGCTGCAGGCTACTTCAGGGACTTAAAACAAAAAATCGTCAATCTTTCAGGATAGCATTGCAGCTTCTGTTTCTGCGTCCTGCAGCGGTCGCAGCGCTTGCAGTTTATCGCTCTCTGCAATACTGGAGCGGCCCCGGCGATGGCAGCTTCTCTTTTGTTGCAAGACCGGCGCGGTCGCAGTACTTGCAGATTTACTCTCTCTGCAATACTGGAACAGCCGCAATCATTGCAGATTACTGCTTTCTGCAAACTCGAGCGGTCACAGTAATGCAGTTTTTTTTCTCCTGCAATACTGAGATAGAAATCGGAGCTTCTTTCATTCTGGAAGTTTGGACCGGTCGTCGTAATTGCAATTTATGCCCTGCGAAGCTGGGGGCGGCCACAGTAATTGCAGCCTTTTCTCCCGGCGTGTTGGTGCGGTTGCAGTATTAATACTTTGGAGTTTTTCTCCGTGATACCGGAGATCCTCTGTCTCCGGGCAAGAGCTTCTCATCGCGTCTGCAGTCCGGACAACACCCAAGTGTGTTCGGGCGATATATTCTATCCATGCTTCACGTCGCAATGACGATAGCGTCACCTGCCACTCCTGCACTCCACCAATTATGTGGCCGACCTCCCCCCCCCCACCCCCTGCATTTTTTTGTCCTGCCCTGCCCAGTATTACCAAACCTTGCCAAACGTTCTCTCTGGCATCAACCAGCGACGCATAGTTGAACCCGAAACGTGCCAAACTTTTGCTCTGGCACCAACCGCTGTGGCACGAACATCTGCCCGGTGGGTTCTAACAGCCCAGATGATGATGCGTCATGCCTTCTTCGGTCGCCGATCCCTTTTTCCAGCGACGAGGTTTGGGGACACGATTACGTTACCATCACAAGCCTGTGGCAGTGAGCAACTTTCCAGCGACGAGGTTTGGGGACGCGATTACGTTACCATTGCAAGCTTGTGGCTGTGAGCAACTTTCCAGCGACGAGGTTTGGGGACACGATTACGTTACCATCGCAAGCCTGTGGCTGCGAGCAACTTTCCAGCGACGAGGTTTGAGGACACGATTACGTTACCATCGCAAGCCTGTGGCTGTGAGCAACTTACCAGCGACGAGGTTTGGGGACACGATTGCGTTACCATCGCAAGCCTATGGCAGTGAGCAACTTTCCAGCGACGAGGTTTGGGGACACGATTACGTTACCATCGCAAGCCTGTGGCAGTGAGCAACTTTCCAGCGACGAGGTTTGGGGACACGATTACGTTACCATCGCAAGCCTGTGGCTGTGAGCTACTTACCAGCGACGAGGTTTAGGGACACGATTACGTTACCATCGCAAGCCTGTGGCAGTGAGCAACTTTCCAGCGACGAGGTTTGGTGACACGATTACGTTACCATCGCAAGCCTGTGGCAGTGAGCAACTTTCCAGCGACGAGGTTTGGGGACACGATTACGTTACCATTGCAAGCCTGTGGCTGTGGGCAACTTTCCAGCGACGAGGTTTGGGGACACGATTACGTTACCATCGCAAGCCTGTGGCTGTAAGCAACTTTCAAGCGACAAGGTTTGGGGACACGATTACGTTACCATCGCAAGCCTGTGGCTGTGAGCAACTTTCCAGCGACGAGGTTTGGGGACACGATTACGTTACCATCGCAAGCCTGCGGCAGTGAGCAACTTTCCAGCAACGAGGTTTGGGGACACGATTACGTTACCATCGCAAGCCTGTGGCTGTGAGCAACTTTCCAGCGACGAGGTTTGGGGACACGGTTACGTTACCGTGAGCAACTTTTCACAGCGACGAGGTTTGGGGACACGATTACGTTACCATCGCAAGCCTGTGGCAGTGAGCAACTTTCCAGCGACAAGGTTTGGGGACACGATTACGTTACCATCGCAAGCCTGTGTCTGTGGCACACATCTCTGGACCATCAGATCCTGAAAATATGGGAGGCAGTCCAACCCACCTCTGCGCCCCACTTGAACGGATGTTTCCCACGCCCCTCAGTGACAGCATGTCGCAAATCGATTGTCAGGTCTGATCGAGCGGCTGGGTTTCGTGCCATGCGAACATATCGGAGTCGCTTTCTGCCTGTCGCGAGCACTGACAGGGAGCCGCTCGCTAGACTGGCCTATTGGTCTTCGATGACCTCCGACATGGGATCATCGGTCCTGGCAAGGCGGCTTCAGGCATGGTTCGAGCGCTCGATTCACTCGAACTCGAACGAAATATCGAATAGGGTTTAGGGTTTAGGGTTTAGGGTCTGCGGCGGACGCGGCGAACGCGAGTCCGAAGTTGCGACGACACAAGTTTGTCCCAACAACATGACGACACCCCCCCTATGTTTTTTAAATATACAGTTCCTAAAATGATATGATTGAAAAGGGTTTAGGGTTTTCTTCTTAGAAGCCGACACCGGCGAAATTAGCCCGAATCGCCAGTCGGCCCGACGGAAGCGCAATTCTACCATCTTTCTCCCTCGAATTTTCCCGGAGCGAAATATCCAATAGGGTTTAGGGTTTAGGGTCTGCGGCGGACGCGGCGAACGCGAGTCCGAAGCTGCGACGACACAAGTTTGTCCCAACAGCATGACGACCCCTCCTATGTTTTTTCAATATACAATTCCTAAAATAATATGATTGAAAAGGGTTTAGGGTTTTCTCTTTAGAAACCGACACCGGCGAAACTCGCCCGAATCGCCAGTGAGCCCGACGGAAGCGGAATTCTCCCATCTTTTTCCCTCGAATTTTACCGGAACCAAATATCCAATAGGGTTTAGAGTTTAGGGTTTAGGGTTTGCGGCGGACGCGGCGAACGCGAGTCCGACGCTGCGACGACACAAGTTTGTCCCAACAACATGACGACCCCGCCCCTATGTTTTTTCAATATACAGTTCCGAAAATGATATGATTGAAAAGGGTTTAGGGTTTTCTCTTTAGAAGCCGACACCGGCGAAATTCGCCCGAATCGCCTGTGAGCCCGACGGAAGCGGAATTCTCCCATCTTTTTCCCTCGATTTTTCCCGGAACGAAATATCCAATAGGGTTAAGGGTTTAGGGTTTAGGGTCTGCGGCGGACGCGGCGAACGCGAGTCCGAAGCTGCGACGACACAAGTTTGTCCCAACAACATGACGACCTCCCCCTATGTTTTATAAATATACAGTTCCTAAAATGATATGTTTGAAAAGGGTTTAGGGTTTTCTCTTTAGAAGCCGACACCGGCGAAATTTGCCCGAATCGCCAGTCAGCCCGACGGAAGCGCACTTCTCCCATCTTTTTCCCTCGAATTTTCCCGGAGCGAAATATCCAATAGGGTTTAGGGTTTAGGGTCTGCGACGGACGCGGCGAACGCGAGTCCGAAGCTGCGACGACACAAGTTTGTCCCAACAACATGACGACCTCCCCTATGTTTTTTCAATATACAATTATTCCTAAAACGATATGATTGAAAAGGGTTTAGGGTTTTCTCTTTACAAGCCGACACCGGCGAAATTCGCCCGAATCGCCAGTGAGCCCGACGGAAGCGCAATTCTCCCATCTTTTTCCCTCGAATTTTCCCGGAACCAAATATCCAATAGGGTTTAGGGTTTAGGGTCTGCGGCGGACGCGGCGAACGCGAGTCCGAAGCTGCGACGACACAAGTTTGTCCCAACAACATGACGACCTCTTCCTATGTTTTTCAAATATACAGTTCCTAAAATGATATGATTGAAAAGGGTTTAGGGTTTTCTCTTTAGAAGCCGACACCGGCGAAATTAGCCCGAATCGCCAGTCAGCCCGACGGAAGCGCAATTCTCCCATCTTTTTCCCTCGATTTTTCCCGGAACGAAATATCCAATAGGGTTCAGGGTTTAGGGTTTAGGGTCTGCGGCGGACGCGGCGAACGCGAGTCCGAAGCTGCGACGACACAAGTTTGTCCCAACAACATGACGACCCCCCCCCTATGTTTTTTCAATATACAGTTCCGAAAATGATATGATTGAAAAGGGTTTAGGGTTTTCTCTTTAGGAGCCGACACCGGCGAAATTCGCCCGAATCGCCAGTGAGCCCGACGGAAGCGGAATTCTCCCATCTTTTTCCCTCGATTTTTCCCGGAACGAAATATCCAATAGGGTTAAGGGTTTAGGGTTTAGGGTCTGCGGCGGACGCGGCGAACGCGAGTCCGAAGCTGCGACGACACAAGTTTGTCCCAACAACATGACGACCCCCCCCCTATGTTTTTTCAATATACAGTTCCGAAAATGATATGATTGAAAAGGGTTTAGGGTTTTCTCTTTAGGAGCCGACACCGGCGAAATTCGCCCGAATCGCCAGTGAGCCCGACGGAAGCGGAATTCTCCCATCTTTTTCCCTCGATTTTTCCCGGAACGAAATATCCAATAGGGTTAAGGGTTTAGGGTTTAGGGTCTGCGGCGGACGCGGCGAACGCGAGTCCGAAGCTGCGACGACACAAGTTTGTCCCAACAACATGACGACCCCCCCCCTATGTTTTTTAAATATACAGTTCCTAAAATGATATGATTGAAAAGGGTTTAGGGTTTTCTCTTTAGAAGCCGACACCGGCGAAATTAGCCCGAATCGCCAGTGAGGCCGACGGAAGCGGAATTCTCCCATGTTATATAGGGACTATATAGGGGCCATACTACCCCAAAAAGGTTAATACTCGAATACTACTGTTGATGATATAAATCCTGCATTACCTTAAGGACCCTAACTATGGGAATTTTGGTATATTCCTTATTATGGGTCATGCAGGATTTATATCATCAACCGTAGGTATTAAGGAGCTCTAATCCGCAACTCCTAAAGCACCTGTATTACACCCACGGCATTTGCAACTCAGCAGCGTGGTGAGCACCTGTGTCATTGAACCTGGGCCATCTCAAGTAACCCACAGGAAAGACCAATTTCGGCACTTTTAAGGTTTAGGGATGTTTAGGGTTTGGGGCGTAGGGTCCAAATATGCTACAAGTATGGAACTTGGTCCAAAAGGACCCTCCTGGACCATCCTTCCTCTGTTTCTAGGGACCTTTTGCCATAATCGTAGTGTAAAGCAGAAGCCCTGCATTGCATCTGATGTAAGATCTGTGTCTTTATGGGGCTACCTGGTTGCGGACCACACGCCAAATATAGTACTTACGCAGAACCCTAAACCCTAAGCATTCTTCCTGATTGCTGGAGTAGCAGCTCGAACCTGCATTGAAAGTATCATATCAGCACTCGGCTTGTCTTCTGCTGGGCCCCCGTGAGCCCTAGCAAAGCCCTAAACCCTAAGCCCAAAACCCGAAGCCCTGACCCGTGGGCAGTTTTAATGAAAGAACTCTATTGTCCAACAGCCGGGAGTCGAAAGCTCTCAAACTCCAGTTGAACATACAGCCTGCATAATGACCAACAGTAGCGATAAGAAAAGCAATAGCCAATAGGAGTCATAACAGTAAAATCAAAAACAGTAGCAACATTGCCATTAACAGAAAGAGCAGTAGTAATAATGATCAGGGTGTGGGCGTATGCGAGCCCTCATCTACATTAAGCAACCCTAGCGAATCATATTGTCAATTCTCAGGCCTTATACGTATAATGCCCACTGGATGGCTTCAGCCACACGGGTGAAGTGCCCGAAGTTGCAAGCTGCCAAGTCTTGGGGATTCACAGCGTGCGGCTTAGGACCTTAGGATTTGTGGCTCATGGTCCGGATGACCCTAAACCCTAAACCCCCAAACCCTAACCCCTAAACCCCAACCCCCAAAACCCTAAACCGTGAGGGCATCTGGGCCAAGCTTGCAGACCGCTGCAAGGGCTCGGGGACTCCTCTCTTATGGACACCACGGAAACGCTTAGGGTACTATAAGGGCTTAGGGTTTAGAGTTTAGGGCTTTGGAGGAAGCTTATAAGCCGTGTCAGGCCCGTATCTTCTCAAAATCGAAACCTATCGTTGAGGTAGTCAACACGAAGACATGGACCAAACGATTCCGGCATACCCGCATGCCCTGAAAACAGCTTACCCTGTAGCCCATAGCCCCAACCCCTGAAGCACTAAACCCCAGAGGCCTAAAAAGGCACCTTAAAAACTAGAATAGGGCTCTGGGGCCCATAATAAGGAACCCCCAAAGTAGTCCAGGTAATTATTAAGGCTCCTATATTAGAAAGTTTAGCTCCGCAGCCGCAGAATTCAAAGCTGCTAGAAGTCTTGGTCAATCCAAGCGGCCGCCCAGGGACAAGGCATCGAGGATCAAGGAGCCACCAGTCTGAGTTTGTTTTTTGTTTCTTTTGTTTAGGGTCTAGGGTTTAGGGGTTTAGGGTCTAGGGTTTAGGGGTTTAGGGGTTTTAGGGGTTTCAGGAGTTTAGGGCCTTTAGGGGTTTAGGGGTCTAGGGGCTTAGGGTTTAGGATTTAGGGGTTTAGGGTTTAGAACCGGTTAGAACTAAAGTTTCGGTGTATACCATGAAAAGGCCTCATTTGGTTTGTAAAGAACTTAGAATCTGCATAGAAATACGAAGCCTAAACCTGCAAACCGCCGGCTCGCCTCGGAAGGCGTGTCTGTGACGCGGGCTTTGGCGCGAGCCAGATCCATGATGAGGTCCTCCAGAATTGGTGGGGGTCGGTGGGAGGAGGGAGTTGGGGGGTGTGGGTGGGGTTGAGGGTTCAGGGGTTCATGGTTGAGCCTCTGCTGCAAACCCAAACAGTCCAGCCCTAGAGCCTGAACTAAAGCCCTAAACGTCTCAGCAATCAGGGGGGTTTGAAGTGGGGTCTGCGATTGAGGTCTTTGGTGTGGGGCTTGAGGCTTGAGGGCTTGCATCGGATCGCAGGGGTACACCTACATTGCCTTGACAAGCCATGCACCGGCCTTGCTGCCACAGCGCACGGCATACCTGAGAAGGAGCATACCTAAATCATATAAGGGGACCTAGGTTCCTCAGCTCTCTTCCCTAATTAGGCCTGCCACAAGTCATATAAGGGATCCTACTAAAACTTGATGTATATTCCGTATTCCCTAATTGCTACAACTTACGGCATATTCCCTATAGCCACTCGGAGTTTTTCAATTCCTGAGTCCACTCCCGATGGACCATGCACCCAAAGTTTCCTTTGGGGGCTCTGCTCCTTGAAAAGCTCCTCTGACGGTTCGTACACAGTTAGGGTTTAGGGTTTGGGGTTAGGGTTTACGAGCTTAGGGTTCAGGGCTTGGGTGTATAGGGGTTTAGGGGCTAGGGCTTAGGGAGAAGCCTTAAATCTGGAATATTATACTCCTCAAAGTAGAGTATAAGGGGTCCTGGCACTAATCATCCTACACCCATGTTCCGACTTTCTGGGGTTCGTTATAAGGGTTCCTATAAGGGTTCTGTTTATCAGAGATCCATCCAAGTTTCGATATTTAGAGTCGGTGGCACTTTAGTAAGGCATCTAGGGTTTTCGTTTAGGGCTGAGGGGTGAGGAGTATGGCGGGTGTGATGTAGGGTTCAAGATTTACGTTAGGTGCCTTGGGTCTTATACATAGCGCTTATGCTCAAGTCCGCATGGCTTCATGACGACTTCCGAGACCTTCCCATGCCCCTTAATTAGGGAATATACCTCAAGTTCTAGGAGCAGGCCTAACTTGATTTAACGTATGTATTTCTCATGTTGGAACCCCAAGGGTCCAAGTACCTAATTGTCATATACTCTCCAACCCCTAACCTACATAACTACTATCGTAAAACCGAGTACCTGTACCTAATTATTGGGTCCTTTGGGCCCTTAGGGGAAGATCTGGGAACTGCAAAGCTTGAAACCCAAACCTGAGCCAGCAGAACACTCTCCCAAAGGCTCCATGTAACTTTAGAGAAGATACTTAAGCCTTAAAGAGGTCCCTATATAGGCACTTTAAGGCCTAAGTGCCTACTATATGGGTACATGGTGCCTTAGGGTTTGGTCCCAGTTACCGCAGCGGGCTGTTGCCCCGCCCATCACGCTCGTTCGCATCTGCCGAGGCAAAGAGCAAAGACTGGACGACGAACTTCACCTAAGAGAGGTTTGTAAAGCAGGGCTGTTGTGGTAGGGCCCGCTGGTTCGGGTTTAGGCTGAGCTTCCTGAGAAAGTCTGAAGGTACTGTTGAGGGACAAGATCCTGCATGACCCAAAGGACTCTAAACTATGGGAACTATGGTATATTCCTTATAATGGGCAATTTGTCCATCAACAGTAGGGCCCGGTGGTTCGGGTTTAGACTGGGCTTTCTCAGAAACTCTGAAGGTATCCTAAGGAAAACTGCTGGGTGCTCTGCACTTACCTGGCCCTCTGCCAAATTATATCATGATAAGGAACCCACCCCAACAATGGTATAGGTAGTTATTTAAGCGCTCATATTACTGTATCGGGGCCTAGTAATTCCCCGCACCCAGCCTTTCCTCCAACTCTGAGTCAGAACTGAAACCTGCTTGCACCCTATCATCACAACGGTTGACAGAAACAAAGCCAACAAATTCCCCCCCCCCCCCCCGAACCTTTATCCAGTAGGCACGGAATAAGGCCCAGAGACCAAGACCTGCAAACACGATCTGGATTCCTAAACCCAAACCCTAAACCAGAAAGGCCCTAAACCAGGAGCCTCAAAGGCGGCTGTAAGGTCATACGGCCGTATCCGAGCCCAGTGAAGGCTTTGTGCTTCGGGAAGGATGCTTTGGGACTTGTAATTCCAAAAGTCGGAAACCACTAGTTGTATTCCTAGGGCTCTAACACGAGGATGGTACAATACACCTCCCCCCAAAATAGTCTATGTGACGTCTATGTGTTAAGATCCCCCTAACTTCTATGCCCGGCACCCCTGAGCTGAACGGTTTAGCTCGATTTCGCAATCTTATGAACAGCTCAATGAACTCTACTCCATGTGCGCCAAGATCTGCACCCATGCTCCGCGTGCTTCACACCGGATGATGTTCCATCAGCTCGAAGTTGAAAACAGCATGAGGTGCTGTAGTGTTTAGGGTTTAGGGCATCCACTTTGTGCTCAAGTGCCTCTCCGATCTCGTCAGTAGCCTCGTCTTGCCCTGCCGGCCACCTGTCTCTGCGTACCGCTTCCCATAGGCACGAACGTTGTAAGGAGCTCCGCAGCCACCCGCTGATATGTTCTTCAACGCACAGCCCAACTGTTTCTTCTGCTGTGTTGAAAGATGTCTTTCCACCCCAACCACCCGACCCACACCAATCCAAGACCAACTGAAAACCAATCGAAAACCCCTCACGGAAAGAACACCAAAACGATTACCAGCGAAACCCCCTCTGCACCCGAAACTTCTAGATAATTTATGCATATACTTTTTAAGGGCCCTTTCCCGACTGCAGTACAGCTAGAATTCCGTGGTTACCATTGTGACCCTCAGCCCTGATCTGAATCAACCTCCGTCACCCGACCAAGTGGCACTAGAACCCGAGCTTTGCAGCGCGCTGCACAAACCTGGGCTTCTGGCTCAGGGCGGGCTTCGAGGTTTAGGATTTAGGGTGCAAAAGGGGCCTTATTGATTAGAATAGGGTTTTTGGGCCCAGTATACTGTAGCTACAATAAGGAACCCCCCCAAAATAGTGTACTTAATTATGAAGGCCCCTATGTTCAGGTTTAGGGTAGGGGTTCAGGGCTCAGAGTCTTCGGTTTCGAGGCAAAGGGCGCAAGGTTAGGGTTTAGGGGTTTAGGGGTTTCGGGGTTTAGGGTGGGCTTCGAGGTCAGGGTTTTCGCTTTAGGGTTTAGAGTTTAGAGCTAAGCCCAAATTGGTTTCAAGATTCTCAGGCTCTCGAGCATTAATATGGGGGCCTTAATGATTAGAATAGGGTTCTGGGCCCATTCTACTATAATAAAAAGATGTAATTATGTATCCCCTCATATTATGGCACCTTTATAGATCCCTTGTTATAGTAGCCCTTATAGCCCCTTTAAAGGAACCCCTAGGCCCCTATATTAGGCTTCATGGTTCGGGCTGCTTTGGGTCAAGGCCTCGGACAAATTTTGGGCAGGAACTGTGGTATTTGGGGCCTTGGGATTTGGGATTTGGGTTTCGGGTTTAGGGCCTTTGGGATAGGGTTGCCCAAAACCCTATAAACCCTAAACCTTGCAGATTATTTTGGCAGGGTCCCGGGCATCTTCGGCTGAAAAAATCCGTGTACATGAATGGCAGGGCCTGCTCAGTTCCTGGACCTTAAAGGGAACTCCAGAAAGTTGGAATGTGGTTTCAGGGTAGGATACCTTATAACTTACCATAATGGGTTTAGGATAATCATATTCCAACTTTCTGGCTTTTACTTTCAACTCATATAGGTTTCAGCTGACCAACTGGACCCGTAGGCTTTCAGCGAAAACCCTTAGGCCCCAAACCCTAAACTCCTAAACCCTACACGCTAAACCGTAAACCCTACCCCCTAAGAACTCTAAACCCTCCACGGGCAAGTTTTGGGCTCTTTTCGACAGATCTGGGCGCACGGCTTCGCTCCAAAGGAACCGGAATTTGAGGTGTACTTAAAAGGCATGAGAAGGAATTTCGTATGCTCAGAATAAGGAGCCGGCAGTAATACTTATTTCATGACCCTACATCAACTCGCTTTCATTTAAGGCTCCTGATCTCTACTACTGCTACTACTACTACAACAGCTACTACTACTACTACTACTACTACTACTACTACTACTACTACTACTACTACTACTACTCCTACTACTACTACTACTCCGACGAAGACCGAGGCTGAGACCAAGACAGAGGCGAAGGCTAAGACTAAGCCTAAGGCTTAGGTTCAGACGACGACGACTGTAATGTTATTGCTACTGCTACTACTACTGCTACTACTACTACTAGGACGACGACGACGACTACTACTACTACTACTACTACTACTACTACTACTACTACTACTACTACTACTACGGCGCTGCACGTGATGGAAATTAGACTAGAATGCAGAGTACGTGGGACAACATCACCATCAACACGACATATCTGCTAGGCGCTTCTCAGCTGCCCATGCACAGCACGACTGTCGCCTCCCCACTCACGGCGACCCCATGTCACGACAGTTCCATTGCTACGAATGGCAGCGAAAGCATAGTCAGAGGCTCCGATCTGGAGCACGTTGTTGAGCTCCTCCTGCACAGCTGAACTGTCACCACCATGCTGCGCGGAGCCCCAGGATACAACAGCACCACTCGCGAGAACAGCAGCGAAAGCAGCCCTTGTAGCGTGGATGTGATGCACATTTTTCAGTTGCTGCTGGACAGCACTACTGTCACCACCATATTCAGCAGTACCCCAAGTCACAACGGACCCATCGCCCAGAACAGCAGCAAAGGCCTGTGAAGTCGCTTGGATGCATTGCACATTCTTCAGCTGATGCTGCACATTGCTGCTGTCGCCACCAGCGCTACAATCTCCCCATGTAACGACAGACCCATCGATAAGAACGCCAGCAAAAGCGCACGCAGCAGCTTGGATCTGCTGCACAAGCTTGAGCTGATCATGAACAGCACTGCTGTCACCACCGTGCAAGGCATTACCCCAAGTCACGACAGATCCATCAGCAAGTATGGCAGCAAAAGCATGTTCAGAGGCTTGGATCTGCTGCACATTCTTCAGCTGCTCCTGTGCAGCACTGCTGTCACCACCAGATGCACCATCACCCCAGGTCACGACAGATCCATTGCCGAGAATGGCAGCAAAAGCCCTGCTGCTGGCCTGGACCTGCTGCACATTCTCTAGCCTGGGCTTTGGCATAAACCAGGGAAGCAAAGTAATGTAGGGGCCTTAATAGGTGTCTGCCATTCTAGCCATTCTACAAAGACTATGATTATAATAAGGAGTCCCCAAAATAGTGTAGGTAATTATTATGGCCGCTATAGTATAGATTTTGTTTTATAGTTGGTTCCCTTTGAAGCAGCAGGTCCCAAAAACGTATTAAAGTATGGTACTCCAAGCCCAGCAGCTGATGTTGGACAGAATCGCTGTCACCACCATGGTCAGGAGATCCCCATGACACCACTGATCCATCGCCCAGAATGGCAGCGAAAGCATGTTCGGAAGCCTGGATGCGCTGCACGTTCTGCAGCTGTCCCTGCACATTCGGTAGCCTGCTGTCACCCCCGGAGCCAGAATGACCCCAGGTCACGACATTCCCATCACCGAGAATGGCAGCAAAAGCGCCGTGAGAGCTTTGAATATGCTGCACACTCTTCAACAGTTTCCGAACAGCATGGCAGCAACCACCATAGTAAACGCTGCCCCATGTTACGACAGATCCATCAACAATAATGGCAGCAAAAGCAAAGCGAGAGCCTTGCTTGTGCAGTTTCCATAGGTTAGCCGTTTGGAGGATATAGGGATTAAGGTACCCCACAAAAGTGATGACTAAATGTTACCCAAACCCTAAACTTCAACACCCTAAACCCTAAACCCATTACTACTAGGAGCTCTGGATCTTCTTGACGTTCCTCAGCTGCTTCTGCACATCACTGCTTCGACCGCCAGTGTCGCGCTCGCCCCATGTAGCAACGGAGGCATCAGCAACGATGGCAGCAAATGCATACTCGGTAGTGCATACTTCAGGTCTGCCTATGAACAAGGTCAATGAGTCGCCATTCTTCACCCTGGCCCTCTTGATGCGGGAACTTCCATCCAGCACGTCTCCGGATGAATCCAACAGCTGCCCTTGCGAGACTCCTAGCAAACCAAGCGCTCGAAGTCTCAATGTTTCCATCTCTTCATCAACGTCTGCTGTCACTGCAGCTGTTCTGCCACTGAGAAGTCCGACTTCCACGGTGATGGCCATGCTTCTTGCAGGAAACGGAACAGGTACAAGTCGGAAGTGTTGCTTTTATACTGAACCTAGAACCCTAGCAAAAATCATAATTTGAGCTGTTTCTTAGGGATCATAATAACCAAAAAATAAAAACTATTTCTAAGTACCCCTAAGGCTTGTTCAAGACGTTCCTAGGCTCAAACGTCGGCAGCACAGCACCAGCACCCTAAATCGTGGCATGGATGCTGGACATTCGGGCTGCAGCATTTCCCAGAGCCTCCAAAACCCCTTAATTTAGGACTATACCTTAAAATCATATTGGGGATCCTATTATACCTGAACCTTGAATTATAATAGGGATCCTACTATAACTTAAGGTAAATTCCTTAATTAAGGGGTTTTGGAGGCTCTGGGTTGTTGTTTCACTCTCCGGAGAGCAGAGCTGGTTAAAGAACAGGGATGTCGTAAGTTCACTCCGGGAATAGAGGATGCAAGTGTTGAGGGTTCAGGGTTTAGGGGTTTCGGGTTTAGGGTGTTTAGGGGTTTAGGATTTAGGGGTTGCGGGGTTTAGGGTTTTTAGGGGTTCAGGGGTTTAGGATTTAGGGGTTTAGGGGTTTAGGATTTAGGGTTTAGGGGATTAAGTGTTGATTCAAGATGCAGATCATCGTAGCAGTCACAGTGAAGGGACGAAAAACAGTAGCAGTAAAGTGGCGAGAGTTGTGTTACTGCTGTAGCTCTTCCTCGAGCCTGCAGTCTACACTCAAGCACGGTGAAATAAATTCGTGCACACGCAGTCCCACACCCTATACCTGAGAGTTGTGAGTTTTATGGAGTGTAGAAGACTCCAGAACTACGCGTTCAACCTGGCATAGCAATAACTGATATCGGCGAGCTTGCACCGTCCTACACCTCCAACCCTGCGTCCAATGCCAACCTTTGCCGGACACCTTGACTTCAATCTTACTTTCTAAGTCTAAGTCCCATGATCCTCCAAGTGGAAGATGCACTGACTCAGTAAGTCAGCTTGCGCGTGGAACAACTGATATAAGTAGTACCCAGAGAGCCCGATACTCCTTATTTAAGGAATATACCGAAAATCTTAATATTAAGTCCCCTACCATTTAAGGTGTATTCCCTAAACAAGGGGTATCGGGCTCTCTGGGTATACAAGTTGTCAGGGTTCCCCTCGAGAATGAGGATGCCCATTTTCCAAACATAGGATTCTTCGGATTCTCTGATCTGTCGGATCTGTCGGGGCCTTGAGCTATACTTCAAATGGCCTAGACTGCGAAAATTCTGAACCCTAGGACCGAAAAAAAACCTGAACTAAACCGAGAATCCCCGCACCCCCATAGAACAATAGTAAACCCGGCCTATGAGCCCTGCCAAACACGATAAACCGGGCCCCAAACAAACCACACAAGCCCTCTTCGCGCTGTCTGAAGTGCCTCTGAGGGCTTTTGTAAGGGTACCTTCTTGGCTCTTCAAGGGCTTCTCGAGAGACTGTAATTCTGTGCCCCGTAATATATCCCAAACCCTCTCTGACTCATTGGAGGCTCTATACAGTGAAGCCGGAAAAAAACTTTCAAGTCGAACTATCACGGCCCATCTATTTTAAGCTCTTAAAGCCCAATTCCAGCAACTTTAGATCCCTCATAGAGCCCTTTAAGGAACCCTCTTCCAACGATCAAGGCCCCTATACTAAACCCCCCCATAATACCCCTCAAAGTAATCATTGTGGACCCCATCTAAAAGGAACCCTTTTAAAGGAACCCCATTATAATCACTAAGGCCCCCAGACATAATATAGGAACAAAAACATCACCGGGCCGGGCTGCCCGTGTTGTTGCGACCGTCCTTCTGATTTGGATCAGCGCGGGCCTCTCAGGACAGTGGCGTGAGGGCCCGAGGGAGCCCAATACGAACTTCATAAGGGATATCCATGTGTATCACATATACATGTATATATGTATATGTATATGTATATGTATATGAATATGTATATGTATATGTATATGTTATATGTTATATGTATATGTATATGTATATGTAGGTTGTATGCAGATGCATACGCATATGTATATGGTGATGTATATGCGTATGTGTATGTATATGCATACGTACCTGTATATACATGTGAAAATGAATATGTACGTGTGGATGTTTACATACCTGTATGTGTGGATACACGGATATGCGGATGTGTATATATATATATATACACATACTTATACATACATATATATATATATATATATATATACACACACATACACACACACACTTGTATATCTGTGCACTTATCTACATATGCCTATCTGCTTATATACCTACATACCTATCTACGTTTCTACCCTTCTACCCACGTACGTAAAAACCTGTACATCTATATATCTCTGTTTTATCTGTATTTCTAAGCATTTATGTATCCACGTATCGTTATCCCTCTATATATATATATATATATGTATGTATGTGTGTATGTATATGTACATATATATATATATACATTATATATTTGTATGTATGTATCCCCAGAACTATGTGTGTCCATATCAGCATCTGTGTGTATGTGTCCAGATGTATATATGTACGAGAGTAAACATAGATCTGTCTATAATGGTGCATATGTGTATATGTGTGTGTATATATATATATATATAGGTTGGTACAAGTAACGACCCCTTCTGGAATGCTACAAATCCCTTGAAGCTGAAAGCGAACCATCCATTCCGGAACCTTCAGGGAACCTCATCGAAACCTTACAACCCTTTATGGAACCTTTCAGAAAAGACTCTTATGGAATGCCACAAACCCTAAACCCCACACCCTGCAACCCCCCTATGACAACCCCAGACCCTACAAATCCATCCTCAAACTCATCCTTAGAGACCCCTTTCAAAGGAACCTTAAACCCAGTATTACAACTTTCCATGGAGCTGCGTGGCCTCCAGAAGCCTTTCCACCGAGGCCCGGAAACCAACTCGGGCGACATTCACCAAAGGGACGTTCACCTGCCGGGGCCCCCCCCAATAATGGCCCTTTAATGGCACCCTTGTGGTCCTCAATACTGTTGATGATACAAATCCTGCATTACCTTAAGGACCCTAAACTATGGGAATTACGGTATATTCCTTATTATGGGTCCTGCAGGATTTATATCATCAACCGTAGTGGGTATTTTTGGGCATCTTAGAGGGTAGTTGGGGGGTCTAGGTGGCTCGTAGCTTTAGTGTTTAAGGGTTTTGAGGTTTGGGGTTTAGGCAAGTCTGGGGTTTGGGGGGTCGGAGCTGCTGGGAAGTTTAGGGTTTGGGGAGTCAAAGCTGCTTCTCTGGAACACAATGCAACCACTCAGCTCTTAGGCCTACAGTAGGAGGAGACTTCTGGTGTAGGATTCAAGGGTTGCAGGGGTGCTTTGTTCACCTGCGACGGGGTGCTGCTCCCGAAGCCAGCCTCGACCCGGACCTAAACTCAAAGGGGAAAAGGAGGGACCCTTAATGGGGACCCCTACCCTATAATGGGCTATATGATGGGTATATAATGGCTAGATTAAGGGTATATACCTAAGGGTCCTTATTAAGGGTCCCTCCTTTTACCCTTGGATAAACCCTAAACCCGGGCCGACCCCTAAGCAAACCTCTCAGTCAGAAGCTGGACCCCTACGGCGCCGGCAACCCTAGAGGGTTTTGGGTATAGTCAGACAAAGCGACCCAAACACAAACGTCTGGTTGAGATGCAACCTGCCCCACTACTGAATCACGGCCTCAAGCTCCCAAAAAGAGCTCCTAGAAACTTAGTCAACGATTCAGGCGACAAGCATAACATTGAAGCCAGAACAACTACCAGTGTTGCTTCTTAGGGCTCCATGTTATGATTGTACTAGAATATACCCAAATCTGCGTTCAAACTTCTAAGGCTCCTAACCCAAAACCCCAAACCCTAGGCCCCTAACCCTGAACATGCTAAACACCCGGAGCGGACTCGGTGCCTCCGGGTGTGGGCCAAGCTCCTGCGAACGGAAGGCTTTTTCCGGGCGTTCAGGATTTAGGGTTTAGGGAGGGATTAGAGTTTCCAATTTAGGGTGGGCACAGAGCTTTCAGAGAGTTACGGCTCAAGGTCGGCTCAGAGCTTTGGAGTTCGAGGCTCGAAGCTCTAGGTTGAGGATCTCGGGCGGATTTTGGTGGTTTCCGAACATTAGGGGTACCTTTTAAAAAAAGGGATCCATAAGATAGTCTATCAGGGTTCCCTAAAGGGATCTATAAGGGTTCTATTTTCAAGTTCTTTTTTGAGGGCCTTTTTGCGACTGCACTAGTCTAGCCGTCACAGCCCGATTGGGCAGGCACGTTTGGCCACATTAACAAAAACCCTTCTCAGTGGCATGCTTGTACATGTCGTCCGGCACAACCCTGACCCTTTGCCACTGCACTTCATCTTGTCATCGGTCAGACCCTTGACAACATCTCCAAGTCCTCCTGCATAGCACTTTGCACCAGCTCATCATGTTCAGCATCAGGATCCGGACCTTCTGTAGAGCCACGAGCCTCAGTGCACACCTCCACATCCACCTCGTTCCCTTCAGCATCGGTTGCAGGGTTTAGGGTCTAAAGTTTCCGCAAATTAGGGGTACCTTCTCTGAAAATCCTTGGAATAGGGATCCTACTATTTGGGGTGCTATATGAGAGTTTCCATTTAGGGGTTAGGCTCTGCGGCTGTAGGGATATAGTGTTCAAGTTCGTGGGACGCTTCCTTTTGCTAAAGCCTAATGCACTCATGTGCTCTCAGTAGAAAGGAGGGGGAATTTTCCATCCCGCCCTACACCCCAAACACTCTGAAGAACTGTCAGTGCCGTAAACCAGAAACTTGAACCTTCACCCGCGCAGGACCCGCTACAGTACCCCTTGCAGCACCCCTTAAGATTAATAACCCTGCAAGCCCTTGAAGAGGGTACTATATTATCGAAACTGTGAGGACCCAAAGCCAAAACCATGAAACTCCTCTTGAAGAAGGCCTTTAGTTATAGTATCCTCAAAGTCACCCTAAATCTTTGAAGGACCCAACCCAAAGCATCTTTCTAACGCCGTAAACACAAACCACAGAGCCAAAACAAACCAAGAGTCATGAAACCTTCGGTTTATGGAGCTCGAAAGGGAATCCTTAAAGCAGCCCTAAGACCCCAAGGCCCTCATCAAGGCCCTGCCTGGGCAATCTCGGCCGCTTCAAGACCGCTCGTCTCGAGGCGCCGGCGGTCAGCGGTGGCACCGGCGACCTTGCGACGGACTCTAAACAAGACCTTAAGGCTCCATGTACCTGCATAACATGCGGCTTCAAGTACCTGTATAGGAACCCCCTTAGGGCCTGAGCATGTGCATGTTACAAGCATGTATATACTATATCACTAGATTTGTACATGGAGCTTTGTGGTCAAGGGCATGCTGGTAGGGAATGGGCATTCTTTCAGAGTCTCTTGCTTGGTTCCAAGCTTGGTTCAGGGGCCGGTAGAGAGTTTCAAGTCACTTCCAGGGTTTAAAGTTTAGGGTAAACACCACCAAGCCCTGAACCCCAAAGTCTAAACTGTAAACCCCAAACTCTAAACCTCAAGCTCTAAACCCTATACCAAGCCCTAAACCCTAAAACCAAGCAACCAACCTAAACCCTCAACCCTCTACTGTAGACTCCCTATAGATCCCTAAAGGGGCCCTGAAAGGAACCTATTGTAACTACCCATGAACCTCCAAGTAAACCCGGTTTCAGGAGTCCCAAGCCTAGGCCTGCTTGTTTCAAGCACTCGACGGCTTCTTTCACGAGGAGGTTTAGGGATCTAAGGCTTAGGGGTTTAGGGTTTAGGGGTTTAGGGGTTTAGAGGTCTAGGAGTTCAGAGTTTTAGGGTTTAGAGGTTTACGGGTTTAGGGTTTTAGGGGTTTAGGGGTTTAGGGTTTTGGGGTTTTAGGGTTTAGGGGTTTAGGGTTTTAGCGCTTTAGGGGTTTAGGGTTTAGGGTTTAGGGGTTTAGGGGTTTAGGGTTTAGGGGTTTAGGGGTTTAGGGTTTAGGGTTGAGGAGGTTTCTAAGAGCTGAAACGGCCCCTCCGGCGGCTTGTCCCGTTTCTTCCCTACCCGCCCTAGCTTGACATGTTCGGGCTCTCTGGCCCGACAGGTCTGGCGAAAGAGTTTCGTTTTGGATCTGCAGGTTGCTGCAAGAGCTTGCAGGGTCCGAAGGCACAGTGAGCTGACAGAAGCTTCTGAAGCCACTCTCAAAGCCTTGCAATCATTCTTCGTAGCTTTGGGGAGTATAGCGGGTGCTGCAGTGCTTCTAATCATAGGGGGTAGGGTGCTGTACTTCCTTAAATCAGCCTTCTTAGACCCTTACCTAGTCCTTGATTGGGGAATATTACGGTAGAAGCCGGAAAGTTGGAATATCATTATCGTATCCCCTTTAAGGTAAATTATAGGGGATCCTACCATTAATCCATATTCCAACTTTCTGGAGTTCCCTTTAAGGCCCCCTACCCGCCCCCCCGCTTGGCCCCCCTACGGGTCCTCATGCTTGCCTACTCCTCAGTTGGGGATCTCCTCGCAAGACCCCGAGGGGATAGGGTTGATGATATAAATCCCTAGGGGGGCCTTTAAAGGGATCTATAGGGGTACCTGTAAGGGGCTCCTTTACGGGATCTATAGGGGGTTTAGGGTTTAGGGTTGATGATACAAATCCTGCATTACCTTAAGGACCCTAAACTATGGGAATTATGGTATATTCCTCATTATGGGTCATGCAGGACTTATATCATCAGCCGTACGCCTGTAACAAGCTTTTGCTCACGTCCTTGCTGCAGCCCCGAACGAAGAAGCACAAGCAAAGCAAGCACTGAGGAGCTCGCGTCGCGGAAAGACATCAGGGAGGCTTCCTACGATTTCCAGCTTCGGCTTGCTAGAAGGTTAGAATGGCGCGAACCGAAAAGACCCAACAATGCTTTAGGGTCGGATACTTTTTAGCGGATTTGGATTCCAACACCATCTAAAATCCTGAAGCCTAAACTTTAAACCCTAAACTCTAAACCACTAAACCCTAACCCCTAAACCCTGAATACCAAAGGCTGCAATGGCGCCAAGGAGACAAGAATCTCGGGTTTTCTAGAACTCCCCGACTTCCTTACCCCATGGATCCAAAGGACCGAATGATTAGGCACTCGGTTTTACTAACCAGTGGTTTTGGGGTTCCCTTGGCTCTTCAGCTCCTTATTTAGAAGGGATTATCATCATCCCTGGCTCCTTAGCTCCTCCTATATCAATGGTTAGTAGTCGTTATGTAAGCTAGCATTTGGGACAGCATATGACTATGAGGCGCGTGGACCCTTCCGGTTAATCTTGCACCTCCATCACAAGGCTGTTCTTTGTTTCGCAGCGTTTAGCGCATTCCCTGATCTTGGATTTTGGTTGGTGAAGGGGAGGGCACGGGCAGCGGTATCTAAAGCCCGAGACCCTGAAACCCTTCTGTAAACCTTTGCCCATTCGAGCACGGGCTTGACGAATTGCTCTGCCCTCTCGGGGGCACCCGAAACCCGAACCCTAAAACCCCAAACCCTCAGAGCCTTAGAAACAGCATAAGGGCCATAACCCAAGAGCCCTAGAAACCCGTAGAACTGTCTGGTTCTTAGTAAGGCATGGAGGAATGGGTTATATCCAAGGGTAAAAGGAGGGACCCTTAATAAGGACCCCTAGGCATATACCCTTAATATAGCTATGATATACCCATTATACAGCCCCATTATAGGGTAGGGGTCCCCATTAAGGGTCCCTCCTCTTCCCCTTTGATTATAGGGACTGCTATAAGGGACCCTAAGGGACTGTGACAGGGATTCCATTCCCCCATTCCCTACTAAGAACCAGACAGTAGAAGCCCTCAACCCCTCTTGGAGGATCAGGGGACCTAGTGGATCAGGGGACCTAGTAAGTAAGGTTATAAGTACCCTAATTGGGTTTATAAGTCCAAGTACACTAATCATAAACCTAGTTACTAAGTCCCGTGCTCCTTAAACCCTACACCCCTCATAGATCCCTTATAGATCCTTTCAACGAGCCTCAACAATAACCCTAGTTACCAAGTCCCATGATCCTTTAACCTGTCACTTAGGGCCCCAAAAAAGCACATAAGCAAAAATTAGGGTAGGGATATCCCATATAAATCCCCTTCTAATGAAGCCCAATAAGGTAGCGATATCCCCATAAAATGCTTATGCTTACAGTAGAAGCCAGAAAGCTGGAACATGGCTTTAGGAGGATTAGTGCTAGGATCCCTTATACTTTACCTTAAGGGCATGAGGAGTCTGATGTTCCAACTTTCTGGCTTCTACTATATGTGCTTTTTGGGTCCCTAGTCACTGCTCGCTTCGGGCTCGGATAAGAGGCTTCGACTCAGCGGTTAGGAGCTCGTTTTTCCTTTCCCTACTTGGAGCAGGGTTCCGGGCTTGGGGTTGAGGGTTTAGTTTAGGGTTCAGGGTTTAGGGTTTAGGGTTTATAGGGTTTAGGGTTTACGGTTATAAGTGGGGTTATACGTAGGATAGCTATATAGTTATAACCCATATTGGGGGACTTGCAACCCAACTCATGAATCTGCAAGTAAAACTCCAAGTATGCAACAGGCTTTGGGCTATTTGGAGTTAGGTGTTTTGGGCTTAGGGTTCATTGTCCGGTTTGGGTGAGGTTTCTGAAGCAAAAAGCTCGGGTATATTCTTGTTTGCTCGCAGGGAGTATGTTCCGGCATTTCGAACAAAAACCCAGAAACCCTAAGCCCTAAACCCCACCCTCAAGCCCTGAATTCTGAATTCTGCGCGCTAAGCCTTTCGCTTTAAAGTGTTTCCTCAGCTTCTTGCACTGACTGGGTATTGGCAGGCGGTGGTCTAATGCAGGGTACATGATATACAACCCCCTAAAAAGAGAGGCCCCATTGTGTGCCATGGTTGTTCCACGTCAAGATCGCTTGTCCCGGTTGGGGTCCTAGTTTCAGGAGCATGCTACATCTCGGGACTTGATACGGCTGATGATACAAATCCTGCATTACCTAAGGACCCTAGACTATGGGAATTATGGTATATCCCTTATGCGTAATGCAGGATTTATATCATCAACCTTAGGGGCCCAAGTTTCAGCAATCATAACAATCAGAAGACATGTGCGCGACATTCCGCAGCTCTCCACAAGATCTTATGAGATGTATACAACAACCCCACCCCCCCCCAAATGACACCCAGCCAGAATCCCTGAACCCATGATGTAGGAACCTGATTAAGAAACCTTGGGCCTTGTTCGGGTTCCTTGTATGAATCCTACTATTTTTGGGGTTATAGGCCCCGGGATTCTTAATCAGGTTCCTACAGTTCCATTACCTCACCCTAAACCCTAAACTCAAGGGTCCTTGTTTAACGGCAGCAGCAAGTCCATAAAGACCACGTGCTCACGATCCGAGAAGCGCTGAAGGAAGCCTCGGCAGTGAAGGAAGCAACAAAAAAAGGAAGCAGGGTTTAGGGGTTTAGGGGATTAGGGTTTAGGGGTTTAGGGGTTTAGGGTTTAGGGCTTTAGGGTTTAGGGTTTAGGGTTAAGGGTTTAGGGGTTTTAGGGTTTAGGGTTTAGGGGTTTAGGGCCTTGCTTCTTGAAGAATCAGAAGAGAGAGTTTAGGGTTTACCTTGACCCTGAGGAACCTACCTTGAGGACTTGGATAAGGAAATCATATTAGGGAACCCTAAAAAGGAAGGTTCTTCAGGGTCCAGGTAGGGTTTAGGGGTTTAGCTTGGTTTCTATGACGTGTTCTGGGGTTTTGCAGGACCGTCCAAGGCTATGTGACTTTGAGGGTGTGCTATCCAGGATTCCGAGGTTTCACAACCCTTGGTTGAAGATTACAGGGGGTTGGGGTGTGTCGTTTCGCAGATTATCTTCAGCCTGTTGAGAGCTTCCGAAGTCGTCAATAAACCATGGGTTCATGATCTTTGACGTGTTGGTGAACTAACAGACATCCAGCGTTAAGCTGAAACCCGAAGAACTTCTTCGGAAAACTTGTGACCTAGTCTTCACTCAAGCACAACTAATACGCTGCACGAAACATAAACCACTGCACGCATTTCGAAGACCATTGGCAAACATCGCTTGCAGGAAGGCATAGCTGTTGAAACGGGTTTGGACGGGCATTTCGGGATTCTGGCTGTAATTTCGACTGCTGAGAATTGCTGATGTGTGCGCTCGGGTTTCTGGTTTAACGTTACAGCTGGTTTGCCTTTAGAATCATCCCCTCTATGTTTTAGATTCGGGAAAGGTAGACATGAACGTTCAGAAGCTTAGTGTCCACCTGCCCTATGGCTCAAACCATTTCAATCCAAGTTATTATTCCCCTTGTAAGGGTTATAGAATAGTTACCCTACTTATAACCCCACGTATAATATAACTGAAAGAGATGCAATGCAAGCCAGGGTGTGGCTGTTCGGATTGGAAGACAGTACTTGGAGGATCGTGGGACTTAGTAAATAAAGTTATAAGTACCCTAATTGGGGTTATAAGTATGGTTACCCTGATAATATCCCTAGTCACTAAGTCCCCTGATCCTTCAAGTACCGTCCCTTAAACCCTAAACCCCCCATAGATCCCTTATAGATCCCTTTAAGGAACCCTTTAAGGAGCCCTCTATAAGTTACTATGTCCCATGATCCTTTAAGTAGAGCCAGCTTAGTTGGATCAGTATCTCGACCTAGATTACTGACCCAGCGGGTCCACATATACTACTATTGTGGAATTAGGCCCTAAAAGACCATCCCCATTATGGTTTTGGGGACCTAATTCCATAATAGTAGTGTATATGGACCCTCTGGGTGACTTGCCTACCCGTACACCCTGTCGTTCTCAACTTCAAAACGGGAATGCTGAAAGTAAGGACCCTGAGCCCTACAGCCGAAACCATTACACAATGGTAAACCCTATTGAAACACTAAACCCCTAAGCACCAAACCCTAAACCCTTGCCCTAAACCCTAAACCCTAGACCCCTAAACCCTTGAACCCTGAACCGCTAAACCTAAACCCTAAACCCTTGAACCCTAAACCTAAACCCCTTGAACCCTAGACCCTAAATTCTGAAACTTGAAAACCCCAAAAGTCCGGCTCGCTCCTACGTGCTGCTTTCGAGATGCCGCGGGTGCAGACTGCGTGGGCCGGACACTGACCTCGCGGCTTCTACCTAGACCTACTAAACCCTATTTTTTGGAGGTTCTTATGATAAACCCTAATATGGGATTTATAGGGACCCTCCAAAAAAGTAGGTTCTGGTAGGTTGAGGTAGGGCTTAGGGATGTTGGGCTTTTTGGGGTTGGGGGGTTTAGAGATTTGGGTTTTTGGTTTTGGGGTTATGGTTAAGGGTTTAGAGGTTTAGGGTTGTTGGGGTCGCAGCGGGGTTTTGGGACTCCGGTTTTGGTTCCCGAAGATGCCTAACATAGGGGCCTTAGTCGAACGGGGTTCCTTTACAGGGTTCCCTAAAGGCTTTACAAGGGATCTTCAAGGGCACTGTAATGGCGAGGCCTGAAACATTAATAGGGTTTTGGGGCCCATAATACTATAAGTATTATAAGGAACCCTAAAATAGTCTAGGACTATTGGGTGGTTGTCAAAGTTATGGTCCCTTTTGGGGTACCCTAAATATTAATTGCCATATTAAAATAAGGACCCAATAAGAGATCCTAATTTTGACAACCCATTTAAATGCGAAATATTTAGGCCCCTAGAAAATACCCCTTGTAGTAATCCTTATAGACCCCTTTGCAAAAGAGCCCCTATAGACCCCTGTAAAGGAACGCTAAACCCTATAGTAACATCCTGAATCCTTAACTGCAGCCTGACATTCCAAACCTGCAGCTCCAGGCCGGATTCCCGGCAGACCGACCCCAGAAGCACCCGATAGCCGTTTAGGGGTTTAGGGGTTTGCGGGGTTTGGGGTTTAGGGGTCTAGGGGTTTAGGGGTTTAGGGTTTAGGGGTTTAGGAGTTTAGGGTTTCGGGGTTTAGGGGTTTACGGGTTTCAGGGGTTTAGGGGTTTTGGGGTTTAGGGTTTTAGGGGTTTGGGGGTTTAGGGGTTTAAGGGTTTAGGGGTTTTAGGGGTTTAGGGTTAATTAGGGATCCCGGGCACTGCACTCTGAATCGTGAGATTTATGATGTACAGGAGGTCTGTAAGGATCTTCGCTAGGGCTTTAGTCATATGAACCTTGACTTCTTCCGAGGTAGGGTGAGTCTTGGTCAAATCAGCCACATTGTGTGCCTTGCGAAAAAATGATGTGCTAGGTCATCCCGCCCCCTTTCTTGTCTCTATTCACAGAAAGGAAAGCTTGCAAGAAGACTGCTTCATTCACTTGTCTGGCTTCCAGCAAACTGATGTAGCTGCCATGTGAAAGTGCACGAAGGTGGTGATTGTGCCAGCCACGCCACAGCAGGTCTACGAGCTTCACTTGCTCCATGTTCTGTCCAGCAAGGCCATGTTTCGAACTCCAGGACGTTGGGGCAATCTTTCGCAGTAAAGCTTTTCCGTAGGCTTCACGAGTGTCCACGTGACGCTAGTTCTGCACGAAGTGCTCACGGAGGCCGCTTGATAGAATGGTAAGAAAGGAAAAACCCTTACAATTAATGGAGATTGGGTTGGCAGAGGCGGGTACGGTAAATGTCGCAGCCGCCAAAAACCCACTATCAGGGACTATAGCAAATTAGAACAGGGGTGCGGGCACTTTGTTGTCATGTTACATAGTGGCAGTTGGTAATTGTTCTATACCCAAAACCACATCCTAACCCAAAATCCTAAGACCCAAACCCCAATACCCTAAATCCTACAGCCTAAACCCAATGTGCGGAACAAGCTGCCCTCTTCATCGAGTTGCGACGTCGCGCTGCTGTCCTGCGACTTTGTGCTACGTTTAAAAGGGCTGTGCCTTCCAGCTTGGGCTTAGGGTATAGGTTACAAAAGGTTTAGGGTGGAGGGTATAATTACCTGCTTCCTAGAAAACCCTCCTTTGTGGGGCTCCTAACCCTAAACCCTAAACCCTAAACCCCTGATTAAAATCGTGTTTGGTACGTCCTTAGAAAAGTTAAAGTCGGGTTTAGGGTGGGCTGTGAGCCCAGGGCTTGAGGGTCTCGGTGGTTGGTTTTGGGTTTTTGCGGGTTTAAGGCTTTACCTGGACCCCAAAGAACCTACCTTCTTAGGGTTCAATATTATGAAGTCTTTGTGTAGGTCCTCAGAAACGTGGGTTATTTGGGGTTTAAGGTAGGAGTTGAATCCAGCCGTGTGGAGCTTCAGAAGCTCCAGTCCGGCATGCAGTGCTACTCCTAGAGTAAAAACGAATGACACCTAACAAATGTCTCGCTTTTAAACCATTAAACCAAAGCGCAAGCTAAGCTAAGACTGATGCCTGCATGCTTGTAGGATCATGGGACTTAATAAATAAGGATATAAGTACACTAACTGGGGTTATAAGTATGGTTACCCCAATAATAACCCAGTTGCCAGGCCCCATGATCCTTTAAGTAGTTATTCCTGCGACAACAGGTTCAGGAAGATCCAGTACTCTTCTCAGCGTGAAACTTTTGACCCCAACGACCGTCATGCCAGCCCTACAAACCTCTACTGAAAGGATCATGGGACTTAGTATCTAGGGTTCATTATCAGGGTAACTATACGTAAAACCCCAATTAGTGTGCTTATAACCTTACTTACTAAGTCCCATGATCCTCCAAGTAGATATGGGTGGTTGCCAAAACATTATGGCCCCCTTTTGGGTACCCCAAATATTAGATGCCGTATTATCATAAGGACCCAAAGAGGGACCCTAATTTTGACAACCACCCACATGATTTATAACTTGGGGTTTAGCTAGAGTCTCCATTGTAGTCGGTAGTTCCTTTTTTTTGGTTAACCAGTTTCATGGTTAGGATCCTATAATACAGATTTTGGTTAACCCAAAAAGGAACTACAATGGAGACTCTGGTAAAGGCTGCAAGGGTAAACTCTAAAGCAAGCCCTGGCAAAGCTAGTTCGGGGCAAGGTCTTCTCGGGAGAAACAGGCCGTAATACGGGGGTCTTAATAGTTAGAGTAGAGTTCTTGTAAAGGGGTCCTTAAGGGCTACAACAAGGGATCTATAGTAGGGTTCCATGATATAGGGGTCTTAATTAGAATAGGGGTTTGGGGCCCACTAGACTATAAGTATACTTAGGAACCCGGAAATGGTATTAGTAAAAGAATTTAGGCCCCTGTAGTAGACGTTTTAGATGAATAGGGCCAACAGGATCATGGCAGAAGTGAAACGCTGGAACCCACAACATGCTTGCAGGGTCGGGGATTAGATTTGCTCTGCTGGGTTCTTGTTACGGGACTTAATTCACGCTAAAGAAACCAGTGTACTTACTGTAAAAAGCCTTTATGGTAACTCAGATTAGGTTCCTTAACAAGAACTCAGTCTTTTCGTCTGGCAACCTTGCTTGCGCGGTCCTGGCGGACTAGCCAGCGAGACAAGTCCGTGTGAGCCTCAGTAAAAGCTCGGGTTCGGCTTTTTGGTTTAGGGTTAGTCGACGGGTTTTGTAAATCGAGCATTGAGGGACCCTAACATAGATCCTGAAACGTGGGATCCTCATAGGTGGTAGAAATGATAATAAAAAAGATAAACACTTGTAATACGAAGAAGAATCCGAATAACGATAACAACAGATCACAAACAATAATAACATAAAACAGCAAAAGAAACATAGTCATACAGTACTCATAGCTGTAACCTAATAATGCCCTCAACCCCAAGCTCAGCACCCTGAACCCTGTCACTCTGCATGCCAAAGCCATCGCTCCCCATAAATCCTACATTGCCTAGACCTAAGAGTAACCTAGGAATAAAAAGGGTGCCCTTTTTGGTTTAAAGGGGTTTATAAGGGAACCTGAACCCTAAAAAAAGGGAATAAGGGCCTACTCTGGGTCCTAGTTGCTAAAGCCCCAAAACAAAATAGCGGAGATCGACAACACTAGCCGTAGAGACTCTGTTTTCTGCCTCCCGTGTCCCGTGATGCTTGAACCTTTCAGAATCTGCTGTGTACAGCGATGAAGCTCGCACATGGGCCCTTAGGGGAAAGCATGGTGTTGGTGTGCATGGTGAAACTTGGGGGAGCTTTGGGGGTTCCAAGGTCTTAGGCTGCGGATTCAGGCAGCTAGGTGTTCCCTGAAGCCGCTAACCTGACATTCAACCCTAACCCCTAAACCCTGAACCCCAAAACCGCCAAAACTCAACAATCCTCCAAACTCCTCATGCCCTAAATGGATCCGGCAGGCGTTTGCACAAGCATAGTGCAGCGGCCACCGTTTGTGGACATCTGCGGAAGCCATAGATACTCCACGGCGTTTGAGCTCCTCTCCGGCAAGAGCAAACCCTCAATCCCCAACCCTAACCCATCGAAGCCCTCAAAACCGAAATGCTACATGCCTATATCCGAAACCCTCAAACCCTACATGCTTAAATCCGGGAGTCCTCAACGCCTAAATCCTAAACCCTGGTGGTTCAGTAGCTGTAGGGGTTGCATCTTCAAGATGTAGCCCTAGAGGTCCATGTACCGAAGTAGTATAAACCTTGCCCCCAACGTGCCTACATAGGGGCTACTTCAAGGCCAAAGTATATATGTATATGAGTTCATGGAACATCTACTTTCACCGCGATCTTGGACATGTAGACTACTTTTTGCTTAAGAACCCCACAAAAAATAAAAAATAGTAATCCCTATATTACCCCCATAAGGAATATATTTTTTATTTTTTGGGGGTTCTTAAGAAAATAGTAGTAGATCTCCACATCGGACACCAGGTCCATGTTGGGACATGTCTTGCTGAACGTGAAGTCACCCTGACCGGTGAGCGATACCGGCTTGCTCTTGACCATCTTCTGTGGAGCCAGCATTTGCAGCATTGCAGTGACCTCGATTCCATAAATCTCACCATTTTCCGCGCGTTTTTGCCTTTCTATACTGGCAGGATTTCGGATCAGCGCCCTCGGAAGTGCGAAACCCAAGTTTGCGCTTCTCACCTTTGAAGAGAAAGGCAACAGCCACGTTGATGCTGACTTGGCAGCCACAGGGTAGGGAAACGAAGTAGTTAGATTAGGTCTTGAAAGATCACACGGTGTATTGGAGTGTTTCTGTTGGAAAAAACTATCGGGACTCGTTTTAGAGCCCAAAGACTTAAAGGAGGTGTCCTGAGGGTCCTGGGCCAGAAGACTACAGCGCAAAGCCCGAAGCTTCGAAATCTGACACTGTAGCATCCGCTTCTGGGCAGGTTTCTGGGTTCAGGGTTTAGGATTTACAGTAGAAGCAAGAAAGTTGGAATATCATTATCGTAACCCCTTTAAGGTAAATTATATGGGATCCTACCATTAATCCATATTCCATCTTTCTGGAGTTCCCTTTACAGGGCCAGCAACCTTCAACCTCGGAAGCCTACTCTCCTTTCATGAAAGTCATAGGGATCCTTAGGGGTGTAGGGGGGAGGGGTGTAGGGGACTATATTTCCTTAAATAGGCCTTATTAGTCCTTATTATGGGCCTTAAGGCCCCCTACCCCCCCTCCCCCTACACCCCTAAGGATCCCTATGAGAAAGGGGGAATGCGCTTGCACATAGGCCCTATGAATTCATAACATCCTGAAACCACGCGAAAGCACTAAACTAAACACATACAACCTCATCGAAGCCCAGTAACACCCCATGAGAACCAGAGAAACAAGCCCCCCCAAAAAAAAACAACCCGTAGAACACAGCAGCCGTAAATATACCCCGAAACCGCAAACCTCCCCCGACCCTAAACCCTAAACCCCTAAAGCCTAAACCCCCTAAAACCCTAAAACCCTAAACCCCTAAACCTTAAAACCCTAAACCCCTAAACCCTAAAACCCTGAACCCCTAAACCCTAAACCCCCTCAACCCCCCTAAAACCAGGAGTGGCCTCGGCAATCTCCGTCGCCTCCGGCCCCAGCTGTCTCGGGAAGCCGGCCTCAGCTCACTGTTTTCTCTTTGCCAAGAGACTCCTAGGGTTCCTATATCGGGATCTATAAGGGTTCCGTGAAGGGCTCCTAGAAGGGATCTATAGGGTTTAGGGTTTAGGGATCTATAAGGGTTCCTGTAAAGGGATCTATAAGGGTTCCTTTAAAGGGATCTATGAGGGTCTCTTGGGTTCCTTAAAAACTGTAGGGTTTAGGGGACTTCAATATCCCGAAAAAAAGGAAAACCGTGAAATTATGATTTAAGGTGTATTCCCCCATTAAGGGGTATTGGAGTCTCTGGGTTGTTTGGGTTGACCCTGAGGGTCCGTGACGCCAACGTACATATGCACATGTGTATATATATATATACACATTTATATGGGGTCTACTTTAAGAAAAGAGTGAACACAAGGACATTAACTCTTCAGGTTCGGGTTTAATGGTGTTATGAGGGTTCAGGGTTTGGGTTTCGAGATTCGGGGTGCAGATAGTTCCGTATGGTTCGAGGGTCGCGTAAACTACACATGCGGCAGGATATTTTGCGCATCAGCCTTTCAAGAGATCGACACACACTTACGGTGTAGGGATGGTGTAGGCTGTCGGCTTTAGAGGCGCCGACGGAAGCTCTACACGTAACAACGTAAGCGTTGAGGACACTCTGAACCCTAAGCCCTACAGCGGGCTGCGACTTGAATCGGATTATGGGTCTTTTCACTGTGTAATTTCCCTGGGACTAGCGGAGGAGATTACATCATCAGTTAACCATTCAGACCTCCCTGAACCCTATAAACCCTCCACTCCAAAACACCTAAGCCCGTAAAGACGTCTACATCGATGAGACCCAGGCCTCGAGGCAACCTGGATCATTAACCTCAAAGGGGAAAAGGAGGGACCCTTAATGGGGACCCTTACCCTATAATGGGCTATAGAATGGGTATATAACAGCTATATTAAGGGTATATACCTAGGGGTCCTTTTCAAGGGTCCCTCCTTTTTATTCTTTGATAACCAGACAAGAGACCAAAGCGTGGTGTAGGCTGCGTCGGTTCTTGTCCTCGCGACACACATGGTTTGCGACGTTTGGCTATAAGGTGGGCAGGTTAGGGATGCAGGGCGAAGATGGTGGTGCATGGGGCTGGGAGTTAGGCCAGTTAGGCGTGAGTGTGGTTAGGTATGCACAAAATATATATTTATGTGTGGTTTCCATATCTATAATTTGCCGGTGTCATACCATCTGAACCCCAAGCGCTCTCCCTCTTTCTGTCTCTGTATCTATAACCATGTCTGTCTTAGTACATATATATATACACATAGAAAAATGTCTATATACATACATACATATATATATATATATTATCACATATATATATATATATATGTATGCCTTTCTATATCTATATCTATATCTGTATCTCTCTCCATATATATATATATATAGAGCATACTTTCGTGTAGAGTTTAGTTCGGGGCATGGGTGCGCATGCCACGCACGGTCCAGGCGCTGCACAACCGCGTTCTCGGACGGGTTGATCTTCGAAAGCAGCGTGAGCACCTCAAAAAGGCGAGCGGGAGCATTGAGTTTCATGTTCGAAGAAGCTCGAAAGTTTAACCGTCTCCCATGGGGTTGTGTTTCGAATCTCGGGCGTCGGCTGCACGGCTGATTTACGGTGTTGCAATGTTGTTCTGTGCTGAGGGTTTAGGGTTAGGTTTAGACTGCAGGCTCTCTCATTCGCACAGGGATAAAAGCTTGTTTTCGGGCATGTGGTCTCAGTGAGGGTTTGGTGTTTAAAGTGTCGGGTTGCATCTTTCCTGAATCTGACACCCCGAGCACACACACAGACACACACACACACACACAGGCACAGACAGACACACGCACACACACACACACACAGAGACACACTCACACACAAAGAGACACAGACACAGACACACACACACAGACAGACAGACACACACACACACAGAGACACAGACACACAAAGACACACACACTCACACACAGACACACACACACACACACACACAAGCACAGACACAAGTTTGAACCTTTGTCGGGTACGTTTTCAGGATTTTGCATTTGGTTTACAAACTTTTTGGAGCTTGAAGCTTCGGGGTCGTGAAGTGCATGAGGTCATGGATGCCATGCAATTAGTAAACTAACCCTAAGGGTCCATGTACGCATATAGTATATACATTGGCCTTAATGTAGTCCCTATATAAGTACTTGGAGGCCCATGTATCCCTATATGGGTAATCCCTTAAGTTCGATCCTGCATAGTTTGCGCAGATCAGAACCCCTACAGTAAACCCGATAAAGTTGGAAACCGGTTTAAGGCCAAATAGTGCTGGGTTTCCCTATACATGACTCTGAAGGATCGAGGCTATGGGGTTTCCAACTTTTGGGCTTCTACTGCCCTAAGGGTCCATGTACTCATATAGTATATACATCGGCCTTAATGTAGTCCATATATAAGTACTTTGGGGCCATGTATCCCTATATTACCCTATATGGGTACATGGACCCTCAGGGCTGTAATCTGTACTAATTGTGAGCTTAGGAACATCTCCCAAAAGAAGTTATCAGAACCCGAAACCCTAAATCCTAAACCCGAAATCCTAAACCCTATACTTTTGGGCTTCTAATGTATAAGTACCATAACCCCAACTAGGGTCCCTTTTAGGGCACTTATAAGTCTACTTACTACCTACTTACTAAGTCCCCCGACCCTCCAAGTAATCTCAGCTTCGATGCCAGGCGGAATTCGCCCAACTCCAGGGAGTCCTGGATCGCGCCATGGAAGGGATAACCTCGGAGTCACCGGTGTAGGATTCTACTTGTAACAATACGGTTTAGGGTTTAGGGTTTAGGGTCTAGGGTCTAGGGCAGTAATAGATGGTGTAGGATTGTAATTGTAACAGTAATACTGCTGATGGACAAAATCCTGCATGACCATGAGGACTCTAAACTATTGGAACTATGGTATATTCCTTATAATGGGTAGTGCAGGAGTTTGTCCATCAGCAGTAGTAATAGTAATGATCATAGTACTGGTAGTAGTAACAGTAATAGTAGGAATCATGATGACAACAGAGTTTTTTCTTCTGATACTACACATGATTGGAGCCTTTAGGGGTGCAGGGCGTCAGCATCTGCGGCTGGGAAGAGGAGATGTATGCGGGGGCTGCCCCAGAAAAGCCCAACTTAGAGGAGTGGAACCTCAAGCGCGCGGATGCGGCTCTCTTCTCAAACCGTACTTAGAGGATCATGGGACTTAGTAAGTAGGTTATAACTGGGGTTATAAGTCCCCTAAGTGGAGTTATCCTAATTATAGCCTACTTATAGCCTTACTTACTAAGTCCCATGAGCCTTCAAGTAGAAGTAACCCCGACAACTCCAGGATCCCAAAGCCCTGAACCTTCTCCTAGGATACCCAGTAACCTAAGAATAAAAAGGCCTCTCTTTTTGGTATTGGGTAACTTTATAAGGAACCTCGGACTACAAAAAGGGAATAAGGGTAGTACTGGGCATCCTAGTCTCTGCATCTGCTCAAGTAGCCGACTGGACATCAAGTATCCCAAATAGGAGTTTCCGAAGCTTAGGGGTGCCTTGTTTTGGGGTCCCTATAATAATGATCCTTCTATCTAGGGTACTATATTAGGGTGCCCTATTTTCGGAAACCCCCAAGTCCGACGAATGACTGGAAGACTTCGCCAGCCGGGCTTGAAAGGGGGCTTGTGACCTGGGTGTAATAAGTCTAATACATGTATGGCTGGCTGGAGACCCGGCTTCCTATGTGAATGTATCGAAAGCTTCGTTTCTCTTCGCTGGAACAATTTCACTCCCCCTAAACCCTAAACCTCACATTCAGGAGAGCAGCCATGGTCGAGCAGCAAGTAGGACAGGCCCAGCTGCTTGTGAGAGGTTGCCTGCCAACAACCCCCACCCGCTCTCCCACAACCGCCACCAAGCCCGTGCATCCGCCCTGCTTCCGAGACCCCTGTCCCGAAACACAATGCTCTACGTTCTAAACCCTAGTCCAAAACTCCACAACTGAAGCTCTAATATCGGGGCCTGAATGATTAGACTAGGGTTTGACGGTATATTCGACTATAGCCGTCATTAAGGGCCCTAAGCAATTTTTGGTCTATGTCGAGGGGCGTAGTCCGAGCAGGAAGTGTTTTGTAGGAAGCTTAGGGTTTAGGAACGAGCAGCAGGTCAAAACAATAGTTACCCTAAGGTTCCGAAGGACCCAACAATTAGGTGTTCGGCTTTAGGATGGTCGTTATGTAGGTTCGTATTTTGGAGAGTATCTGATACTTAGACCCTTTCGGGTTACTGAAGCCGGCAACGACTATCTCGATTTATTTTGCCTTCCACATGGGTAGTTGTCAAAATTAAGGTCCCTTTCTGGGTACCCTAAATATTAGGTGCCGTACTATAATAAGGATCCTAAAAAGGACCCTAATTTTGGCAACCACCCACATGAACTGCGAAGGGTCGAGTGTGTTGAGCGTCCAACGTGCTTTAGGTTGAGGTCTGAGGGTTCAAAGGTTCAGGGTTTTGGGTTTAAGGCTCGCCAGCGAGGTGATGAAGGGGGTGGTGGTGCTGATGGTGGTAGTGATGGTGGTGAGAGTGGTGAGGCGTTGATGGTGCTGATGGTGGCGATGGCCGTCATGGAGGAGTGCTGAGAGTCGTGAGCATTGTGAGGCGTTGATGATGGTGATGGTGGAGCTGGGTCAGTTGCAAACTGGAAAGGCTTCTACCCAGTTACAGTCACCCAGAGAGCCCACTGCCCCGTAAATGATGGGCAGGCCCAAAAGAGCAAAACCAAGTTTGGAGGAGCCTTATCAAGCTCAACATGGTCAACAATGTGAGGGGTTTCGAAGGAGAGGTCGGAAGAGGCCAAAACTGCAAGGGCTTGGAAAGGCTTAAAAGGCCTACAAAAGGCTCAAAGGGCCAACACGAACCCAAGGGCTGGAATCGGATTCCTAAACTCCTATAAACCATACATCCCTCAGCCTGGGACCCTAAACCCTAAACTCCCGAACCCTACCTCCTAAACGCACAAAACGAGGTAGAATAATGGCCCTACACCTAAAGAAGACTATTATTCTACATACTTTGGGGGTGCAGGTAAACACGAAACCTAAACTCCTAAAGCCCGGATGCCTGGCCTCACGGAAGAGCGACAAAGGAGGCCCTGGTACAATCTTGGTCTTGCCTTCCACAGTTTCCCGCTTCAGGTGGCCTGGGCATTAATTAATGGGGTTCAGGAATTGCAAGTTTCTAGGATTTAGGTACATTTGTAGGGGTTTAGGGCTTATAGGGGCTTATGTTTTCAGGCTTAAGCAGCCTCATCTCTGATTTCCAGTGCTGCTTACTGTGTTTCCTGGAAGGTGGTGCTTCCATGCTTCATTGGCATCTACGGCAACCTACCCGTGTCTTTCGTTTGCCTCGTGTCTTCCCTGTTCATGATTTGAAAAGTCTTGCTGCTTGCTCATCTTCCACTCATAGTCACCTGTTGAAGCTCACACTCGAGCCCATTCACAGAAGCATCATTTCTTTCGGGCTTGTCTCGGGATTTCGGTGAAGCCCCCAAAAATCGAAACTGCAGCCTTTTTGTTGATTGCTAGGGCCCTGAACACTAAACCCTGACTGAGGGTGCCGAAGCAAAGAAGCGTGGCAAAGCTCCTGCTTGGAGGTTCACAGGGGTTTCCGAACATAGGGGGTACCTTGTTCTGGGGTCCTTTTACTTAGTATTATAGGGTCCCCTATTGTCGAAAACTCCCATAAAGCTATGGCAAGAAGTAGTTGGGTTCCCAACTGCGGCGTTTGCAGCCCTACTACCCGCTCATCCTAAATCCTGTGAGACCCCTGAACCATAAACATAATCAACCCCGAGCCATCGAACTCCGATCCCTTAAACCCTGCACGGTAGACCCTCATCATTGTAAGCCCACCAAAGGCGCAAATCCGAAAGCCAGAACCCCTCAGACCCTCCCCAAACCCTACAAAATAGTAGGTTATGACCGCTTAATCAGAGGGTCTAACCCCTAAAACAGCTGGTTTTTGGATCCCCAGGTAAGCCCTACTTGTAACTACCCTTAACCCTAAACCTTAAACCCTAAACCGTGCAGAGCCCTTAAAGGAACCCTACCTATACCTACTCATGAACCCCAAAGCCCTACTTGGAGGGTTGGGGGACTTAGTAAGTAGGTAGTAAGTAGACCTATAAGTACCCTAAAGGGGACCCTAATTGGGGTTATGCATGGTACTTATAAGTCCCCAAAATAACCAGTTACTAAGTCCCCCGACCCTCCAAGTACAAGTGCTGTCCAGGCACACATGGGAGCCTCAACATCGCCTGCACCCTGGCTGAGCAACGTGATGGCGTACCTTAAAACAAGGAAGAGCCTAGGTGTTTATAGGGTTTAGGATTTATAGGGTTTAGGGGTTTATGGGGTTTAGGGTGTGGCGGTTTAGGGTTTAGGATTTAGGGTTTGGTTTAGGGGTTTAGAAAAGGAACGGCCGTCAGGGATTCTTTCATGAGTTCTGGCATTTTTGACGTTGTTCTTGGTGACGCCTGTGGTTTCCGGGTTTAGTGATTTCTCCGCGCCCATTTTGGTTTAGGAGTTTACACGTAGGGAGTGGAAAATCGAATTTCGGGTTGAAGGGTCCCGATCTGGGCGGCCTGACGTTGCCGTCGGCCAGCCACAGCTGGGCCTCAAATCCACTAGAATAACTGGCCTCCCCGGACCCCCTTGGCCTAAAACCTTCGGCCGGGCTGCTGGTGGTGGCCGCCGGCCAAAGCAACGCCCAGCGTGTCGTTGCCGGACTTGTCCCGAGCCTGGCCGCGACTCCCCTTTAAAGGCCCTTGTTTAGGGTTCCTTTAAGGGCTCCTTTTAAGGGTTCCTTTTAAGGGTTCCCTTTGAGGGGGCTTTTGGGCTGTAAGGGTTCCTTCAAGGCTTAGTTATAAAGTTGAAGATGTATGATTTAGGAATGGGCACTTGGTGGGTTTAGGGTTTCGGATTACAATTCAGGGTGTACTGTGAGGTCCATGCACAACCTCGCTGTTCATTCTGCTACGACCCTGGGTTCGGGTGCCTGCCTCGGTTCCGCTTGGGGCTGTGTAACGGTTCAACAAGGATTCTATCTAACGGTTGATGATATACATCCTGCATTACCTTAAGGACCCTAAACTATGAGAAGTATGGTATATTCCTTACTATGGGTCATGCAGGATTTATACCGAAGTTCGGTGATGTCGGTCTTTGGACTGGGTGTTATAGGGGCCCGCAGGGTTGTAAGGGCAGGTTTGATTTCGGTATGTTATTGGTGTGTGTCATGAGCTCCAGCTCCAAATTGGAGCCCGCTACAGCTCCCTACCCCTGGTGCTACTGCTGCTGCTGCTACTACCGCTGGTAGTGCTGCTCCCTTTAATTGATATGAAGCCCTAGGACTTTGTACCTCAGCGCCCGGCCTGGAGCGATGCACCTCGCTTTGAGAGGTACAGGGACGAGATGGTCGCACCCCGCCTGACGACGTTACGGGCGATGTTTTGAAATCGAAAGCCCGGTGGTCCACTAACGGTCACTAACGGGCCCTGCTCCGATGTGCGCTAATGTACGGCCCGTATTACCTCCACTGTTCTACCCAGAGACTCCAAAGTAGTTCCTTTTTGGGGTTACCTTATAGGATTCTTAGTATTATGAACCTTAAAAAGGAACGTCCCTTTCTGACAAGGCTCCTTGCCGCGCAGAGGAGCGGCGTGGCACCGAACTCATCGGGCACGTCGACACGGACCTTGCGGGATCACCGATAAACTTGATCGTGGATTTAGGCTTTGGGTTTGGCACTAAAAACTACCCTATACACCCTGCACTTCGAAGCCCTATGCAATGGCTCCTCAACCTAACACCTTCACTTATCCTACCTCGCAAGCAGCCTAACAGCTGAATTCGGGCAATTACTGAACACGAGGGCGCAAACAAGAGCAGAAATGTCACATGCCATGATGTCTGTCGTGCTCACACCTTGTTTTGTTGGTACTGCAGTTGCTGTCGTATCAGATTTCGACCCCTTCTGACTATGACAGCTGTTGCCGTTTAGTACTAGCGGCTCTTGCTACTACGCCCTGAATCCCGCGTCCTAAAGCTTAGAACACGTCAGACTTTCGCAAGCCCATGTCAATCTTCTAGGCTCCCAAACCACATTTGGGATTCAGGGTCTACCCTAAACCCTAAACCCTAAACCCTAACCCGAAACCCTAACCCTAAAGCCTAAACCCTAAAGCCCTCAACCTCCCGAAGCAAAATCCCACACTCTCAGACTCTCAGGCATGGTTCCCTGCGAAAACGCATTTTGCAGGCTTGGAGCCTTCAAAGCCCTACCTTAACCCACCAGAACCTACCTTTTCGTAGGGTCCCTATACATTCCATATTAGGGCTTATAATGAAGAACCTACAAAAATGTAGGGTTTGGTAGGTTGAGGTAGATTCCCTAGATTTTAGGGCCTCTTCCTCCCCCATTTCCCACCCAAATTACCCATACGCTCCATAGTAGTTCCTTCTTGGGATTACCTTATACGATTCTAAATATGAACCCCAAACAGGAACTAAATACGAGGCACCATAAGGGCTCTATTACGGGCCACCCGAAATTCCTAAACGATTAAAGGTTACCTGCCCAGACCCTTATAGAAGCGTTTCTCTTACGTCTTGTCCAAGGAACACCCTCCACGGCACACAGGCTGGTCACCTCACAGCTCAACCAGAGGGCTTGCGACTGATGGCTTAAACTTAGGGTTTAGGTTGTGGGCTAAATTAGGTTTAAGGTCCATGCGTTTAGGGCTCAGGAGACCGTAGAACCCTGAAAAAGCATTCATTTCCTTGAACGGCCTTGAAAGGCTTTGATAGTCAGCTCCCTATGCACATCCTCGTCGAGGGCATTTAAAATTCAGGGTCAGGGCGTTATGCTACGTGGTTTGATCACATGCGAGACTGAGGACTGTGTCGACCCCCCCCACTACTATTCTGTAGCAAACGGGCTCTATTGACCTACCCCTAAAAACCCTCAACCCTAAAACCTTAAAACCCCTAACTAAAACCCCTAAAATTTTAGAAACCCTAAAACCCTGAAGCCCTAAACCCTAAGTGCTCTATTAAAGGGCACTTGGCGCAGGTCCAGTTCCGAGCTGCCGTCTCTACCGGGTCGGCCGGCGAGGCATCCAACTGCTTCCTTAGCTGGGTTTAGGATTTTAGGGCCCTTGGGGTTTAGGGATTTAGGGTTTAGGGGTTCAGGGTATTAGAGGTTCAGGGTTTTAGGGTTTACAGTTTAGGATTTATAAGGGTTTAGGATTTAGGGGTTAAGGCTTAGGGGCTTAGGGGTTGCAGGATGCCTAGGCTTAGGGCTTTATGGCTTTAGGAGCTTAGGCGGGCTTGGGGGTTTAGCCGGGCTTAGAGTTTACCTAGACTCCCCCCAAAGTACCTATAGTCTCCATTGTAGTTCCCTTTTTTGGTTAACCAAAATCTCTATTTTAGGATCCTAACCATAAAACTGGTTAACCAAAACAAGGAACTACAATGGAGACTATAGGTAGGTACCATAATGGTCCAATACATATGAAAGGCGGTTATTCTACATACTTTGAGGGTCCTGGCAGGGTTGAAGGCTAAGGGCGTAGGGTTTAGGGTTTCAGGGTTTATGAGGACGTAGGGTTTAAGGCTTCAGGGTTTGGGGTTTAGGAGTACAGGGGTTTAGGGGTGTAGGTCTGAAGACCCAGAGCACTCTGAAGCTGTAGAAACCGCCTATAGTAACCCTTATAGGACCCTTGTAAAGGAATCCTATTCTAATTATTAAGGCCCCTATAACCCTAAACCCTAAACCTAAGCTGTAGAAAGCGCCAAGATGCTCCTTCTTGACGAAGGCATAGTGCAGGGGCATCCTCGCACACCGGCTTATTGCTTCGGGTTCACAGCTTCGGCTTTTCGGATTGGGTTAAGGATGTAGGGTTTAGGGTTCACAGGTTCCGGGTGGTGGAATACGCTGAGCCCGCATATGTTGGATAGGGCTTGGGCATGAAGGGAAACCGAGGTTGTCCAGAATCAAGCCTTCGCTGAGTGAAGGAACTCACGCGAGTTGGTAGAGTCGAAAGTACCCCAATCTCAACCATACAACCCGCAACGCTGAATCCCTACTCCTGGGCGCCAGTCACCTAAACAATGGATACTGGCTTGTATATCAGATATAGGGTTAGTAACATATACTATTCAGGGAACTGGAGCCCTAGGGCAGGTCCCTTATGCCCTTGTTGTTCGACTCTGGCCAGTCCTTCCCTGGATGTCCATCGCATTCACGTCTGCCTGCAACGGAATCGAGCAAACCCCAAAAACCCTAAACCCCGAAACCCCGAAACCCCAAACCCTAAACCCCTAAACCCCTAGACCCCTAAACCCCTAAACCCCTAAACCCTAAACCCCTAGACCCCTAATCCCTAAACCCCTAAACCCTAAACCCCAAAAACCCTAAACCCCTAAACCCCTAAACCCATAAAACCGTAAAATGTGTTGCTTGGGTTTCGGGCTTAGGGGTTGAGCCATATGGGAGTTTCCGAAAATTACGGGTACCTTATTTTGGGGTCCTTCTTATAAGGATCCCACTATTTAGGGTACTATATTAGGGTCCCCAATTTTCGGAAACTCCCATATGGGTAATATTAGTTCTCTGAATAGCATCCCATTTGGAGTTCTTTTCCTCAGGGTGCCATACAAACTTTGCCTAATTTAGAGAAGTAACATTCCCTAAGGGTCCATGTACTCATATAGTATATACATTGGCCTTAATGTAGTCCCTATATAGGTACATTGGGGCCCATGTATCTCTATATATGGTCACGCGCTCCGCAGCCCCCCCCCCCCTCCCCCCCCCAAGGTCAATGGTCCGGATATAGGGTGGGGCCCCCCCCCTCCCCTGTGGTGTGGGGTGTGGGGTTCCTCTTCCCCCTGTGGGTGGTTGTGGGGTTTTGGGGTTTGGGGTTTAGCTTAAGCTTTCGAGTTTGGGGTTTACGGCTACAAGGTATAAGGCTTCGAGTCGACAAGGGATTAGGGAGGATTTGCGGTGTATGCTCTGCTTTAGGCTTAGAGCCTGCAGTTAGGTGGGGTTTAGGGTTGGGTGTAGCGTTTTAAGTACAAGTTAAGGTTGCTCAAAATCGGGGCACGGGCTGCGTCATAGGGTTTACGGCTTGCTTGCGAAGGGCTTGCGCGTGAGCCCTGGTCGCCAGCACCGCCCCACCATCCAGCGGCAGCTCCAACGGCCCCAACCCCTTTCCGCACACGCCAGGGACCCCCCCCCCCCCCCCTGTCAGACCATACCATTGGGGGGGGGGGGGCTGGGAACGCCAGACGCCTGACCATAGATGCGTACATGGACCCTTAGGGTTTATGAAACCCCGAATCCGAACTTCTTCTATGAATCCTACTCTTTGGGGGTTATAGGGCCAGGGTTGCTTATAAGTTACTTGGACCCCAAGCCCTACCTGTAGTCTCCATTGTCGTTCCTTTTTTGGTTAACCAAAAACTACATTATAGGATCCTAACCATCAAATTGGTTAACCAAAAAAAGCAACTACAATGAAGAACCTTCCTTTTAGGGTTCCTTAATATGATTTCCTTCCATAAGTCCTCAAAAAGGTAGGTTTCAGGGTTCAGGCAGCGCTTCGTGTTCGGCCTGATATGGGACCCTAATATAGTACCCTAAATAGTAGGATCCCTATTTCAGGGACCCCAAAATAAGGTACCCCCCAATTTTCGGAAACTCTAAACCCTAAACCCTTTGTAGAACCCTTATAGATCCCTTTAAGGAACCCTCTTTGATCCCTTTAAGGTACCCCTAATATTCAGATACCCAAAAAGGGACTGGGACTATCCACCATCATGAAACCCCGAGTCCGAACTTCATGTGTCCAAGGGTAAAAGGAGGGACCCTTTATAAGGACCCCTAGGTATAAACCCTTAATATAGCTTTTATGTGTATCTTTTTAAATATATATATATATATATATATATATATGTATATATATATATATATATATATATACCCATTATATGGTCCATTATAGGGTAGGGGTCCCCATTAAAGGTCCCTCCTTTTCCCCACGTTCGGCCTGGGAATTGAGAAGCAGGCGCTCGGCATCGAAGGAGGGCTCGCTGGCGGCCGCGGAGTTCACGGCCTGAGGGTTTATGGCTTTCGGGGGGTTTAGGGGGCTTATGGGGTTTATAAGGTTTGTGGTTTAGGGTTTTGAGTTTAAGGGATTTAGGGTGGGATTTAGGGTTTAAGCTTTAGGGGGCTTATGGGGTTCATAAGGTTTGTGGCTGAGGGTTAAGGCTTTCGGGGCTTTACAGAATTTGTGGGGTTTAGGGCCTGAGGGTTCAGGGCTTTCGGGGGGGGTTTAAGGGGCTTATAGGGTTGATATGGTTTGTGGCTTAGGGTCTGGAGTTTAAGGCTTAAGGGATTTTGGGTGGGATTTAGTAGGGTTTAAGGTTTAGGGGTTTAGGGTTTACAAGGTTTGTGGTTGATGGTTTGGGGCTAAGGGGTTTAGGGTTTAGGGCTTGTGGTTGTGGGGTTTAAAGGTTCAATTATAGGGTTTAGGGTTTGTGCTTTGGGTTTGCGGTTTGGGGATAGTGAGTTTAAGGTTTAGGGTTAAAGACTTTGGGGGGGTTGCGGTTTGGCGGGGCGTGGAGCGTTGAAGGACCAGAGCCTGGGCTCTGGCAGGAACGCGCTTGTTGGGGTGAGATGCTGTATACTGTATGCCCCTAGGTTCCTTCACAGGCTTCTTTCAGAGTTCCTTTAAGGGAACCCTTAAGGGTTCCTTCAAGGGAACCCCAAGGGGGTTCCGTTAAGGCTTCCTTTAAGGGAGCCAGGGGGCGATGTGCAGCGGCGTGCGCTTCTCCGGATCTCGGGCCGACGGCAGCGCGCCGTGGCGCAAGAGCTGCTCGATGACTTTGAGATGCCTGGGGGTACACTAAGGGTCCATGTACCCATATAGAGATACATGGGCCCCAAAGTACTTCAAAAGGGACTACATTAAGGCCAATGTATGTACTATATGAGTACATGGACCCTTAGGGGTAGGGATTCTTTAAGGGTCTCTAGGGTGGCCACACGGTTTTTAGGGCTTCTTTGCAGGGTTTAGGCTTGGGGTTTACAGGGCTTATAGGGGCTTTTAGGGTTGCGGCTTTCTTTAAAGGTTTATCGGGTACAGGGTTTCTTTGGCTAGCTTTTTTGAGGGGGCGGGTTGGGGTTTGGGTTGAGGGTTCCTTTACAGGGTTTACGGCTTCTGCTCAGCGGCTCGTTTGAAGGGCAGAAGGGTTCCCGTGGAGAGGTTTTCTAGGATCTAAACCCTAAACCCCTAAACCCTGAACCCTAAACCCAAGAAGCCTAAACTTTAGACCCCTAAACCCTGAACCCTAACCCCTAAACCCCTAAACCCCTCAACCCTAAACCACCCTAAGTTCTACGTGCTGTTCTAGTCCTGGAGCTCCGTTGGAGGAGCTCTGCGAGGAGCTGTTTGTACAGTCTTGGGTTTAGCTAGGAGGTGCTTTTAAAGCCTTTGAAAAATATTAGTAGGTAAGATCCTCTTAAGCCCAATAAGAGCAAATATAAAATGTCTCAAAGCACTACAGGGAACTCCAGAAAGTTGGAATATGGTTTCATGGTCGGATCCCCAATAATTTACCTTAAAGGGGTTACGATAATCATATTCCACTGGCTTCTACTGTACCTAGTTAGGGTTCGGAGAGTCGATATGTTTAGCTAGAGTCACAGGTTTGGGCTTTCCAGTTAAGCCTAGTCTCGTAATCCCGTGTGTACCTCAATCTTTTTCGCCGTAGGGCTCTGATTTTGGGTAGGCTGGGTTACAGTCTGCTTGCTGTACTTGTTCTTGCGAGAGTAGCCTTTACAAAAACTCCGCATAAACCCTGATGGAAGCAGAAGGGACTGTCATGCTGCCTGGGATTTTTGAGTATTGTGGTTCTTGGTCTCATATAGAGTTGTGCTAACTCCATGGAAACGTTTATAGAGACCTTCATAGGACCCCTTCATGGTCCAGTCCGAAACCCCAGAGCTCGCCCCCAATTCAAAAATAGGCCTTATAGGAGCCTGATTCAGAAACCTTGGGTCTTTATTGATTTATTCAGGTCCCGTATATGGATCCTACTATTTGGGGGCTATGCGACCAGGATTTCTTAATCATGGTGTTTACATGGTATTTATATGGACGCCCCCCAAGAAGACCAGGGTGTCTTAATCATGGAATACAGAGTTCTGCATAAGGACCCTGATGTTTGGGGGCTACTATAGGCACATTAATAATTAGAATCGGGCTTTAGGGTACTTATACTGTAACCATATTCAGGAACCCCCACACAATAGTATTGATAATTCCTGAAGCCCTCATATTACAGTAGAAGCCAGAAATTAGTATCCTCATGACCCTAAGGTAAAGTAGAAGGAATCCTAGGACTAATCCTCCTAAAGCCATGTTCCAACTTTCTGGGGTTCACTATAAACCTCGAGACCCTCGACAAAAAGGAGACCCTAATTTGGTACCCTAACAGTAAGATGTTGATTATAAGGACCCCAAAATAAGGGTACCCCCTATTTTCGGAAACTCTAAACCCTAAACCCTTTATAGAACCCTTATAGATCCCTTTAAGGAACCCTTATAGATCCCTTTTAAGGTACCCCTAATTTTCGGAAGCTCCCATATTAATCAGACCAGGGTTTCTGAATCATGGAGTTGGAGCCTGCTCGAGGCCGCCAGGTGCAGAGCTGTCGACCCGGCAGAGCAGCAAGGAAGGTTGATGTTGGCCTCGGGATTTCAGTTTAGGGTTTAGGGGTTTAGTGTTTGGGATTTAGGGATCTAGGGTTTAGGGTTGATGTTGGCCTCGGGATTTTGGTTAGGGACATTTTCGAACTTAGAAGGGGTTGAGGGTTTATGCACGCGAGACTCCGGGAACCCCTACCCTATACTGGATCATATAAGGGGTATATAATAGCTATATTAAGGTTCTATGCCTAGGAGTCCTTATTAAGGGTTCCTCCGTTGATATCCAGCTGAAGGCTTAAAGCCCCAAACATGTGCCACCGAGACCCTAAACCCAGAACTTTAAGCCCTAGACCCAAAGCCCTAAGCCCCAAACCAAGCCCCAAGCATGCACCGCCAAGCAATGCGAGCCGAACCTCCGAAAAATGAACCTTAACCCATTCTCTCCAAACTCCAAACCCTGAACCCTACGCTGTCCTAAACATGGGTTCAGGGTTTAGGATTTAGGGGTTTAGGGTTGAGGGGTTTAGGGGTTTAGAGTTTAGCGTTTAGGGTTATGGGGGTTTAGGGAGATTGCAGCACTCAGGTTTAGGGCATGCCCTCCAACTCTGTGAACCTTCTGGGCGTTGGCGCCTTGGCTTTCAAGAGGGCCTCCAGAATATCACTGCTGTAAAGCTTGTCCTCCGGAATCAGGGCTTCAAGGTTCGGGGTTTGACAGGTCACAACACGGGGCTAAACGTATAAGGGCTTAGGAGATTTATGGAGGGGATTTAGGCTTGAGGTCTTTAGTTTCGCGAATGAACGGAATCGCAGAAGCCCACTTCTGCTTGCACAGGGAGAAAACCAACACAAACCAGTTAGACTTCTGAAGACCCTGGTAACCCTGAACCTGCCCTAAACCCAAATACCCCAAAGGCTCCATGTACCTTTATAGTAGATACTTAAGCCTGAAAGGGGTCCCTATATAGGTACTTTAAGGCCTACGTATATACTATATGGGTACATGGAGCCTTAGGGTACTCGAAGGCCCACGTAAGCACGAGGATCCCAGCACCGTTCCTCCCAAAGGCAGGCAACATACCCACCAGCCTTTCCTTCACTGCGAAGGTCTTTGGTAATTCAGGGGCCTTAGGGTTGAGGGTTTAGGGGTATATGATGCTATAACTTTTTTCGAACCCCCCAAAATAGTTTCGGTATATATTGAGGCCCATATATCACCCTGCCGTTGTCAGCTTCACTTACCAAGTGTTGCTCAATACGGGTGGTGGGTCCAGGATCTAAGGATATCAATAGTGATCCTCAAACTTTATACATATTGCTAGCCTACAACCCCCACTATCTCCAGCCCAAGCGCCATGAGCACTTGGACCCACACATGCAGTTCCTGCACCCTAAACCCTAGACCCTAAGCCCTAACAAACTCCACACCCTAAACTCTAAACGAGCAGCTGTCAAAAACAAGGTCCCTTTTTGGGTACCCTAAATTCTGGGTGCCGTATCATCATAGGGACCCCAAAAATGAACCATAATTTTGACAACCACCCAAACTTTAAATCCCAAACCCTGAGCCCCTTAACCGCAAGCCCTAAACCTCCCAAAACCTAAAACACTACACCCTAAAACCCCAAACCCTAAACCCTAAACCCCCAAACCCCCCAAACCCCCCAAACCCCCCGAACCCGAGATCTCCTGCGTCGCAGCTGTGGTGGCAGAGTACAGCGGCGTCGCCTTGTTCCTTGGCTGGGACGTTCAGGGGCGAGGCGCAACTTCGACTAGGTGGGGGGGGTCTGGGGACTTAGTAAGTAGGTAGTAAGTAGACTTATAAGTACCCTGAAAGGGACCCTAATTGGGGTTATGGTACCTATAAGTCCCTAAAAGACCAGTTACTAAGTCCCCCGACCCTCCAAGTAGGGGTCGATTTTCTAGAGCCCCCCTAAACCCTAAACCCTACCCATAGGCCCCATAGTAGTTCCTTTTTGGGGGTTCATATATAGAATTCTATAAGGTAATCCCAGAAGGGGAAGTAGTTTGGGGCCTAATAGTTAGGACTCTGTATATTAGGGGAAATTGAACACTATCCCAAATCGATACCTAGTCAACTGGTGTCCGCTATCCACATACTGTATCACTCTTGACTCTTGACAGGAAACTTTATGACTGATGATGATGATGATGACGATGATGATGGCAGTCGCGGTGGTGGTGGCGGCAGCGGTGGTGGTGGGTGGTGGTGGTGGTTGTGGTGGCGGCGGTGGTGACAACTGTGTGCAACGGGCCACGAACTCAGGGATACCACGACAGATCATGAGGCCAAGAATCGAGGTCGCGTCTGCGACATCCAGCGGTGCTCTAGATTCCAGCCTGGATTGGCAGCGTTTTTGCTTTTTTAAAGTCAGCGTTTAGGGTCTGATATAGGGGCCTGAATAATTAGAATAAGGTTTGGGAGGGTGTATTATACTAAACCCTTATTCAGGAACCCCTACAATAGCAATAGTATTGGTACTTATTTTAATCAGGCCCCTATATTAGGGGTTTAGGTCAGGTGGGGGGGGTGGGCAGCGAATCAACTTGAAGTCCGGCACGCCAAGAGCAGAATCTCAAGCTTAGGCTTAAACTCTAGCCAACCCGTCGACCCCATACGGTTGATGATATGAATCCTGCATGACCCATAATAAGGAATATACCATAACTCTCATAGTTTAGGGGCCTTAAGGTAATGCAGGATATTCATATCATCAACAGTAGCTCCTTTTTGAGATATATTTTATAGTATTCTAAATATGAACCCTGGAAAGGAACTACTAGGGGGCCTAATTATGGGTAAACCGCCCCAGACCCATGGCTCCTAAACCACACACATCCTGCAGAAGCTCGTAGCGCTGCAGACCTGGAACAGAGCCCCCACCACCCCTATCCGCATACCCCAAGATTCCTAAGAATCCGAGCAGGATCTGCACAAGTCCCCTGGACTTACCTTTGGTTAGTAGGGAATGGAAGAATGGCAGTACTAGTAGTTATAGTTGTACCCCATTCCTCCATTCCCTACAGAGGACGTCATAACTAGGATATGCTTTCACTGTAAGAAGAGTAAAGCTTTTTCCGGTTAGAATGAATGTCTACCCATAGGCCCCCAAGTAGTTCCTTTTTCGGATTACCGAATAGGATTCTAAAAATGAACCCCAAAAAGGAACTACTTTAGGGCCTTAGGGTATTCCTCAGTATCCAGACCGTCCAGACCCCTCGTCTACTGAAGACTCGTCGAAACAACATGATCAAGTGACATACGGATATGGCAGTGGGAGCAAGCATTGAATTTGCTCTCTTTAGTTTCCTTGTATTTTGGGGAGGGGTCAAGGCTATAGGGTATGCGGCTTGTCCCGGGACCTTAATACGGTACCCTAAATAGTAGTATCCTTGTTATAAGGACCCCCAAATAAGGTACCCCAATTTTCGGAAACTCCCAAGATTTGTTCCCTTTCTGTACAAGGCAAGGTCTTGTCGTACTCAGGGCTGAAGGGATTCCTGTCGAATTTAGGCTATCGGCTTCTTTCTCACGCCCCGATTAAGGCACAAAGGAAGCTGTGAAAAGAAATCCTATTCTAGGCTCTTGGCTCAGAGGTGTGTAGAGTTTAGAACTACACACCCTGGACCCTAACCTCAAACTCTAAACCCAAACCGTGGGGACAGTGTCAAGCGGCAGCATCTGCACCATGCCCTTGTTCAGGTGGCTCACGGCATGATGCAAGGCCTTGCTAGGCTGCTGTTCGCGGCTTATGGCCGCAGGCTTTGGTTTTAGGGTTTAGGTTTAGGGTTTAAGGGTTTTAAGGTTTACGGTGAGGTTTAGGGATTAGGGTTTCAGGTCCTTTAAGGTTGAGTTAAGAGTTTGTCGGGTGTTAGCGGCTTCGGTGCGTAGAGGGCTCGAGTTGGGAGGGGATCATGGCTTCGTGATTCGGCTAAAGCTTTGAATTGGAGGCTTGGCGTCAGGGGTGTCAGGGTATGTCACAAAGGGAAAGCTACGGCTCAACATCTCATAGTCCCTGAGAGACATAGTATCTAACATATACATCTATATATATATATATATGTATATAATATATATATATATATATATATATATATATATATATACATTTGTACACACTTAAAACTAAATTGTAATATGTACTTGTACATATATATATATATATATATATAATATTGCCACAAACGATATTCGAGCCTTCAAAGCAACTTGTGCGCATACTCCTCAAACTCCAAACAGGCCCGGCTAGACCCCTTAACTGAAGAACCTTTTCCACAGATCCTATTTTGACTATGAAAGTCCCTAAACTGTTTAGAGTTTCAGGGCGCCAAGCCCCGGCACACGAAAGCTCTCTAGGGTTTTAAATACATAGGTTCCATATAGGTTCTGTCCTATTGGTTCTATGTTACTCTATATAAAGGATCTACAACAAGCCGTACCCAGAAACTCTAATATCACTTAATTAAGGAATATATCTTAAATCATAATACGTAGGGATCCTACTATAACTTAAGGTATATATTCGTTAATCAAGGGATATTGGAGTCTCTTTGTAAAGCCTAGCCAAACTGCGGACCTTCAAGGCCAAATTCTTAAACCGAAATCCAACACATTCAACAACCTTAAACAAAGAACGGCCTCAGAAATGAGGCCATGGGACAAGGGGTTTAGGGGTTTTAGGGGTTTCTCGGACAGGGTTTGGGCTTTGCAGTGTAAGGTCTAGGAGAATCATGACTGACGACTCAGGTCGACAACTTAAAAATCGAAACGCAAGGAGAGGCTTCCCAAAACCCTAAGCCCTAGGCCCTGCTTCCCTTGCATCCGTGCCTGTCGTCCGTCCGAGGAATCGACACCAGCAGGATCCGCAGACGCCTGGGTAGCATGGAGGGAGGCTGTATCGTCGGGCTTTAATTAATGATTAGCCTAGACTTGTAATCTATATTAAGGAGCACTAAGAGATAAGGAGCTCTAAGGGATACTGGAATACCGGTATGAATGATTCAGACCACTCTAGCACACGCCTGCAACAGGCAAACAACGGAAAAAATAGGTTCGGTATTTTGAAACGAATTTTCCGAGCCCTTGGACCCTAAGTCCTTTAGAAACCGAACCGAAGGCCAGAACGGTCCATGTACCTCATAATCATATGGGGTTTCCGAAATCGGGGACCCTAATATAGCAACCTAACTTATTATTATGAGGACCCCAAAATAAGAGAACCCCCCCCCAATTTTTGGATTCTCCCATATACTCGCACGAATAAAAATTGGACTTCCACTACCCAAATCTCAAGCATGTGGTTATTAGCTGCATTACGGTGGATCCGTAAGGTGGGGCTATAAGCCCTGAAACGCTGAACCAAGCGCTCTTAACTGCAAAACGTCGAATCTTACAACCGGAAACTCGCATCTCACCACAGAGCCATCAACTTGAACAGCCCTGAAGCGCAGAGCTCGATGTTCGCACGAGACTGCCGTCCAGCCCGAGTAGTCTTTTGTCTAAGATTTCCACCGCATGGCATTTAGGGATATCCAACTTCTCGTAATAAGGACCACGCTATTAAAAGCCCCCTCTTTCCGCAACTAGCATCCAATACCAACAAAGACAGCTCTGACCCGCAAGCTTACGTGGTCGTGATGGGACTCTCTGCTTAAAATTCGACTTCGATAAACGGCTAAACCTGTACATCCTGTGCATGGATGTAAACTTCAGTGGTACTACGATCTTAGGATGGGTCATACCCGATAAAGCCCAAGACAACCAGTGTTCATTCAGACAGCGCAGGTTTTCTCAATGACTGCAATGCCAACCCTGATGCGGTCCTTCAGAAGGACTTGCACCATCGCCGTTCGATTGCGGGCCGCAGCCTGAGGGACTCTGGCGCTGACAGGAGAAGCTCCTGTTAATCATGGAAAGTTATACTATGGAAGCCTGAATTATTAACAATGTTGCTCCTTGTCATAGAACTATACAGCGGCATACCCTGCCCGCCCCAAACCCTGTTCTACTTGTTAAGGCTTTGGTATGAAACCCAATATAGTATATACATACCCTTGCATCCCGAAACAACGCTGGCTTCCGCCCTCTTGAAGGATCCGGTTCTGGAAAAACCTTGCGGAACCCTGGTTCTCAAACATAAACCCCTACGAAGTCTTCTGAGGCCAGGATGAAGCAAAGACAAAACCCAGACACAACCTCAAACATCCTTAAACAACCATTAACCTGCCCTACCGTTGTTTGAAAGAGACACACCCTAAACCATAAACCCTAATGAACAAAACAACCCTCAATCATACAAACTCAGAACAATACAAACCCTGGCCCTAGCAGCCAAAACGCTACCTCTTTGAAACATCAAACCCCAAAGACCTAAACCCAAAGCCTCAAACACAAAAACAAAAAGACCATCGAGGTCGGCCTTTTGAAGCGGCTGTGCATGCGTCTTCTTGATGGACTCAACCGCCTTGGGCACGAGGAAGGGGCCGTTTACGTGTCGGTTTCAACACCCCTCCCCAAGATGCGGTTGGGTTCTATGTACAACAGTGGGGGGAAATTCGAAGACTTTCCAAAAAGGTATTGGGTAGTGTTCACGGTTTCACTGGAGCCGCAGAACGGAACTTCCGTGTGTCTTTTGGGGCTCGGGTTTTTGGTTCTTGAGTTAGGGGATTGAGAGTTTGAGTTTCGAGTTGAGGGGTATTTTGGGCTCGGGGGGGTCTGGGGCGCGAGGATCAAGACCTCGGGGGTAGGGGCTGGAGCTTCATCGGTTTAAGGTTTAATTTAGGGTTTTAATTTTAGAGCGTTCGGGTTTACGATGTAGGCTTCGGGCTCTTGATATTGGCTGAGCATATTGGTCTTGTCGAAAAATGTGTCAATGAGATGCAAGCTCATTGTTTCGAAGGTTTAAGGTTCGGGGTTCAATCGTTTTGTTATTGGGGTCGACAGTGCTTCGGGCTAGAATTCTGATATGTGGAACACGAATGGCTTGGTTTTCGCGTAAAGAAGAAAACCAGAGAACCTGAAACCTCAAACAACACACCTTAAGCCTCGAATCCCAGACCCAAAGGGCGAACCCTGAACGTCCTGTACCCTAAGCCCTGAACTACAGCCGAAACCCCCAAAACCCTAGGTATCTCCGAGCAGCCGTGTAGTACATCAGCTTCTCACGCGACACGAGCCTCAAGGATTCAGCATCCACATAGACAAGTTTCACGGCACTGACAAGTACTTACAAACTTGTATCTTTACTTACTAGGTCCCATGTTCCTGCAAGTAAGCGATCCACTCCACTGCGCTGCGATGGGAAGCAGAAACTACACTTGCCCAGAGACTCCAATATCCCTTAATTTAGGAATATACCTTAAAACCATATTAGGATGCTACTATAGTTCAAGGCATATTCATTAATCAAGGAATATACCTGAAACCATATTAGGGATCCTAATCTAGTTTGAAGCATATTCCTTGCTTAAGGGATCTTGGAGTCTTTGGGTGGGGCTCTGGATGCCCTAAACCAGACCTGTGGATCCGAACCACCACTATCTTTAAAGGTTTGACTCTGAGACTAAGACGTCATAACCTGCCAGACCATAGGGTTTTGGGGCTGCAGATAAACCCTATAACCTTAAACATCCACAAACCCTATAAACCCCTAACCCTGGTTCAGGCCGGTATACTAGGTTGCGGGCATTGCCTGAGGCTTTCGAAGCTCACGCCCGAACCGACAAGCTTGCCAACTGCACTCCCAGGATCCGTCTACGTGTTCCTTTTTAATTCTCTTTTGAAGGGTGTCTCTAGGCACAGGAAGAAACTGAAACCGTTATGAGACTTGGGGCTAGTAAGTGCTAGATTTTATGACTTGGGATTGGTGCGTGCGAGATTCTATGATGCCGGTGTTTGCTTTAACAAAAAACACTTCGCGCTTCGATGGTGGGCAAAGCGGCAAAGGCTTCTTCTTCTCAAACTTTGCCAGGACCGGCCCGAAATCGCCGGAATCCACGGCAAACCTCGGCACCCGGACGAATGACTACGGTTGAAGATAGAAATCCTGAAATAATCTATAAAGGTACCTTTATAAAGGGTTCCTTTAAGGGATCTGTAGGGTTTACGGTTTTTAGGGTTTAGGGTTTAGGATGATAGAAATCCTGCATGACCCAGAATAGGGAATATACCATAATTCTCATAGTTTAGGGTCCTTATATGGTAATGCAGGGTTTATATCATCAACAGTAAGAACAAGCCCAAAGGCTCCATGTACCCATACTATACAGTATATACTTTGGCCTTATAGGGGTTCCTATATAGGTACGTTGAGGCCTAAGTCTAGACAGGGACGGCCAAAAGACACAGGCCTTTATCACAATGTAGGGTCGTTTTGACAGCAACAAATGTGTCATGGCACTCCCCCTGCATACCATTCTTTTTCGACTCTGCATGAACGGTCCAACAGAGCTGATTGACCTGGGCAGACACCAGAAGATGCAGACAACAGGAGACAAGACAGGCTGTGAGGGATACCGGCAAGCAGCGGAATTTTTTCTCCCCTGCATCGGCACTCTGTGTCTCTGGGGCCGAGATGGAGCCGACGGACATCTGAGCAAAGCAACCCCTCACACTGATATTGTAAGATTGTGATGCTGTTAACACCACATTTGATCATGATGATTGTGCCAGGGCTGATTGCTCTTAGGAAAACCTAGTCCGAACATCCTCCTCTGACCTGAGACTGGCACTTGCACACCACAAGAATCGAACTTGGAATCACTGCTGTGTTTACAGCTGCAGCAGTCAGTGCAAGGTGGAAACTCAAATACAAAGATCCACAACATTCTTGTGCTTGCATGATTCTCCTCTGACCTGCACTGAGTGCTCTGCAAAACTCACTTCCACAACTGCTGCTTCACAGCTGCAGTACTCAGTTGGGACGAATCTCAAGTGAAAAAATCAATGACTTCTTTTGCCTGCATGATACGCCCTTTCACCGACACTACTCCGTAGCCACAGGGGATCAACTTGTTCTGAGCTTTTTGAAAGCCCCAAGCCAGACCGATGCTGGTCAACTCCTGCATGGCTTCAGCGAGCTTGTAGTGAAGTGGATCACATTCAGTGAGGCAATGGTTTCCATCTGCAACCAACTGTCCTCAGAAACAAATGACAGCCAATCAACCCAATGCCGTCAATTCTGGACACAGTCGGAACTTGCAGTGCAGCCCAGATGCTTGGAAGAGTATCAGCTGGGAATTCCTTATACCCATGATTTTTTCCCACTCCGCTTGTCTTCACCAGCTCCTTCATCGTGCAAACAGTCTTGGGTGTCACAGACATATCGATGACCAGGTCAGTCATCGCCACCTCATACCTCAGACATGCCTCCGGAAACTGTTCATTGTTGACACGGATCAGCTTGCCCTGTTGGTAGGAGGTCACAAGCCAGTGCTTCGGCAGCCTCCGATTCACATCGGCCATACTCCGAATTCGGATACCGAAGCCTGACTCTGAGGACGTGTCGTTTTCCAACAAAATGAAGTCGCATGGTGGATCATCGATATGCTTGACAATCGTCTCCTGCAAGTTATCTTCGTCCTCGTCCGACCTTTTCTTGCTCGAGGCAGTGGGGGGCTCTGGCTTGCTTTCTGGAACCTCCACGGGTTCTGGCTGGTTGCCTGTTTTTGTTGCTCCAGGATTCTCCTCCTGCGGAGTTTCCTCTGTCTCCTTGGCAGCGGCTTCCACCTCCGACCTGGTCTCCATCTTCACATCCTGCACTCCCTCGCCCTCGACTTTGGCCTTGAAGAAGGATTCCAGACGTGGTTTCCTGAGCCCAGCTACAATGAATTAACGGAATGCACCATCAGTGGTTAGCGAATTGTCAAAATCTATAACATAGCGACAAAACAACGGTGCATGAGAGTGGCTTGGCACCAGTCGTCCAACCCATAACTGACCAGAACCTCACACTTTGCACCGATGCCGCAATTGTTGCGCGTCTTTGCCTTCAGGCTGAGGCATCCTGCAGGGCACAGCGTGTGCATTGGCCGGAAATCAGCCGACAAAATACAATGGAAGATGCAGCTAGGGCACCAGGGTTTGCTCCCTTCGTTGCATCGAGACACCACTCAGCATTCGGAGAAGATCGTGCTCCATGGTATGAGTTCACAAACCGTGCTGCTCCTAAGAGCACACAATACATCGTCTTCGGAACCTGACACTGGAGAACTCCTTGCAGCCGCATGACCTGAGCAAGGCTGGAGCAAGCTGGGAGAGAGTTTGTCTGATTCGAATTTGGCATCACTAGTTGCACACCCAGCAGCTGCATCACTCTGACCCGGATGTTCACGAAGGAATGCAATCAAGGCCGGCCAGCCACTGAAGATGAGGCACGAAGCTTCAAGAATTGTTTCCCCTTCAGGCACAGGCTTGAATACATACACTCCTTTGCCGCGACCCTCATTGCTCTGCAAGTACAGATTGTTCTTTTCCAGTTCGCGGGAAACTTTGGCAAGTCAGTGGGCACTTGATCTACCTTTAGTATCCACTTGATCTACCTTATTGGATGGAATGAATCGAAGTACCAGCAAGAAGTATCAGAAGTTCAGAATACAGGCAGAGTCTGCTTCAACTGCCAAGCCAAGCCACACCAGAAAAAGGCACTGAGGAATCAACGGGCACCTCCAAAAACTCGATGATCTGTTGCCCCGAGATGTGTGGGCTCATCATCGCTTGAACGTGCGCTTGGCCCAGAAGCCTCTTCCGTGGTCCTGTGCGTTTGTCAAGGTCCTTGTATGCCACACGGTAAAAATATTGCAGGGCAATTTCCTTTGCGTGTGCCATCGAATGGCGGCGCAAGCGGTCTGCCAGTACAAAGCAGTCCTGAGCTAAGAACTGTCTCTTTCCGAGGCTTCGTCATTCAGTTCGGGCTTAGTATTTCCACAAATGCAATCTGGAATCCGCATGCAGCAGCTTGCGCACAGCAATCCACGGAGCAGGATGCGCGGACACTGACATAACAAGAACGGTCTGACAGCCCGTGGCCTTCAGGATCTCATCCAACACTTGTTCATAGTAGCCTTAGTACTTAGACCACAAAGGAGATGTTAAGATTTTGATTGTGCCTGGGACACACTGTTTTTGCCAAGCTACCGACCGGCCGGGCAAAAGGCCAGAGATCTATGAGGTAATCCCTCGGACCAGAATCATTGTCATTGCCAGTGCCGGGAAGTCCCGGCGGTGTGTCGTCTTCAAGAACCGATGTGGCTGTGGCTCCTTCATCGGCTGGCTCAACGGAGAACGGGTCGGTTTCCCGATCGTCCTCCGGGAGCTCGTGATTAGCCGGGACTGTTTTTCCTTACTGCCAGAACGCCAGAACACCCAATGGTTGAAAATTTCACACTCAGTCAGAAGAAGACCGCCCTCTGAAAAAAAGCTTGCTCTTGGACCACTAGGGCACCTTCCGGAAGCATCTCCGACCTGTCCGTGTCATCACGAAGTGGGCAGTCACGTCGAAGGCAGCGCTTGCGGATCTGTTCTGCCGGGGTGGCCCTGTACCGCAAGATATTCACCACATATGGCATATCAGCTTGCACAGCCTGAGTGTCTTTTCCATGGAAACAACAAAATTCACCAGGTGAACCAAAACGGAAATCCGATCAGAGTCATGCGGCAAGGGAGTGGGCCACTACCATGAAGCCTGGCATCGACTTGGCAGTCTGCATCACTGATCCCGATGTCATCTGGATCATTGATACTCGGTCCCCTCGAAAAAGAGCTGCTACTTTGGTGTGCACCGCATGAAGGAGGTCAATCCTGGACAAGGCTGAAGCTTGGGTCCCATCGGCCAACTCACTTTCAAAGAATTGGAAGCCTGGCCTCTGACCGACTATCACCACGAAGCTGTAGCGCGTCAGACCATGGCCGACCACAAAGTTTCTGAATATCTCCACATAGTCCAAGCTCACTTTGGCCCTGCTTGTCTGAGCATCGATAATGCAGCACACTTTCTGAGACGAATTTGTCATCTTTTGAATGACTGCCTCCAGGAGAAGAGACTTGTCCGTTTGGATAAAGACATGGTCCAGCTCGGCATGTGACTTCTCTCGGGCTGCCTTCTGAACCGGATCTTCGGGCTCCTCCGGCAGCACCGTCATCGAGAGGTCGACCACCTCGACGCTTGTGCCACTGGCAGTGGCCGTATCGCTGAGCGTCTCAGTCTGTGTCTGACCGGTGGGCGCATCCTTTGCTTCCTCCTTCATGGTTGCTTCGGGCTTCTTGCTGACCAAGGCTGCACCAGCTTTCTGCTTCTTGAACTCGAGCCACAATTGGTTCACTTCCTTTCGAGCAGATTGTTTATAATGACGGAGCATGTGCCCAGACTCTGCAAGTGAAACATGATGTTACACCGAAACCCCTCGAAGCAGGTCCTGAATGCCTATGTCGCTCGATGATTTTCCATGTAGCGTAGTGCCGGACTGCTGGCAGGATTTCACCTTTTCCAATCCCTGCCGGGTTTGTAGTGTCTCGATCAAGCGGCCGAAAGCCGGTGAACCCGTCGCAACTTGGCCGAACGTGCGGATAGCATAGTTCTGCCATTGGGCCAGGTAGCCGAGCGGGGCACAGATATCCTTTTTGAATGCGGTTTCACTCCTTGGAATCAGGACATGAGCCATGAGTTATACACGCCGCTAAGCCACAGAAACATTTGCTGTCGAGGCTCAGCCCCTTTCCACCATCCTCATGGACCTTGGATAGAGATTTTGTCAAAGGCTTAACAAGTCGAAGCTTACAGGCGGGAAGATTGAATGAAGCAGCAGTCAGAGTAGCTCAGAAATCTTTTTCCGTGTAGCATCCATGGCCTCAGACCTTCAAGTTTCTGCTGAATCCCGAGTCCAATATGAACTCACAGTTAAGACTCAGTCTTGCCCATCAATAAACGAAGTGCCCAGTCTGCAAAAGGAGCAGGGTACTCTTCGGTACCACTGGTCTTGAACTTTTTGTTTCCCTGAGGCATGGCCCC